TGTGACCTGTGCGCGTATTTGCGTGCATGGATTTTCTAGCTCAGCATTTCTTTTCTCAGTTAGTCGTTTCACCCAAGGCGATGCTCAGCGTCCATTCATCCATGAAAACGGCTTGCAATCAATGGGAAAATTACAGGCAGCTTTAGGCTGCACTCTGGTGCTATGGCCTTGACATCATATTAGGTACGGGCCACTGCGTTGCATTAGTACAGTACTCAGGGAAGTTAACGCTATCATAGACCAACTTGTTTTTCACAGCACTGGTAGCGTTAGCTAGATATCATTTAATGCATGCTTGTATAATGACACAGAACGTAATGCTAGAAATGGTGTTGTCAACACAAGTCACCATTGGAGCATATATGACGTTTTAATTTTTGAAGAAAAAAAAAACTTTTTTAGAATTTCATGATACCATATTTCAGTACCCTTCATTCAGTAAGCAGTTTGCAGCAACTTTTGTCTGATGATATATGGGGCAAGGAAGAAAAGAATACAATTTTGTGTGTGTAGACGTCTCAGACAGAGCCAAAAAGGGTCAAATTTAACTTATTTTCGGTTCCACTGCAAATGTTTCCCACAAACGAATTTGCTACACATCTGCTCTTGCAAAGCAAATTTCAAGCAAGTTCAATAATCAGTTTGTTTCCATGGTTTCAGCAAGAATTAACAAGGACTGTACGAAGTACATAAAGTCACACATGTACATGTATACATACAGGATTCTATCTTGGACATTAGTTCAAAAAAAAAATGCTTCCGGTTACCCTACATGTACAGGTACCTAGTAGAGCCCCTACCCTAATTTTTTATTGGTAAAAATGAGGAAAAAACCACAAACACCACCAATTACTACCTTTTTACCCTTTACTACACGCAGACACCGCCATATGATCGTACACAAAAAAAATTTGCCAAAAAAACCCCATAAATTCCCTACCTACCCACCTACACAAATGTACCCTATTTTTAAATGCCATGTAATCGGAAGCAGAACTGTTCTTTTTTTTTTGGCACATGACAAGTGCACAATGTATGTTCTATTTTTGTAATTGTACTCTTCAATGGTTTCCTCATCTTGGGGTACTGGTACTTTCTACTCCTAGTACTGGGCATACATGTACATTGTTTACTCTAGCGCTTTCGGTTGTAGCCAAAGATTGAGTTGTAACCAAACAGGAGTTACAAGTAACTAAACTGACCTTGAATACGATGTTGCAACTTTAGTATCAACAATTAGTTTCCCCTCAACTACCATGAGTGTTCGTATCATGTGCTTAGAAATGACACAGGAAGAAGTGTGGTCTGTATTGATTTACCATAGCATAAAAATAACAGCACTGCTGACGAAACCTCAGCCCCTTCGGAAGATTGAAAAGGTTTCAGTCTGTTCACACTGCATGCAAACATACATTGTACATGTAAGGCCAAACAAAAAAATAAGTCGGTCTCTGGTCAGCGCTTGTCAATTTTAATCATGCGCGTCAATCTTTTTTTCCTTCCAAAATGTTCCGCGGTAGCTCCAACAGCGCCCTCTATTGCCGCACCTCCTCAATGTTTTTTTTACCAAAGAGCACAAGGAATGGGAAATTGCACCAAGGCAAATGATCCAGACTACCAGGGCAAATTATGGAGGACACCAATGTACATGAGGACACCAAATAGCAAAATAGTACCCCACCTTGTCTGTACAATCCAAGCTTGAAGAAAAAAAAAAAAGCCGCGTCGCCGCGTCAATTCCGGAACTTTGGTCTGACCAGAGACCGAATATTATTTTTTTTTTGCCTAACTACCGTTTCATGCAAACGTACTACCGTTTCATTCAAACATATAGTAGCACAAGAACAATTCAGTGCAAACCATAGGTTTAGAGTCAAAATGCAAAACTGTACATTTATAATAAGTCAGTCTCCTGATGATGGGCAGAGCATACCGGTACTGTCCAAAATGTCAAGTCTCCCCGGTTCTTTTCACAAACTCTCATAAGAGATTTGCTACATGATGCAACTGTTAACTTAATCTAGCACTATCTTCGCCATGTTCAAGGGCGGATCCGGGGGGGCCAAAGGGGGCCATGGCCCCCCCAAAAACGAAACCAATTTTTTTTGTTTTTATGTGACATCGCAATAAAGGCAGGCAATGAGTACACCACCATCTTTTCCTCAAAAAAACATTGGTTAAAGTGGTTAGAAATTGCCTCAGATCACACCACAGAGCATCTAGAATCCAAAATTTTTCGGCGCCCTTATTCGGGCCCCGAACCCCACGCCGTAAACAAAAATTGAATTTGACCCACTCTTTTGGGGGACCAAATTGTTTTTTGCCCCCCCCCCCAAATTGTGTTCTGGATCCGCCCTTGGCCATGTTAACCTTTAAATCTTTTCAAAAATGTATGAATGTGTTTCAGAAGATCATTATTTTTTAGTCACCTATGAGACAAAAACATGTTTCTATACTGTGTATGAGAGTCCCAACACTTAAGATAGTAAAAACATGCAATACAAGAAAATAGACTGGCACATAAAACAACCAGTCCAACACCGCTTTAGGACTACAGGTGTAAACAGAAACATCTGGTACCTAGCTCTATTTCTACACATTCATCTATATATAGTCATGTCACCAGACTACTGAGGGTCAACGTCAATCTTTCCATAAAGTTGGACACGCACCAGTCTAGTCTTAGGCTTCAAATTGAAATCACTTGGCTTCACTTTCAGGTGCAAATTTTTGAAGAAAGGTCTCTTTTAAAAATTGAATTGAGATCTCAAACTTAGCAGGTGAAAGAATGAGGACCTTGTCTTTGCCTCAAGACAATTTTGGAGAATTTTGTCGGCTAAAGAGTAAATCCAGTTTGTAAGATTTTGTTGTGCATTTTTTGCTGCACTCAAGGTTCCAGTCTGGTACCATCAGTGCTATTTTCTAACACAGAAAAAAAAATTGCTTGAAGTTGCTATTTTTCTAGCTGTTTTGCTAGCAATACAGTAATTCAATTTGTATGACACATCAGGTGAAGAAAAATTGGCCCTCTGTTTAGTTCAATAGAATAGGTACTTTACAAATCCCAAGTAATTTGTAACCTGGATCCCACTGCAACATGTACATGTACATGTAGAACACATACATGTGGGAAATTTGTATAAGTTTGTGAAATACAAATTCTTATTATAAGGCCCCCCCCCCCAAAAAAATACTCGGTCTCTGGTCAGACCAAAGTTCCGGAATTGACGCGGCGACGCGGCTTTTTTTTTTTATCTCTTCAAGCTTGGATTGTACAGACAAGGTGGGGTACTATTTTGCTTTTTTAGTGTCCTCATGTACATTGGTGTCCTCCATAATTTGCCTTGGTGCTTTCGATCATTTGCCTTGGTGCAATTTCCCATTCCTTGGTGCTCTTTGGTAAAAAAAATTGAGGAGGTGCAGGTGCGGCAATAGAGGGCGCTGTTGGAGTTACCGCGGAACATTTTGGAGAAAAAAAAAGATTGACGTGCATGATTAAAATCGACGCGCGCGCTGACCAGATGGAATTTTTTTTTTTTTTTTTTTGAAGGGCAAAACCTGTAATTTGAAATACAAATTGTTTGCAATTTTATCTCTGGTTTAGAAGAGTACCGATACATGTACTTATCTGGTTGGTTTAGGAAATACATATAGTTCGAAACTGCCGCCACGTTGCTCAATTTTGAGCAACGTGGCAGCAGTTTTTCTTATACTTTTCTTTACTTTCATGTTTTTAATCACATCGTTCTTTTTATTTAGGGCCTTGGTAGATTTCATTTTCTTCTTTGTAGGCCTTATCCTTGGCTTTGGAGGATTTTGGAGGGAAATAAAGTCAGAGAACCATTCAGTTGATTTATATATTGTTGATGTACCCTAACGTGGCGCGGCCCCTAACGTGGCGCACTTTTATTTTTCGCCTGTAGCGCCTAGCTAGAGCAAAAGTTTTAACTGAAATTTCACAGAAAGTGAAATTTCATCAAGTTCTAAACACTCCCGTTCATAAATCGCTAGTTTATTTACTCGTTACAAAGTTAAAAGAAAAAATTATTTTGGCGTGATTTTCCGATTTTATTTTCAAGTGCAAAGTGAACCCTTTGAAAATGCCCCGAAAAATAAGAAAATAATTTTCTGACAAACATCTTGCTGGGTTTGTAAGTAAAGATAAAAATTATTTATCAGAATTTATCAAGTTTACAGAAATTCTTAAATGTTAATTTGGAATTTTCTGAGATTTATTCAAGTGCGCCACGTTAGGGAACACTCCGCCAATTTGTGCCCAATTTCCGGACGCGACCGTTTTTGCATTTCAGATTAAATTTTATGAAACCGAAATTGTTCACAGAGGTTAAATAGCAAGCATTAAAAAGGTAAAAGTACCAGTATTTCACTGCATGAATTTGAGGTTTGTCAACAAAGAGGTTTGGCAACACTACACGAGGAAAGTTGGGTAAGCTTCGAAGTGCGCCATGTTAGGGAACACGACTACATGTATTATTAGGTCAGGGTCCTCAGGGAACCAGACAGTTCTGTAACAATAGCAGAAACTCAAAGTTAAAGGACACATTTCCGTAGTGATTATTATTTCCAACACGCCGAAAAAGTGAACTGCGGCATTAAAAAAAGTAAACCACAACGTTAGAAAAATTGTTAAACGTTGTCAGTACCCTGGCAGTCATGGCAGTGTCAGTAAGTGGTGGTCAAAATAAAAGTCAAGTGATGAATCACAAAAAGAAAACAAGAGAATTAACAGTAACAGCACATTATGTCTAAGAAAAGTTGGCACATGTGTGAGCAAAACCTCGATGTGGCTTATTAACACTGGGCCCCCCACCACTTACCCACCCCCCCCCCCCCCCCCCCAACATGATTTTGCACGCACACACACGCAATGCAAACCGTACCGACGTGCAGCACATAGATCAGAACGCACGTAATTTGTACACAAATCTCAGATACAAAAATACTGAATTCTGAATTACAAAATGTGTACTTTTACCTACCTTATGACTGCTCAATGCAACACTGGAGGATGTCTATAGATTACTTTATCAAAAAATGTATTTCTTGGTGACAAATTTCATTTAGCTTTGTAGAAATTACAGGAAAAATTCACCACTGCTCCTGAATCAATTCGCAACTTCTGAATTTGGTGTCCTTTTGTATTCCTGTACATCCGGGTGCTTGTCTAATTCGGGGTCAAAGGTGAAACAAAACTGAGGTCTGAGATCTTAGGCCGCTAAATACAATCGATATGAATAAGTGCGGATGATATCAGTGGTACCAGACTAAAGCAGCTGACTCGAATAATAAACATGTTTCTGCGAAGAATTTCATGACAAGACTTGTGACGTCGCGACTGGAAAATCCCACCATTATAGTATGAAGTAATGAGTAATGAACATTACAGTTCAACACACGATATTTGTTACAATTATTGAAAATATGTGATATTCGTAATTAACTGATTTAACTCATGATCGACTGAACATGATTAAACATGTTTCATTTGAAACTGAAAAAAATAATTAGACAGTGATTGACACTGCACTGACATAGACAAACAACTCTGTGAACCAAGTTAAAAAAAATACTGTCTGACAGTCTTTTCTACATTATTTAGCATTGTAATGTAAGTTTTGGCGGAACATAATATTTATTGGGATCATAAAATCAGGCAATCGGGAGATTAACGAGAAAAGGGGATCAGGGGAGTAGTTGAGAATAAGTAAAAATTACTCCTTTTTTGTATGAGGAAATATTTTATTGTTACCTAAGGAGTTGAAAAAGTAAGGTTAGGCCAAGTAAACAAGAATGGGGGTTACTTATCCCAGCCCGCATCTTTTTTTTCTGCCCGCCTCCTTTTTTAAAGATTGGTTTGTTATATTCATACGTTTGCAATATATTGTCTTTTGTTTTATGTCAATATGTTTTTAATTTGTTTGCAACAAAAAATTGTATCTATGTAGAAACTAAAACAAGGTTATGACTCCATTGGACACCAGTTTGTATCTGCAAAAGAATTGAGAAAATAGACGCGGAAAATCTTCCCTTCTCGAAAAAAAAAAGGCAAAAAAAGTGCCCACCTCCTTCATTTAAAAAAAAACCTGGACGACAAACTGTTATTTTGTTTTGCTGAGCCTGATGGATCACTATAGAGACATTTAAAAATTGTTTAACTTGTGTACAAAGTTTAATAATCGTTTAATGTTGCCCAAAAAACACATTTCATTATTCTTGGAAATTTTTGAATAGTGTCTTTTAATTTTTTATTTTAAAAACATCTCGTTATTTCGTTTCATTTACCAAGAACCAGTCGGCGATTCCACTGAAGTACACAATCTGATTTCTGGATGCAAAGTCTGGTGAGGCGAGTACGACAAAAACACAGAGAACGCAACGGTTTGGACCCAGCATTGTATTTCCAGGAGGACAACGGTAGTTGCAGTCGCACCAGTGAGGGCGCCATGAACCACTTCTCGGCCGAGAAGCTGGAGGAGATACGACAGCAGATGGCGCTGCACAGGAAGAACTTGCTGTGTATCTGCAGGCAGGTTTTGTCCGTTTATAATTTGCCTGCCATTTTGCTCTTCAGAATGCTCTCGATGCAGTAGACCCTTTGCATGACGGACATCTTGGGGGTGACATGCCTATGTTCCACAATATATTTATGAGTAGACCTTTTTTGCGCTCACTGAATTAAAATTAAAAAAAACCTTCCAAGGTAGCTGCACTACACAAAAGGTCAAAAAGTAGAATTTTTGAGCAAAAAATCCAAGTGTTTGAGCATCTGAATTGTAAAAGGAAATTGGCTGTTTATGTAATTGTCTGCAGAGTGTACAATGAAATTGACAACAAATTATTAGACATTTTTAAATATTTCAATTCAGATTAGCAATAAGAAGTCTTGTTGAGAGAGCGCATTCTGAAGGTGTGGATGATTCCTGTGATGAATTCAAGAATCTTGCAACAATATTGGAGCACATCTTGAGTCACAGACTCAAAGGTAAATTCACAGACTCAGTCCCAAACTTGGCAGTAGAATCAGGGATTCTGTCACAGACTTTTCCTTAGATCAAATTAGTTTCTTGCTTTTTGTACAAGTATTTCATATGAATACCATAAAAATTGAGAAAGTGCACTCAAGTGCATTTTAGATGATTCATGTAGGTTCATAGTAAATTTCAAAGGGAGTTCATGTTTTGTGTTTGTTCATGAAACAAACCATTTGTCTTCATTTCCCAACTTAGGCCAGATTTCCTGGTTTGGTCTGGAGGAGCCCAGGGAATTCTGGGATTTTATCAGTGCGGCCTGCAGCTCGCTCCCCCATAATTGCATCGATAACATCGCCAACATGGAGGACGCTAAGAAACCAAAGGCAAAGGTCAGATTGCAATGTTCACAAGTCATCACAAGTCATCACAAGTTCATCGCAAGTCATCTGTCCCGAATACAGTCATTGTGATAGAGGCATTGCTTTGTTTTTGTTCATTCCCTTTACTTGTGCCAAGACTTGTGATTTACTTCTGACGGACTTGTGATGGACTTGAGATCCAATATTTTTCTGCCTGAAATTGTATTGAAAACTACACGCGTTAGCAACAGAATCCAGTTACAAGACACGAACAGTAGTGCATACTGTATATTTGTATCTGTTTTCTCATACCTTATGGTACCCACTGAGCTAAAACTTCAACAGTTTAGATGTTATGCACCCATTTAAAATTTTGAGCAATTTTGTTGCATTAAACAAAAAACAAATGGACAAAAACAAGTGATCTTACGTACCTTTAAACTTTTTCGTTCAAGGTTTTTATCACATCCATATTATATTCTTTGTTCTGTATCGGAGGAAATATGCACTAGGAATGTAAAAAAAAAGTGGTCCAAATGTGCAAAGTGCAAATATGCTAGAGAAGTTTAATAGAAAGTTGATAAAAAAAATTGGTGAGTACGTCATCCTGACATTATGTGAACTTCAGGTATGACGATACCAACTACATAAACATTGACTGGATAAAAATGTATATGCTGTGGGCAATAGCAGGAAGGCTGAATTTAGTTGCACATTTCGTTCTTACTCATAGCAATGGGGGTTCAACTTATGTTCCTGCTGTCTGGTCAGACTTCCTCCATAACCTCCCAAAAATGTCAATGATAGCTATCACCTGGACTCAGAACCTCTGCCTCCTAAATGCTAGATGACTGTCTTGGTAATGAGTTTGTTATCGCCAGAAATGCCCTAGGGTGCAAGCCCGGACTAAAGTGGGACGGGGTCACCTTGCATTCCACGGGGACTACGCCCATTTCTTTTGGGGGTAATTTGTCTGCTGGGTCATGGAGACTAGAACTGGGTCACTAGTCTGATTTGAGTTATGAATGCAAGTGCATTCACATTGTAGACAAGCTGCTACTGGAGACTTTATGTGAGTTTGAATCCCACTTCTGACACCATATTTTATTTATCAGTTATGTTTTAACTACATGTATTAAATGGTGATAACTAAATTAAATAATTATAGGTGCTTTATAATTATCCCAATGGAAGCCACAAAATCTGTTTTGCCTGCAGTTTATCATGGCTAAAGTCAACTTGTATTTGTGGCTATTACCAAATGTTGTCAGTTGACTCCAGGACTAAGAAGTTTTGACAGATTTGCATTCATGTTTGTGTCGTACCCCACAAGAATCTACGGACATATTTCAAAGGGGTTCCAAGGCAAACATATAGGCAATAGAGTCTGTAGCTTCCATGAAACTCATTACCTGAGTTTTATTCTGGTTTTGCTTTAAGACTTGTATTGTTACTATCAAACAGGGACGAGCCTGGATTCGTTCTGCTCTGATGGAGAAACGCTTGGCGGAGTACATCCAGCACACGCTGAAAGACGAGAAAGCATTGAAGTAAGCTAAAAAGAATTCAGATGGGTAATATTGAAGTAAATTTTGCCCCAGCACCTCCCCCCCCCAAAAAAAAGGGGGGGGGGGGTGAAGAGGTTGTGGTCCGTGAGCGAGGATGGTTACCAGTCAAGAAATGATCAAATTTACCTGACTGACCAGCATGGGCTTTTAATCAAGGATGTTTATTGGGAGATTACCCGATATCGACAATGAAATTTCATGTTTTTACTGAATCTTTTCCCGCAGAGCTTTCTTTGGGGAAGGTGCCTTTATGCGGTCTGAGGAAGCACAACTAGTAGCGGCAGAGCTGGAGAAACTGAACACGATTGATTTCAGGTATGACTGACCAAATTGTAATACATCAGCTAAGTAACTAAAAAGGAAAACAAATTACTAATTGGTGAAGAAGTATAACAACACATAGTTCTGTTACAAATGTGGCTGTAGAATTGAAGGCTAACGCTTCAGTGTGCCCTCCGTTGCATTTTTGTCTCAAATTTAAAGCGTCTTCACTTTTTTTTTGGCAGTTCGTGCCTCAGAGGTGAGAAACTTGAGACTGGTGTGGCGCATGTCATCGACTACTCATCATATCTGCAGATTCTCTTAAGGTAGGAAAATAAAGGAATTATTCCATCCAAAGATTTTTAGAAATAATTAAACAATGTCATATTAATGTCATATTAAAAAAATTTTTTGGGGTTTGTATTTTTGTGGTGTTGTTTTCTGAAGTTTGTGGGTTTAGCCCAATGAATTCTGTGAAGACTGTCTCTTAAGATAGCAGTGAACAGTAAGTAAAAAGTAAAGTCTGTCATGAGCCGATATGGCCCATCATGCCAACGTTTATCTCCGGTTTCCTCGGCATGAAATAACTGAGAATATTGCTACTCCCTCTGGATGGGATGCCAGTCCATTGCAGGTTACTCCCCAGCTAATGCCGGTACCCATTTATACTCCTGGGTGGAGAGAGGCAAGTTGGGGTAGAGTGGCTTGCCCATGGACACAACATATGACCAGCAGCTGGATTCGAACCCCTGACCCTCTGATCACGAGTCACAAACTCTGACCTCTAGGCCGCACCAGCAATGAGCATACAGGATTAATCAGATAATAGAAAATTGGTTTTGATGAAAATGTTGAACTCATGGATACACTTTTCTGGCGATGTACAATTTGATGTTTAAAATACTCATGGTTTGCTTTTGTAGAAATGAAGAAATCCGCAGCGATACATGCAGCTTACAGGCTGTGGCTTGTGAGACCAATGGAACTGAGGGGTCGTCTGAAAGCCACAGCCGCAGCCAGGCTGGCAGTACAGCCGACGAGAAATACACAAGACTACAGGAGCAGTTCCGAGCAGTCTGTGCTCAAAAGGTATCCACAGACATCAGTGAGCTGGCTATAATTGCTAGAGGGAGGGCAAATGTTGCACAAGTGACACACCAGATGATGAAATTCAAATTAGATATCCAACCTTCACTGGCCATTTGCCAAAAGTATTTGTGTGCAGTCAAATGTTGTATCGTAAGTACATTCTAAATTTAATACAGAAATACGATACTCGGTAGGTGCAGTTCGGAAATTAAATGTGCTTGTTCATTTTGGTTAAGCAGTTTATGTCACATTTCTTATTTTTAGGACTATTTGGAAGACACGATTCAGCAAAGGGATCGCCAGCTAGCCAGCAGCAAGACGGAATGTAAACACCTCCAACAAGCACTGAAGCACACCGATCAGATGGCACGGCACGAACACCAGCAACTACAGAAGACGATCATACAGCTGCAGGCCAAAGTGTAAGGCTGTGTCCAAATTGGGTGGCTACGGCTAGCTGTAACACAGTGTCTATAGGAAGCGGCTTCAGCAGATTCCATGTCACGTGTAAATGCAAGCTGTAGCCATGTCACTCAGACGTGGGCCAAAGTCCGATACAGCCGCAGTATTCATTTTGCAAAGGACAGGACTTTTCACGACATCGAATCCATTATTCAGTCACCGAGCCAAAAGTAAAACACATGTATGCATTAGCACAGTGATGTCACAAAATAAGGGAACCCACTGGAATATAAGTCAAAAGATTTTCCTGGGCTATCCCAGCCAATTGCTGAATAATCATAAATTAATAAACAATTAAGGTCAACAGACATTAAGGACAGTGTAAAAATGTGAATATTTTGACACACATTTTGTCCAGATATTCAGAGTCCTACCTACAATGAGAATTAAGAATTTCTGTTTCCAAGCGTGGTGAAAAGCAGTCTATGGGGGATCTTAAGACCCCTGCGTCATCTCCAAATCAGAAACCTTTTAATATCCAAACCACACGAAAAATACTCTAAATTTTGGCCTCATATTAAGAATTAAATAATCCTGAAAGAGAAAATAGACCCGTATCTAGCAAGAGTCCCCAAAAATATTGGATATGTAAATCTCCTGCGAAGCTGGAGACACAAACTGAATTTTCTAATGTTTAATTTGATTTTTTTCCGCATCCCAGAGTTGAGTTAGAGGAAGCCAGGCAGATGGCTCGTGTAAGTCTCGAGAAACACTTGATTAAGGGCCAGTGGAATCCCCCAGCACCAGGATCTGATGTGACGCCGTCCACCCTAGCTCTCCTAGACCAACCAGAGTCCATCTCACTGGACAATCTTCATCTGGCGCTACTTCCAAATGAGATGCCTTCCCCAGACGAGTAAGTTTGATGAAATTAATTCTTGCAGCACAAAGGTTACTGCAAGATTTTAGAAGTATGAAGGACAGAAATTCTCGTAGACTATTCTAGGACACACAGTTTGATACCGTTACCGAGGGGTACCGTCCTCTAAGGAATTTGAAGTGAAACTCGTTTTTCTCTCTGAATTGCAGAGAGAGTGTTAGGAGTTTGGATCAGTCCTACAGCAGCCGGCAGTGCGACAGTCCAAGTCCAACCTCGGCCGCGTCCAGTTCTTCATTGTACGTCCGCTCGGACAGCGATAGAGGTCAGAGGTCAATACAGAGGGACAAGGAGGAAACGCAGAGTTTGATTCCCTTGGCGGGGTCGTTCACATCACAGGTGCGTGTCGTAAGGTGTTTGTGAAATCACGGTTAGGTCATCAGCTTCGGCTTCATCGTTGGTTTTAGATTCATTAGGATGGCGTTCTGGTCAAATGAGACAGAACTGGGCAGAGGTCGAAATGGGGGCTGGCAGGAAAGAGAATAATATTCTTCCTACAATAGTTTGTTGCACTTCAATCAGACATTTCATTGACAAGTTATGGCTGTTTAAAGGTTGCATTTAACGACGTGTCAAAAAATGAAAAGCTGAGCAAGTTCATCTTCCGCACGTCACTTAAAAATGAGTGTGACGTGCAGTGGTTGGGGCTCAATGGATCAGTTTAGACTGTTAGCTCATCATGAACGCTTTTTAAGGTAGTTAAGACAATTCAACATAGTATTCATTCAAAACCCAGACCATGTGCATTCATCCTTTGCATGCCACACCCGAACTGCACGCATCATCCCCCCCCCCCCCTTCCCTCTCTCTGGCCACCTTCTTATCCCTACTGTCCCCTTTTCGGTAGATGAGCGTCAGATCGACTGAGACCTCCAGCTCTGGTATGCTTGACTCTGATACCCACCTTTATGTAAGTTGTACCTTCCTTCCACTTGGCTTTCTGAAATTGTCACCCCAAAACTTTTTTTTCCATTTTTGTGTGTGGTGCTTCTCCAAGGCTTGTGCAATCATTTAAGTGGGTCATCAACTTCCACTCTGTATAAAAATGTTGGTTTTTTTGTTAAAGTAACTGACGTTGTTGTCCATCATTTTCCTTGGAACAAGCATGTTCTCAGCATGTTCCAAGTGATAAATGGGCGATCCCGTAAAATCCAATGTATGTCCAACCACACGATGTACATGTACACAGTCGTTAAGGTGGTGGTACCCTACTTTGGTCTGTAATTGTTTTCCACTCATTAGACGTCACATTATTAGTGATGTATCACATTCACTTTTCCAACAGCAGCTCATAAAAGTGTCCGAGATGTACGTACGAATTTACGCAATTGCTCAAATGTAATTTATCTTATCTTTTCTTGATTTTGCAGCGAGTTCGTCCCATGTCCCCAGGATCAGTTAGTTCAGACTCATGTGTGTCATCTGATGTCAACCAACCCTTAGTCGTTTCATAGTAAAAATAGGATTGCGGTTGGGGGGGGGGTGTTGTTAGACTGCGTTGAGAGGGGATTGTAAATTATTTATAACATTTATTATAGACGTATACTGTTGTATAATGACCATAAATGGCTCAATTTAGGGTATGGCCATATGTCAAACTAACAAATTCTAAGTTCTAGAATTATTATTTGAATTATCATTTCAATTGCTGTAAGATTATAATTAAGTGCAATTTTTAGTTTGATTAATTTTAATTTGACATACGTTTACTTGCAACATCTGTGCCCAACGTTAGGGCGCCCTCAGGTCGACCTGCGATATGCTTGCGCCGCAACGGAACAGTCAGCATCAAGTAGGAATTGTGAGAAAATTGTGATATTCTCGTGGAACAAGCAGCATCTCGACACAAAATAGTTGCAACTTTGCTAACAGATGCACGCACGATGTTGTAAATTCACACGGGTAGACTGCGATTGATCCCCGCTTGTCGGAAACACGTTCTGGTGTGGCGCAGAAGTTGACTTTTTTTTTTTACTTGCAACTGTTAAATTTTTTTGAGCGCCAACTGATGCCAATCATCTGAAGTATCGTCACGGTTACATTCAGGTCGTAAAAAATTGGCGAATGTATGTTACCAGCGGTCATAGCTCAGGCGCAGCTTGATGCTGAAAAATCAGTCACCGACTGTTCTGTGTCGTCGCAAGGACAACCTGAGTGTTTTATGCATGGTAATGGAACCTTTAAGTGCATTAAAGATACAATTGTATGTAAGTTTTATTAGTGGTAAACAGGGAACTTGAAAAGCTAGCACAAAGAAATAAAGTACAAATATACTTACTGTGAATTTCGAGGCATTTATTAAAATGCATTTCACATTATAACAGCACTACGACAGTGTTACAAGAACAAAACATTTTTTGTGACATAAATTTCTCTACAAATTCAAATCTAAAGCTAGTGAGCACAAAAAGCTTTTCTGATTCCTATGAGTGAAAACCAAAGCACTTTTTAAGTGCGTAATCAAACAACTGACTGCTTTTGTAGTTTGCTGTCTAAATGCTAATATTTCTAAACTGTAACACTTACCAAAGTTGTACTGAAAGTATGACTGTAAATGATAGAAGTCTTGTTTATGCCAATTTTTGGCAGAGTTTATTTTATTAAATTGCGAACAAGATATATCTACTGTTTGACTAACAACTCTAAATTGTTCACATGTACATATTCAGTATCTTAACTCCAGACTCCAAAATTTCATCCACTTAACAATATCTTGTGAAGTCATCACAGTCTGAAGTAAACAGAAGGCAAGAACTGAAAACAAAAATTACGTAATGTATGTTTAAACACAAGAGTATCTTTTTATGGCAAGCTTATTTGGCAAGTGAAGCATGGAGTAAATTGTGTAACCAAAAAAGGATTTCTCTTGTATTATTAGTATTTTTTAGTGGTAGATGCCATTATCAGTGCTGTACCCTGAATATATAGGGTTATATGCCGCACTTTAACTCGTCTGTCCCCAAACCATCCCAAAACGCCTTGCCTACTCCCTGTACCGTCCAAAACTGCTCCGTCTGTTACTCCCTGTACCGCCCTAAACTGCCCTGCCTGTTATGCTGTGTTCCAAGCGCGTCGTGTTTATCGAGTTAACCATGAATTACTCCTAGTTCACGAGTGGGTTGCATTCTATTGCTACTCGCCAACACGCACGCACACAGGCCTTCATGCACATTGACCCCGCTAGTATTTTCATCAAGTCGTGAACTCGAGAAGAAAATTCTGCCTCCAGTTCACCACTGGTGAATACGAGTTACCAGGCAATAAGATTGCTATAATACGACTAGTGAACTCGTGAACACGATAAACATAATGCGATTGGAACGCAACTGCCCACCCCACCTGCCCTGCCTGTTACTTCCTGTACTGCCCCAACCTGCCCCAGCACTGTGGGATTGTTCAGTAAACAAATATAATGTAATATAATGTAGTTGCAGGTGTTAATGGGTTGGCATGCAACTACAAGGATGTTGTCAGCTTTGCAGATGTGTGTGGACCATGTCAAGGCAAAAACTCGTCCCAGGCTTTGACACAGAAAAAGACACATTCGTAGCATGTTTGAGGCATTCGCAGCTTTTACACCTAAGTAAGTTTAATGCACATAAATACAAATGACAAAATGGCCACCAAAGTGTCTTTGCGATATTTTGTTCTCATATTGTTGACGTATGTTTCTCAAGTTGTCTTTTGCTTTTTCCTAGAGAATGTCTGCCTTGTTTGTGTCAACAACATGCAGTTTTTGTAAAGAAGTGGGACACAGCCATGTTCTGTTTCTAATCAATGAATAAATTGCAAAATTTGACCTTTATTTGAATTGACCATTATTGTAATTATCTTAATGTCGTGTCAATAATTGCTGGAAGTTTACACATGAAATATATCAAATTAAAAGCGTTGAAAATTATAAATTAAAACAAAGTCTGACAATGTGGATATCAGTTCTTAAAAAACAAAATTGGAAAAGATTTGCTCAATTGTAAATTGGAAAAGATTTGCTTAAGTAAAAATTGACAGAAAGCAGCCAACATTTCAAACTATTAAAACATTTATTTTGTATTTTTATGGGATTCTATTTTCGGAATTGTCTTTACTTCTTTGGAGGGCTTCGCTTGTTAGCAGCAGGACTTTTGCTGTCGCTAGCCTGGTTTTCCTTACTCCCAGCTGGGCTAGATCTCCTTCCCCCTGGACTATTTTTGCCTTTCCCCGAACTGGCTTTACTGCCAGCCAGGCTAGCTTTATTCTCACTTGGGCTACTAGTACCATTTGGGCTTCCTTTCTTGCCGTTGGGAGTTTTGTTGTTGGGGCTTGCTTTGCTTCCCCTGGGGCTCCCATTTCCCTTCCGGGCTTTGTTCCTATTTGGGCTCGGCTTGTTCCCATTTGGGCTCGGCTTGTTCCCATTTGGGCTGGACTTGTTCCCATTTGGGTTGAGCTTGTTCCCATTTGGGCTACAGGTACTTGCACCCATGTTAGCCTTGTTCCCATCTGGGCTACCTTTGTTCTCCCCGTTTGGGCTGATTTTGGTACTTGCCGGACTGCTCTTACCAGGGGAACCCGTCTTTGAATTCCCAGTCGCCGATTTCCCTTTAGTTGGTTTGTTGCTGGGTGTGGCTGGTTGCTTGTTGTCGGGTGTGGCTGGTTGCTTGTTGTCGGGTGTGGTTGGTTCATCATCTTGCTCCTGGTGATCCTCACATTCTTCCTCCTAGAAAGAAAAATCAAACATTGCCATAATACCACCTCATTCGAGACACCAACTGTCATTTTGCGTGTGATCAATCACATGACTCTCAAACTTACTGAAGCGCAGTTGTCATTCATAACGAGAGTTGTACTTCTCCCACAGGGTGTATCAATGAAAAAGGTCATCCCAGAAAATGGAGCAATATGTTAAAATTATAAACTTGAACACTATAATATGGTTGCCTATGAAAGTTGCTTTATCGGCTTTTAATGGATACCTTACTTGCACCCCTACAGTCAAGGATGATGGTCTGCTCAAGGTACGTTAATTAGTGAGAATCATTCGATATATCAAAGTTCCTGTTACTGTATGCTTACCGTTGAAGAGCCAGTGTCGCAGTCTGTACAGTACCACATGTAGCCAAACTTCTTGGGACATTTCTTACACGGAGGATCCAGGCAGCTGAAATGGTAGAACTTCTTACATTGGTCACATCTACACCGAAAAAAAAAAGCATAACAAAAAACAAAACCAAAAACAAAACGGTGTTAGGGGTGTTTCCTTTGAATTTGGGGGTAGGGGTGGGGGTAGGGGAGAGAAGTGACCCACCTGACGATGCTGTTAGTATCGCCCTCTTTGTTGCATTTGCAGCACGTCCCCTTGGTTTCTCGTACCGGCAGCTTGCGTTGGGTTGAGCGCTCTCGTTTTGCCTTGGGTGGTTCATTCTGTCAGAAATCATGCATTCAAGCAGTTTATTAGACAGCAAGTATTGTTCTAGTGTGAAGGTAATATATATATGACCTTGTTTATCTTACACTCTCTAACATAATCCACATTTTTTTATATTAAATGCAGTACATAAACCCAAATGCATTCAGCAGCTTTGTATACAAAAATCATCGTTCTTCACAGAAACAAATTAACTCACCTCATCCTTGACCGAGTTGCCATCTTCATCTTCTGCCTCCTCCTTAGCCAGTTTCAGTTTCCGTTTCATACCTCTCTTGCCTTTTCTTTTCCCCTTGGAGGCCAACTAAGGAATCAACAGAACAGGAACAATAAATAATTATCTCAAACACCAAGAGATGTAGATAAGGTAAACTACATGACGATGTTTTGAGGAACAGTTTCCAGACGGGTTTGTCTCTCTGCCTCACCTTTTTCTGACTGCCTTTGCCATCGACGGGAGGGGTGAATTTATTAGGTTCTCGGATGATTCGTCTTTTGCGTCTCACTGCTTCGTCACCGTCTTCGCCTTCCACTGTCTCAGCCATGGAGGTGTCACTGGAGGAGGTGACACACTCCGAGCATTGCCTACGGAGAGAGAAGGAAAGGCAGGTGATCAGGCCAAATATTCGTTGGAGTCTTGTTTGACCCTATCCCAAGGCTGACCACTTGAAAGGCTAAGACTTTTCATCATCCAGTACGTGATACTATGAAGTGAGGTTAAGTCTGAAAATCCCAGTTGTGATGCAGTTTTTTGTTTTGGGCCATATGAACGTGGAAGGTTGCAACCACGATATATGGGCTCTGTGCACAAGTACCCCCTCAACGGTAAGAACGAGAGAGTTGGGGGAGACCACTGGGAGAGACTTCCAAACTCTTTGCTGACTACGCCTGACGCTCACCCAAAGAAGCTATGGCTCAGTGCACATTCAAATAAAAGTTGTGTCCTGTCCACTGGGCTCTTGACGATAGTAAAAAAAAAGGCGCCCTCTCTTGTTCTCCGCACGGAGCCCATAGACTAACCCAGAAAGTAAATCACTGACCACAAAGCCTCACATTTATTCTGAACGGTAGTTGGCACAAAGCTTCTACGATGACTGGGGATTCGGCATTGGACTCCGTGCATGCACAGTAGGTGGCGCTGTGCCACCACTCACGAGAGCTTCAGTGTGGTGTCACAATGTGTGCACACGCACTCTTGTTTTACTATACTCCCGAGGACAATGCTTTGTGTTTCCCTTTATCCCTGTAATATAACACGCTCCCATAGACTAAGCACACAAACCTACTACAGAGGACCATTTTCAACAAAAGACCCAACTCCCGAGGACTGAAAGGATCTGTTGTTCTCCCTTTGTGTGTCGGTCCTTGGGGGTTACGTAGAACAGGTACACACTAGCTTACGCATATGACATTCAGAACACAAAACTCATTTCACTGCAAATAAAAACATACCCATAGCATCTTTGGGTGAGCGTCAGGTGTCATGGTAATGAGTCCTTCCCAGCGGTCTCTCCTACCTTTTGTAATCATTGATGGGATATTTGTGCACGGAGTCTGCGGAGTCAATCATTCTATGTCTATTCGTATCCATCAATCGACTGCTAAGTCTTACCATCCACTGAAGGCAGTTTTCTTGGGCATACGGCTCAGCGGTGGATCCAAGCAACCCAGGTGATAATGCTTCTTGCAGGTATCACACAGAGCCAGTTGGTGCTGGTCTGTCGACTGCTCACATATGCCACAACTTGAGGATAGATCAAAATCAACATGAAATTCTTTAAAAAAACTTAACTGTTACCTTCACTTATCCTATATGACTCCAAAATAAATCTGTGGTTTACCATAATCATGGTGTACAGACCACATAAGAGAAGAATGTAGATAATAATGCTGATAATAATGCACAGCTTACTAGTGTATGACTGCGGGTGACTTCGGCCCCTCTTTCTTGGTCGGTATCTTCTTAGCCCGAGGGCTCTTGATAGCCTCCGGCATGGGCTGTTTCTTGAGCCCCATGGTGACCAGCATCTTCCATAGCGACTGGCCTTCCATCCTCTGCTTGGCAGTGCTGATGCGTAAGGATTCCACTTCGCTGGAAAGCTGAAAAGGGGTAGATTTGAAAAATTAACACCTAACCCTATGAGATCCTTCAAAGTCTATCAAGAGGTTTAAAAGATTTTGTAGGATTGAGGAAAGGGTTGAGCCCAACCAATGTAATTTTACACGGGGCTTGATGCTTGACGGTGTTTATTTCACTACAGGTATTGGATACCTACTTCTGGAAATTTAGCACATTTGCACAATTATTTGTTTAATAACAGGAGAATGAGGGGAATCCCCTGTACAGTTTTTCCTCAGTATCACCACTTCTTTTGTACTGAGCCTCCATTACTTTTTCAACTGATTTCTTAAGCACATTTTGTCACCATTTGTGTTCATGAATCTGTCTGAACAGAATTTGAAAGTCCCACCTTGTCATAGAGGCCTCTCAGTGTGACCTGCTCTGCCTGCAAACGTTCATTGACTCGCATCGATTCGCCCAGTCTGTTCTTGAGACCGGACATCCGAACATCTCGGTCTGCAAAACAAAACAAAGTAAGGTATCCATAATGTTTGCTCACAGAATGCTTTTCAGGGAAATGATGTTCAAGGGTACAAACACTGCTTAAAAGATAATAGCACTCTGCGGACCACTGACCGAGATAATAGTTGACAAACTCGCCGGTGAACGCCGGTGGTATGTGCCACTTCCTGCGTACATCGCTGGACTCCTTGACGTGGGTTTGGTGCTGGGATTCCGTGTTAATTCCCAGGAGTTCGGCCTTCTTCATCAGGTGACGGATAGCCGAAGGACTGGTGGTCAGGAGACGAGGGACCTGTAAGGTCAAAAGTCATGAAGGTTCAAAGGTTATAATGGTTATAAGGGTTAAAGATTATTACATAGTTATAAAGGCTAAAATGGTCAAACGTTATAACAAGCTCAAAAGGTGCAAGGGGAGAAATACAAATAAAATGCCCATGGAGTTCAAAAAACAATTCGACCATTTTCTTGACCTTTTCAGTAGGAACCCAAGGGCTAGGTTTCTTGACTTTGGACGCCTTGTACTTGTCCTGCCATCGTTTGAGTTTCTCGGTGATACGTTCCTGGCTGATTGGGTCGTCCGGTTTCCGCTCTTTGAATCGTTTCAGCTGAGACTGGATGGCCAGGTAGTTCTGGCGGCGGTAGCGCATGCTGGACTTCTCTACGTGGAGTTTGCAGTAAGCGTAGAATGGATCAGCTATGTCCTGTGGGAGTAATACACGACACAGTAGAGCAAGAACCTTGAAAAAGTACGTCCACACCATGTGTCGAAGAGGATTCAATCACAAGTCTAGTCACAAGTCTAGTCACAAGAAACAGGGGATGAACAATGACAAAGGAATACCTTTGTCACATTTTATTGGAAGGGCTCGTGACTTGACTTGAGACTGTAGGACTTGTGATGGACTCGACTAAAACACTGATCGGGACCTCCTTGTCCCATGTTTTCAAAAACCCAAAATTATCTGAAATGCTTCAATTGTATCTCACTTTTATTTCACAACCCGCGTTACATTTTATCCTCAATTTTCTGTTACAACATTTTTAGAAAAACTTTTTATATTTACTTCTTCTGGGGACGCTTCAGACAAGATTCCTTCACGCTGACCACTGCAAAAAAGACACAAAAAACTTTCGTTTAAAAGTGTCACACCAACTTCTTTTTTAAAATCTTCTATTTGGGTCATTGCTTTACTTATTATTTTTTTAACAGGCCCCTCATACTATTTCAACTGTCCAATTCCTTTTTTAAAAAAATGTCTTATTCGGGACACGAGAGTAGGAGAAATAAAATACTGTGTTTTTTTTTCTTGGCTGCTCTTGTGCTTTTAAGGAGTGCCCTTAACATTGGCTTTCCTTGTATCAGAAGTTGCTGGTATATATTTCATTTAACAAGAAAAAAAATTATGTGATACGAATCATGGATGGTATTGTGTTGCCTACAAGTAAAGCACTATTTATGACAATACATCCATTGTGCATCATGTGAATCCAATTACTTATTGAATTTATCCCTTCTAACAGTAACTTTTTGCATTTTTTTAAACAGAGGAGTGGGCTACGAACTCAGTCCCCATGACATGATTTCAGAGGTGGAATATACTTAAACTGACCAAGTGACATGGAAGTAGTTGCGACACATCCCAGCATCGCAGGAGATACATATCCCAGTCCGGCTAAATCGCTCATCCTCACAGTAAACACACGTCTGTTAGGTGAAATAGTCACATGAATATTTAAAGGCACATCAGGATCATTTGCAATTCGTGCATTTTGTTTATTTCCAAAAATAACACTATTCGAAATCCAAAGAAGCATATTTGTTCAAAACCTAACCTGTATAGTCAGGTGGCTTAGATCTAATTTTCGTCAAGATCGTGACCGACTGGTCCAAAGCACCAAACTTGGCAGATAGATTCTTATAGACCTAGAGAAGATATTTAGAAGGGGTGACACCTGAAATTCGTTTGGGAAGGGTGCCTAATTTGCATAAATCGTTAATCCCTGTCGTGTAATATATTTATTCCCATATTTGGGTATATTTCTATTTTTTTTATTTTTTTGAAAAGTGTATTTTGGGGATTCTACTTACATATCTTTACTTAAATAACATTTTCCAAATCATATAAGTGACCGAATAATTATGAGGACATAGTAACGATCCAAAATGGCTACTATTATGCACAAAAATTGCGCGCATTTACCTTGTCTCCAGATATCATCTATTACTCTTGCCAAACATCAGCATGGATGAACTTCAAATTCACCAAGTAGCTTACTGGTACAGTTACCTTATTAAAACCTTATGCAAAATCATGTGAACAATGATAGCATTGTGATATTTAGCCCAGAAAACAAAAACTGGGAAAAAACGAGGTGTCCATAAATTAGGCCAACAAGTAGGTGAAGGGTTGCCTAACATGGAAGACTGGAACAAGTTCAAGGAAATTCCCAAAATTATTGTTGAGAAAACGTTTTGGCGTAGACAAAATTATTGTAAACAACAATAATCTCTTATTTAGGGGGATTTCGTTGAACTTGTTCAAGTCCCAACGTTACCCTTCCCGTACTAGCCCAATTTACGGACACCACATTTTCTCCCCTTTTTGGGTCTTTTGGGCTAAACATCAAGATGTTATCAATTTTCACTTGATTTCCCACTTATTTTTGTTAGGGTAACTATGCCAGTAAGTAACTTTGTGAATTTGAAGCTCATCAATACCCACGTTTGGCGAGACTAGTTGGTGATATCTGAGGAAAAGGTAAATGAGCGTAACTTTAGGGTAAAATAGTAGCAATTTTGGTTCTTTACTATGTCCTCCTTATTATTCAGTCACTTATATGTTTTACAAAATGTTATTGAAATAAGAATATGCAAGTAGAATCACCAAAATACACTTTTCAAAAAAATAAAAAAAATAAAAATATACCCAAATATGGGAATAAATAAATTACATGGCAGGGATTAACGATTTATGCAAATTAGGCACCCTTCCTAAAAGAATTTCAGGTGTCACCCCTTCTAAATATCTTCTCTAGGGCTATAAGAATCTATCTGCCAAGTTTGGTGCTTTGGACCAGTCGGTCACGATTCCGACCATATGCCACCTGACTAGTAGAAGTTTCATCTCAGTGGATATTACACTTTTCGAGAAAACAGTGAAAAATCATGCACAGCCTTTTTGGCAAATCACTTACATTGCTTGCTGACACCTATTGTGTTTGTTAACTTTATTGTTAAACCGTGATGCAACTTTGTACTTCTTAGTTATATCAAATATTGAGTTCACAAGTACTACCAAAAAAAATGACACAACACCTACCCTGACGCCCCACTTTCCTGTCGGCATCTCGGACAGAGTGACCCAGCGTAGCTTCTCAACGTCTGCAAACGCTACCCCAGGGACGTAGAGGGCACACACCACATGAACCCACCTGAGATGGAAGACAAATTCTGATTAAAAAATTCCAGTGTCCTACTATTAAAATTACATTGAGTTCTTCATGTTGCTTACACAATGGAATAACCTTGGAAGAGTTTTTGGTAGGACAGGATCCTGAACAACAATCAAACATTATTAAGACATTCTCATGACACTATATCTGGTACATCTTAGCACACTTCTTAAATCCAAATAAGCACAACTGAGGTCAGAAGTTTCGGGGGGGGGGGGGGGGGGGGCGGTGCAAGATTCCTTTTCTACCAACCTTCCAGCATCAGTTTCCTTGAAGATCCCCCCAGAGTTAGGGCACAGCTCACACGTCTGAGAAAAGACAAGAAAACTGATTCAGTATTCTAGAATAACACACTGAATGTGCAGCTTGACTAAAACTGCCAATTGTCTACTGATTTCAATCATCCAAATTCACTTGATTAACCCAAACGCTCAAGGAGCATTTGCAAGGAATCTCCCTGTATCTTCCGCAATTCTTCACTGTGCAGTGAACCAATAGTACAACCATTTTACGTAAATTTTCAAGGGCATCAAGCCCCATGTTAAGTAATGGTAATTACAATCCCGCTCCAAAATCCTCCACTGTGTATGAAACCAATGGCACACTCTTTGTACCTACTAAGCTTCAAGATACACCAAGCCCTGTGTCATGTAATTGTTGCTGTGCTCTACCTTCCTCAATCCTCCAAAATCCTCCATAAACGTCCTGGAGAATTTCGAAGGATCTTGGGGGGGGGGGGGGGGGGTTTAGGGTTGAATGACAGGACTTACAGCATTGGCAATGCCTGCTTTACAGGTGTCACAGAACCATGGCTCAGTGGAGCTGGCCGTCTGTACGCTGCTGGTGGAGTCAGAGTCCGATAAGATTTCACCATAGCAACCTGTGAGACAATTACAAAAAGTACTTGTTCATATTTGATGACTTCTTAGCATTGAGGTGAAAAGAAAAATTCCCAGAGCTTGAGTAACTTCATGGGCTTACTTGGTGGGTCTCGAACCTATGACCCTGCTCACTAGAGCAAATGCATTGATAAATGAGCTTATAGGGACTCAAACTGAAGACCTGCGAGGGACAATTCCGGTGCTCAAACCACTCAGCTGTCGTGTTACTTGTGGAGATTGGTCTACAACAAGACTCAAAATTTCTGTTTGTCAAACAGATAGATATCTTTGCCCTAAATCCTGAGATAGGATGCGATACATACTAGGGTCTTTCATCAATTATCTTTTCTAAAAAGAAAAAAAGAAGAGTTTTAGGGAAAAACGTTTAAACATACCTTCATGAACCCCGATACCACAGCTGTCACACTCCACGATCTCATCACTGTCAATGCTGTCAACAAACAAACAAACAAGGTATTTTTACACTTCAAATATTGATTGACATTTTGTATATATAGCATAATCAGCACAGCTTATTTGTAGGAAGGGTTAAACACATTCATGGATTTTTGTATTAAGCACCAAATTCAACTTTCCAAAAATAGGGAGGTTGTTAAAATGGTATACAAATATCTAGTATCCTTCACAAATTTTTCTGTCAGGAGCCTACCTCACTTCCCCTAAGCAGACTGCACATATCAGCATCTTCAGCTTTGCTGATGGCTTGTCACCAGAACCAGTCTAAAAAAGGGCAAAACAGTACAAGTGAGTGACATATATCTGATCTTCTCATTCCTAATATCACTTGGAAAATAACTACTGACCACATTTTTTTCAAGCAAAAATCAGCTAAGTGCCAATCACAAGCACTATTCATTACTATTCATAAGACGGAATTTTCGCGTTGAGGTGTTGTAATTTCAATATTGGTTTTGACCAGGGGTAAGACTTCTACACTAGTAGCAGGATGTTGTGGGTTCGAGTCCCACCCGAGTGATTTTTTTCTCACAATCACTAAGGACAACACTGAGTATACGGTGTTTATAAAAAAAAACGTCGGTGAAGGGCGAAGCCAATATTGAAATATTTGTTACATGACATTCATGCTGGTAACCTACTTCTGCTAAGCAAACATTTTCCGTGTTTAGCAAAATTGTTGTTCGTAGCAGAACCACGAAGTTGACCTCTGACCTTGTCAGTGACTTTGCTGCTGCCTAGCCTGGCCTTGGTGATGAGTTCACCAATACTGGTTTTCTTCTCACTGCCTGAGTCTGTCACTTCTCGGCCAGAATCCTCATCCCCCTCCTCATCATTATCCTCCTCATCTTCATCGTCAAACTCCCCGTCTCCTTCACTGCTCCCGTCGTCCCCATCCTCCATCTCAGCTGCTGATCCTGCTGAATCTGTCATGAAAATGGTTGGCGTGGTTGAAAGTCAAAATTATTATTTTGGGGGGGGGGGGGCAAAAACACATGTTTTGAAGGGCTCAAAATACTAAATTATAGGAGAGTTTTACCTCCTCTGGATTTGGCTTAATGAAAGTATGAAGGAAAGTTAGAAAATTACCTGGTTCTTCATGTTCATTAATCTCAAAGTCACTGTCACTCTCACTGTCACTCATACCAAAATCCAGCTGGAGTAGATGACGCTCAACAGGCTTGACACGACGCTTCTTGGGATCTCGCTTATCTGAAATTAAAATAACCCCTTAAATTAGGTATTTGACTTTATTTAAACAAGAGATACTGTATTTATGAAAACCAAATTTGTTTATGTTTCAAAGCCGGCTTCTAGCATTATAGGTGGGATATACAGGTGGGCGCAGACATCACGGAATGTTTTACATATTGCTTATCTAGCTCCCAGACCTATGTTCTGAAAACTCAATAGTTCTTGAGTCTGGAGTGCTGAATGATAACACAAAGCAAAAGATGAAAACTGGCGCGCAAATGAATTTTTGTTATCGAATGTTTTCATCAGATGACCCATTTATTTTGCATAAAATCGGGAAGAACAATAAGCAATGTGTTGGATTTTTTGTTTATCTTTGTCTGTTTTGTGTTTATTATTTTTTGGAAAGATTCCCATATCTGGCCATCACTTGTCACCCTTTGCACAAACCTAGTATGAGACTGGTCTGAAAATTTCTAAGTGTTTTCTTAGTAAATATTTCAATATTTTACCTACTAAATTTGAATTTTTATGGCATATAACTTAAGCACTTTCTGATGGCTGATAGGTCACTAAAGGGAAACGTCATTAGCAATGGCCAGATATGAGAATCTTTCCAAAATGGTGGTTGTTTTTGTGAGACTGTGACAGGCCTATTAATATATTTTCAAAGAAAAAATTGGAAAGCAACAAAATTAGAGGGTAAATGTTTTACCTTTAGCAATTAGCACAACAGCAGAAAACATTTCTCAATGCATGGTTCATTTTTCATGATTTTCTGTTAAAATTTTTTAATTTCATTTGTATATTTTTGCAATGCAAATTCGGCCTATGGTGAATAAAATCATGGAAATGACGTCAGTATTCTACATGTTTCCCAATGTAATGAAATCTGGTGAACGCAAATTGATACGACAATAATTTACAGGGATTATTTATTTCATTCTCAGTCACACCATGGTCACACTGAGAATAGGACTGTTTTTCATTCACAATAATTACAAAGTGCGCCCTCTATGTCCACCCAGTTGCTTTTTCCCAGACCATTTCATTATTAGGTCAACCAGAACCTCAGCACAACACATTACTTACACATTGCTTCATACAAAAAGTCCACATCATCTCCAACTACTCCTTTTTCTTCGCTTTTTACCTCTTCTGTCATTATTGTTAGTTACTCTGCCAAATAAGAAGAGAATTAACACAAATCCTGTTACTTGTGCAATTTTAGTCTACAGCTTGTGGGTTTTAATAATGAACGTGCAGTTCAAGCTACATCAGAAAGACCTCCCAAGTTTCTAGAAATTGTATAAGTTTGTAAATTTTGAGTAATCAACCTAGAAATTGAATCTTCAAAGAAATTATTAATTGCTTATTTTATAACTTTGGAACAGATTATTTTTGGTGATATTCTTTTTTTTTTCAGGTCGATTGGTGGCTTAAATTCTTTTTATAATAACTTAAAAGTTAAAGGGTATTATTGTGTCGCCATTTTGGATTGTAAGTTTTGTGTGCGCACTAAATAGGTTGCCCCGTTCTAACACAAAACATCTCCGTCAAAATGCAAGGATTAACGGTCAAATCACTACGGAGTCACTATGCAGTAAGTATGAACATTTTTTTTTAATAAGCCTTAAATCCGTCACAATTTTAAATCTTAACCGAACGTAAAATTTTCGATTGTTTTTGTCAACGCAGTGGCTATCGTTACGGCAGCCGTAACGCATTTCCCATTTTCTATCGTTACAGTAGTACTGCAACTTTTATAAAAACATGAGAAGAAAATATAAAATTAGAAGGAAAAAAAGTGAATTTGAACGTTATGAAATTCTGACAATATTTCCCTTTTAAAAAAAATCCTCCAAAGCCTCAGGTTAGTAAAGGAGAAAAATTCGAGTGCAAAATTGAGGTGCGAACCTGCAACCTCGCGGTGCAAAATCCTACCCTCTATCGACTGAGCTGTCGCACTGCTCGCTAAAACGTGGGGAAACAAATAATTATATACCTGCGTGCGTATCAAACAAGTATCGTAGAGGGTGCTAAACAACGGCTGTCGTAACGATAGCCACTTCGTTTTGTCAAATTGCGACGATCGCGGAATGAGCCGCGCTGCATTTGCCGGTCCTTAAAGCTACGCGGTCATATTTCTACCCACTCGCCTTGAATTGCGTATAAATAGGACCGCGTAGCTTTAGCCGGCAAATGCAGCGCGCCTCATTCCGCGATCGTTACAATTAAAAAACAATCGAAAATTTTACGTTAAGATTTAAAATTAAAATTGCATTGCAAGCGTTACCTGCGCAGCCTATGGGGACTGGTTGATACATCAATCATACATACGGGGAGGGGAGGGGGGAACATTTGATAGGAGCATTAGTGTTGAGGGGGTACTTGTGCTTGGCCTTGTCATGCTTGTTGGAACCCCTACAGGCACTAGTGTACGTATATTGCTGTGTTATCCTATTGCAACCCTTCCAGAAAGATTGCTGTGTCTGGCAATCACTTGTCACCCTGTGCACAAGCTGTGAAGCTGTGTATGAGACTGGTCTGAAAATATCTAAGTGTTTTCTCTGTAAATACTTCAATGTTTTCCCTGCTAAATTTGACATTTAAGGACATTTTATCAATTTCTGATAGGTCACTGAAGGGAAAAATTAGTTATCATAAGAGAATCTTTTCACACTTTAATAAACTTGTACACATTGGATGACAGTTTCAAGAATTTCAGCAGTCGAAACTGTTGAATTTACTGCCTTTTGAAAGTATTGGATGTATTTTATGACGTCTCAACCCTTGCCACTCTGGGTTGATTATTTATAAATCTATGTAAGTGAGCATCATCAAACAGCCGTCGTACTGTAAATGCTTGAAAATGATTGTCAGCCTTGCCAATAATTTCATAAATTGTTTCCTTTTCATTTCAGTTGATTCCTCTGTTCGTATCAGTGGGGATTGGAGCTGCATGGGCAGCTTACTACATTGGCCGTCTGGCACTGAAGAACCCAGATGCAACGTAAGTGAACGCAATGATAATTGAATGGGTCCTTGTGTTGTTCATGCTCAGCCGTGCATAAATTTATGCCTAGAATATACTTCAGATCCTCCGCACTGCTCCAGGATGTCACTGGCTCTGCCTCAACATATTGACAGTGATTGCTGGAGGATTTTGCAGTGGTCACCCCTCCAAGAACCACATTCAAGAAACAATGGAGGATTTTGCTAGGGAGTTAGGGTTAAGGTCCTAATTAGTGCAGAAGTTCACTAAAAGAAATGTATTTTTTTTAATAGATGGGATAAGAAGAATAACCCGCACCCATGGACGAAGATCAAGCCCAATGAGAACATAAAGGTACAGTATTTGGGAAATCATCAACACATGTGTCTGTGTTTCCTACTTGTACCTACTTCAAGCTCACACAGAGTAGTAACAAGAGTTTTGTATTTTTTTTACACACAACTTGATTTTCAAGATAAAACGGTTTTACAGATGTAAATGTAAAAGTAAAAGAAAGCTGTGTGTGTATGATCATTATCTAAGCTACATCCAAAACAGCAACACTCACGTGTTGGTGTCTTAATTGTGTGAAAGAACCTAGAATGTGGATTGAGTTACTGGCCAGTGCTGGATTTAACTTTAAATAAATTAACTTTCCTTGCATCAACATTTGTAGGGTTTGGGTAATAACAGGTAAACAGAAACGCTTTGTTTTCATTGAATTGTTGGTTTTATCCTGCAGGCTATGCAAGATCATGCAAATGGTCTGAACAAACTAAATTACATAAAGGTCATTAACCCTCCTGCTACCTGAACAGTCACAGACAGTCAAAAAATCAATCCTGTCCCCTGCCATGCCTTTTCCACAGGCTAGTCACCAACAGTCAGATCATATTTCAAGCAAGCACTGTGACTAGTCAAATTCAGTCAACAGACAAAATGAGACGACAGAATGAGGCAGAGCACACTAACACTACAGTATCCTCCCAATTTTAATATGATTTTTCTCACACCAAAGTGAGTTAGATGGATTAGTCTATTCGTTGGACAATTTTAATTAATTTTAATTTGATTTTGTTCTCTTCAGTTCTATGCCCCGGGAGGAATCGAATTTGCCAAGCTGAAGTCAAATCGACCTGAACTGTAATCATCCAGGCTATTCCCTACTGCGACTCGCAACACGAAACACCATTTGACGAGTCTGAAGTACGGAGGGATCGAGGATGAAGTTTGTTAACATAAATTTACAAATTTGTACAAAGAAATAACTTTTTGGTTTGATTGCTTGCTAGTATTGATAGTATTTGGAGCAGTAGAATATTATGTTGAAGTTCAGTTTTGTGCTCCATAAAATTTGTATAAGCTGATAATTAACTTTGACCTGGTGTCTAAATGCTCGCATCCATGATCATCTTAAGAAGGCATTATTCCAAGTATTGTTTTCTGCTTTTCAAAGAAGCATATTGGCAAGGAGTGTTATCAGATAATTTTCAATTTTGGGCAAGTTATTTATCTTTTTTTTTTACTCAATTGCATGGATAAAGTATGTTGAGTAATAGCCTATTTTAATGTTAAGATAAACTTAGCTGCCAAAACGAAATCCCTCAACAACGATTTTAACGATCAACTATTAGTTGTCCTAAAGAGAAACATAAAATCTGTTCATTGCATGTTGCGGAATGTTGATCAATACTAGTTGGTTGCCTCACAATGTAAGTATTCTACACGTAGTTCTTGGTCATATCCAAAGGTTTTTGGATAGTCTAACTGCACAAACATTTTTCAACAAGGCTGAATTTATTCTTAAAAGATCCCGACGCACAGTCTTCCCCTACCAACAGTATTCGTTTCCCCTTCAAATACAACGGGTGTGTTTCTTGTAGAAATATTTGTAGGGTATTACATATGTCGAGTCCAAAATATCTCTCAGTATTTCAAAATTACAGTACAGTTACTTGGATGTGTTGTGTACTACTCCTGCAGGGTCATATTGGACAATAAGCTTTAACGCACAAGCTAAACATTTGTCAAAACAGCACTGCTATAATTGAGTGACAGGGTTAGGAGTTTTGTTTCAGTATGTACGTGTATAAAAACCATCCTATTAAAGACAGAATTTCACTCCCAAGTCCTTACATAATTCCCTGTTACACATGTAGGTTTGGACTTCAACTGATATTGAAATAAAATTCAAAGAGCCAGTCATATAAATTCTCTGTTTGTTTTTCAGAGTTTGTTTGATGTTGAGATTCCATATCAAAGCCAACAATTTTAGGTTCAAGCTGTGCCGTGCGCCAACTTTCTTGAATACCAACTAGCACAATCATACAACATCGGATTTTTGTGACTGCCGGGAACAGCACACATGGATGCCTTTTCCTTCAGTTTGGATGGTTAGGAATTTGTTACAAGTAGTGAAGACCACATTATACTAAATAATGACACAAACACAACTTACTTTGCATGTCATTTTTAATGTCTAAACTAGTATCCGTGTTATTACTAAGCCATTTTTCATTATGGATCTTACACAAACACAATTAGCACACATTCAAACCAAACCTGCAAACTCAAAAACATTTGAACATCTTTTCACAAAGGCCATCTTTGTCAGAATCTCTAAAATGATGACAGCAATAGTCAATCTTTATTATGACTGATTTTCTCTCTCAAGAAATTTGAGTTTCATCAACTAGAGATGTCTGAGGTGTGACCATGTACATCCCGACTTATGATGGCAGACGAGGCCATTTTCCAAACCGCAGCTTTGTCCCCGAACTGTGCCTTCAGCTTCAACGATCTCAGACTTGTAGTATTGGAACTGATGGAAGTTTCCCCAAATTGGCCGCTTACTAGTTGTGTTCCTGATGCAAGATGGAGCTGAGCTATGGAGCCATAGACGAACTCTTATGCAGCATGCAAGAATCTGCTATTAAGAATATTTGCTCAGCACATTGGCCGATACTGGCCAAAATGTCAGTGTATTAGCCAAAACTTGCAGAGCGATTTGTTTCTTCTGCTTAATACCTTCTTGAGAATTAGCTCTGGTAACGTTTTGTAAGCAAATATTTGAGCTTAGCTTAAATTAAGCTATATACCGATAGTGCAAATTACTGTCTGAATCATTTATAATTTGTTACGTTTATTGAGGACAAAACTCATCAATGTTCATAACCAACAAATACAGCAAAACATACACTTGGTGCCTATTGTTTGGGCTTAATTCCACACAGGAGCCATCTGCACTCTTTAAGAGAAAAGAAAGGATTTAAATCCACACTCGCACTTCAAGCGCAAACATTCTATGGTTTTAACAACAACAAATTTTACTTTTAGAAAGAATTTCTTATTATAGGTTAAAGAAAGGGTATATGTAGTACATGTAGTTCACATTGGATTTTTTTTTTTTCATTTGGCAAGTCCAGAAAATTTCAGGCTACAATCTACAGAGAATATTGCATATACGAAAAAAGAGTAAAACAAACATTTTAATGGGATCAACAGTGATAAAATCAAAGCAAAATGTTGAAAAAAAGATATGCATATATGCCCCTTGTAATCAACCGGTCTAGTGTCCCAAAGCGAGTGTTAAAAACACAAAGGAGTTGAGTGACATTAACTGGCACCAGGCTAATCAGGAAACATATGTGCATCTATTCTGCAAATGTGAAGATTTACTTCAAACAAAACTTTGGTACAATTAAAATTGGTAACAAAATTAATAAAACAAAGCAGCTGAATATGGTTACAATGCTGTATCAGTGCAAACCACTCTCATGATCTAAAAAAAAGACACGTTAATTAAATTTATGTAAGTTGCTTTTTAGTGTCCAATACGGCGTGAATGACATCAGTATTTCTTTGTGATTTTAATTTTGCCAAATATTTTTCACACTGGCAAATATTTTGCTGGTCCCAGAGGGCCAGCCTAGTGTCCTGGTGAGCCGGGCAGTGCTATCATATAGGATTACCCCGTAACGCCAATGAATATGCTAAATCTGGACCATTATGGACACACATGCATGAAAAGACTTCCAGTCAATAGCCAGTCTGAATCAATTGAATAGAATTCTGTGCACTCTGTGACCAGCTCTACTATGCTAATTGCCTTGCCTTCAGCTTAAATATTGTGTCTTTAAGATGAGCCCGTTTCTATGGACACAAAGAAACCGTATCTCCTTTTTTTCACACAAATACGAAATGAGATTGTTTACAGCTACCACAAATTAAACACAACAAATTAGCATGAAATACAACTTTGGTACATGTTGTATGTCCCTTCGTATGAAGTATCGGTGGAACTCGCATGTAGTTGTTTATGAACTTATACATCTACAAAGATGCTAGTTTGGTATTACGGAAAAATGATGAAAATGCAATCATTCCAACAGTTTCAAAACTTAGAACTACAAACCCGTTTTTGGATTGCCATGTTATGATACACCCTGTAAGAACTATTAGGTGGTCAGTTATTGCATATACACGTATGTTGAAAAGTGTCCAATACCAATCCAGCATCATGAATGACTATCGTACTCCAAGACTCACTGTAGACTTTGTACACAACTGACAAAGTGATAACACATTGTATCAATAGAATAAGTTATCCAAAATCTTCCCCAAAACAATCCCAAGTGGTTTTTTTTAGTGTTTTTTTAGCAACATTCACAAGTAAACTGCAAAATGTCCATGCAGTGACCCCACCTTATTGCTAACTCCGTACCTAGTTTGACTAAGTAGAAGACCATGTCCATCAAAATCCATCACTCACTCTGCTTCACAGAATGCTTCAGGACCAAATCCATTGAAATCCACCACTGGTTCTGGTGGATTTTGATGGACTTGGTACAAACGGCTTATCTGCCCAAATCCCCCGAAATGGGGGATGGATTTTGAAGGAGTTGATAAGGTTAGGGTAAATAAGAGTACACTATGAATATATTTCTATAAACAATCCAAGTTGATCACTGGCAAAAACTGCAATATTTTTAAAACAGTTAATCTGTGTACTGTTTTGACTCAATTTAATTGCGATAGAGTACAATATGATATAGTCACAACTATTAAATATACATAGTAGGAGTTTTTAACTGATTGTAGGCAACATTGCTTTGCCTTTCAAATCTAACATAAAAAGTTCAAAATTAATCTTTATACTTTCACTGTTTTGTGTATTTTGAAATACATCGCATAGGGCCTAATATATGTTGTATGCGCATACAACTTTTAACACTATAGTCTAGATAAACACATACTTAATTTGAGAATTCAAAATGTGTTCACTCCAAACATTAATTTTTTTTAAATGTATAATTGTTTATACTTAAAGGAGATACATTACCCACACCAAATCATTTCTGCAGCATTTCCTTGGCATCAACATTTTATTCCCCACCTTTCAACAGTATCGCTGCCACCAATTTGCACATCATTTTTATTTCAACACATTGATTTTATTTATTCTATTTTAGTTATTACATTTTTATGGGGATATGGGTCTTAGCATTAGAATGGATAAATGACAATTTAGCAGATCAAGCAGGTATAAGTTCACATGTAGATATACTATCTGCGCCATTTCTGATTTTCAACCCAAAAGTACTTCTTTCAATACCTCCTGCCCTTTTCAAAAAAAGTTTGAACAAAATCAGCTAAAGCTTTCCTTTCTGTTCCTTTCAACAATTAAGACATGAAATATAGCTTCTCTTCTTAAGTCTTAGTATGACTCAATTCTAACTTTGCAAAACCACTGGATGTTCTTTTTCTATGCAAACCTGAATGGGGATGGAAGGGACGGTATTTTAACAGTGGGAACCTATGAAACACAACCCAAGTCCCAAAACACATTTTGTCTCATTTCCTGGCAGCAAAAACGATGCATGGATTATCTTGAACAAAAGGCTGCCACAGGTATCCCTGCGACGTCCCAAATATGTGCAGCGATCGTGTGCAGATTTTGCCAAAAAGGTTAGATCTTTCCATACTTCACAAAAAGTGCAAATCTAGTTTTATGCCACAAAACATACACAACAACATTCGTCGCTGTTGAAAAATGCTCAACATGTTGCAAATTTGAAGAGTTAAAATTTGCAGTGAAATCACAACTTTGCATTCGAATTCAGACAAGTTTGAACCGACCCTCACGATAGCACTAACGCTTTATGATTTTCAACAGAGGGATGCAATGTTGTTGCCAATACCAATGCGATACCATCCCTTTTAATCTTACTCTCAAATTTTGAACAGAAAAAAATGACAACCATGCAGTTTTGCAATGCGACTGAGCATAAGACACCTCATGCGTACAGAATGCGCATGGTGTTGGTAAATCCGGCACCAGAGCGCCAACCATTCACCACAATCAGCGGTGCCCCTTCCTTGAAGAAGCCTCTGTGCAGGCCTCGCTCGACGCCATACTTGACGCGACGATCGATGTCGTCCTGCCAGTTTTCCAATTGAGGTTCCTCAAAGTAGACAGGGAAGCAGCCACGGTACAGATGGATCTTGCGTGCCACCCCGGGGTCACGGACGACCGAGATGATGGGCGCCAGGGGGCGGAAGCGGGACACCATGTGTGCAGATCTGCAATGTGTTAAGACGCTAACTTAAATGATGGTAAAGGATGGAATTTATAAGAACTGTAGGTTTGTCTGTGCTCCGTGCACAAGTACCCCCTCATTGGCAAGCACGTGGCGTGTCCCGTCCATAGGCCTCTTGCAAGTGGTAAAAAAACGCCCTCTCTTGTTTGCGCACAGATCCTATAGGTTTAAAAAAAATTGAAACACGGTGTCCTAGTTTTATCGCAGATCCAAGATCTTGGGCCCTGATGCCAATTGCATTGAGCTTCTAAGCACGAAAATGTGATAAGCAATTCTTTCGTGCTAGCGGCTACCTATAATTGAGGAAAGTCCTCTCCTTACCTTCCAGTCTTCGATAAGATAATGATGGCACCTGCCAGACATTTGAATGAGGCCTCGACGGCAGCGATAGCGATGGTCATAGCAGCACCCGTCGGTATGTCAATAGAGCGGACAAGATTCTCAAACATCATGCGATGGAAGACTGCTGACTCGGCTTCACGGGTGATCTACACACAAAAAATGCATCAAAATGTGAATTATGTATAACCGCTTTCGTCGTGGTGATCACAGTTTGTTTCTGGCAGTGAAAATGCTTGTAATAAAACTGCTGTCAGGTAGTGTCTTGGAAAACTCAGAAAAATGTTTAATGTTTAATTGGGAAATCTACCTGTTCTTAATTGGGAACACAAAGGATTCCAACTGCCAACATCAACTGTTTGTAATGTGGTGCTTATAAAGAGCTTAAAGCAGATCTCTTGAAGCCCTTCACAATTATTATCACTTCTCATCAGGCCATAAGACCAGTATTTTTTTAACAGTTCGAGTTCAATGCATCTGTTCGGTACTATTTATACATCTGGGTAAGTAAGTACAGTCAAGTCTGTCCCGAGCCATGTGGTTCATCTCGCTGGCGATTATCTCTGGTTTCAGAAGCATGAAACGACTGAGAATATTTCTAATCCACCTGGATGGGATGCCTGTCCATCGCAAGTTACTCCCCAGCTAATGCCAGTACCCATTTATACTCCTGGGTGGAGAGAGGCAAGTGGGGTGAAGTGGCTTGCCCAAGGACACAACATATGACCATAAGCTGGATTCAACCCCTGACCCTCTGATCATGAGTCACAAACCCTAACCACAAGGCCACACTCCCCAATCCTGGGTAGAGTAAGGCAATTATAGTTAAGTGTCTTGCCTATGAACACAAGAACTATGAACCCTGTCAGTGTTTAAAATCACAGACTGCTACATATGAGATGGACACCATAACCACTGCAACATGGCACTCTTTTCTAAATTGTGAAAAGCGTGTTTTGGCTCTTAGTGAGCAGGCCTCCATAGCGCCCTCTATTGTAGTCGCGCAGCTGTTATACACTCACCCCATGCATCATCGCACATGCTTCCACAGGGTAGGACCCTTTGGCAGTCTCGCCAGACAGCATGACGCAGTCTGCCCCGTCCAGCACGGCATTGGCCACGTCGCTGGTCTCGGCACGAGTGGGCCGAGGGTTTTTGACCATACTATCCAACATCTAGACGGCCAGACAAGAAAGACTGAACGTTAAATCAGTTCAAAACCACCAGTACAGGGTTGTAGCATGTATTACTTAAAAAAAGGAGTGTGTTCATCTGGTCACAGCTCTTGTTCAAACATAATTGGTTTCCGAGATTGGAAAATTGAGACCTCGTTTTTCGTGAAGGAATGAGTTTCTCCACTGTGCCTTGGTCATTTAAAACAAAAACTTGTTTGAAGGATTTGGTGCATCACAAAGCAAGCTGTGTATTTTGGCATGGAGTATGCACAACTCATTTGCATCCGAATGTACACAAACCCACAGCTTCTTTATGTGGGTAATGACAGCCATTATTATCAAGTGTCCGTCATATAACTCTCATTGACACTCTCATTGACACTTGTATACAGAGTCCTTACACACCTCCTCCCCCCACCCCCACCTTTTCCACAAGCAAGACTTTTAGCCCAGATTTTTCACCTGAGTAGCACAGATGACCGGTTTGCCGACTTGGTTACAGCGGCTGATCATCATCTTCTGAGCAAGGAAGACTTTCTCCGGCGGGATCTCAATGCCCAGGTCGCCCCTAGCGACCATGATGCCATCGCTAGCTTCGAGAATCTCATCAAATCTAGAGAAAGGGAGACCAAACAAATGTATCTCAACAAAAAAGGTTAAACGGAAAGTAACATTTTTAAAAGGATATCTGTGTTACTGTGTACCTGTGTAGTCCTTCGTGGTTCTCAATTTTGCTGATGACAGCGATATGTTTGCCGGTTTCACCGAGAACGCTGCGCACTTGTGCGACATCGGAGGCCTTGCGGATGAACGATGCAAACACCATGTCCACCTGGCATGAGAGAGGACAAAAGGGTGTTATGATCAAAACATGATCATGGCAATTTATTTTTGATTCTGATCAGGCCCAACAAACATTCCTCATGCCATCTCATGAGCTCCTTCAAGAAAGGGAAGAAAGTCAATTGTACATAGCAAAGGTCTGAAAATTGAATGAAAAATGTGAATCATGCATTTCTTTCAGAGCTGATGATCTCTTTCTCTCAGTTTAAAAAAGCCTGATTTCAGACCAAAGTCTTCACAAAATCTCATGCCTGCTTTTGGAGTATTCAACAAACCGCTCATTTAAACAGAACAACCATCCCTGCTCTCACAGAAACCATCGTCTCTTGTGGTAAATTGTCTTGCCCAAGGACACATGAATCAAGCCTCACAGGTTGGACTTGGCATTGAAATAATTCACTTGTTGGATCCAACTGCACTGGACAGATTTCGGACTTGCACAACTGTTGCATATCATTTTTAATAGGGTGTCTGGCCAAAATTAACCAAGATTATATAGTAAAACCAAAGCCAAGTGTAGTACCTGGCCATGGTTACACAGTGTCTATGTGAAGTGGCTTCACCCACCTCCATAGACACATGTGTATCTATGAGCCATAGCCCAGTCATTTTGATGCAGCCCTAGGCTTAAGAGAAACCTTACAGCCAGGCCAATGCCAACGATTTACTCACCCCGTGCTCCACGCCGAACCTTAGATCAGACTTGTCCTTCTCAGAGACGGCCGGCAGGTCAACGATAGCCTCTGGGAGGTTAACGCCCTTCTTTGACCCCAGCATGCCTCCATTCACGATGTCGCAGTCAATGAAATCATCACCTGTACACAATGACAAACAATAGGGATGTATTAACAGTGTTGTAGTCAAGGCACTTGTGATAAAAATCACATCATAACTCGGGTAAGCAAATCACAAGACAACGATAGCAATAACGAAAGGAATGCCTTTGTCAACATTTGTTTTAACCCTCCTTTTGTTTGATCAGTCACAGACAGTCAAAATGTCCATCCTCTACCCCTGCCATGCCTTTTACGCAGGCTAGTCACCAACAGGCAGACCACATAAGCACTAGGTCTAGTCAAATTCCACCAACAGACAAAAGCTGCAAGTAACTGGTAGTTTCAGCTAGCACTGATCGCTGCAAATATTGCTTCCATGATCTATGTGCTAAGCAAGAAGCACCCGGGTACCAGTCACAAGCATACATGGTATGACAGTTTGACCGGTAACCCATTTTGCTAAGCCAATTTCTGTGCTTAAGCAGCTCCATGAAAGACAGACCGCATCCGAATTACTTGGCAATGGCTGGAAATAACACACAAGTCTATGGGAAGTGGCTGCAGTCACTTCCATAGGCACACGTATTCTGAACACAGACTCAAAATGGCGGATTATTGTGGACAGCCTGTTAAGGCCGTGTCCGAAACAGGCTTCCAGAGCTACGGCTACGTCTATTGTCAGTGCGTTCCCGCGTATTTTCAATGGGCGCGGCCCTAGACCTAGCTCTAGACTGTTGATTCGGATGCAGCCTAAGTCTGATACCAACCAGCGCATTGATTGTCAGGTTGACCTATAATGTAGGGGTCAACCTGATTTAAATATCTATGTGCGTACCGATAGGGTGCTGCGTTAAGCATGATGCACTGGCAAAGTAGGCCAATCAAACTAAAGGGGAGGCAGCAGAGCCAAGACGCATCAGTAAGATAATACAAGCAAGAGGCCGTTGCCTGTCCTCATATACACATGTGTTATGAGGTCAGATCTCGGGCCTACATGAAAGTGCCGCCGGAAGAGAACACTTAACTCACCAATGACTTCTACCTCAAGGGAGATGAGTCCGTCGTCAATGTAGATAATACCGCCTGGCTCTAGCACTTGCCTCATGTTGGGGTAGTCAGCGTAAATACGCTCTTTTTTGCCGCACTCGGCATGCGCTGGATTCAAGGAGACTCGGATCTTTTCTCCTGTGGTTAGCTCGACCTCAGCACTCCCTCCCTGCACGGGTACAAATCAGGCAAACAGGATACAAGTGTTGTTGTTAAAGCCCGTCACAAATCACAACAAATGCAGTCACAGGTAAATATAGAATCAGCTTATCCCGAGTCAAGTCACAGGCTATTCCAATGATCTGTGGCAGGTGCATTTCAGCATAGTTCATCCACTGTTACTTGTGACTGGACTTGTGATTTTTTTTTTTTCAATTCAATTCCATTCAAATTGGTTAATTAATTGAACATGATTTACAATTAAAAAAAAAATTGAAAATATTTTATGGACTCTGTTGAACAATAGAATAGTGCTGCACATTGTCAAATAATTTAGTATTAGATTACTTGAAACTGCGTTTGACTGAATATTTGGATATTCGAAATTGCCACCTGCAACTACGTGCCACGTCAGCAAAAGTTGCATGCAGAGGGCCCCGGATAATATTTGCATGCGGTGAACGATAGTGTTTTGCAGTAACTATTTCATAACTGCCTAAGGCTTTAACCTGCTAAAAGGATGGGAAAAAATAAACTGCCGTCAACAAAAAAGTTACAGTCAACAAAAAAGTGGCATCTGACAATAAAGCGCCAAAACTTTATGATAAAATTACATCGCAGTTGCGAGTATGTAAACACCGGCAAACGTGGACTAGGGACAAAAGGGTTAGGGCACGAACGGTCCACGATTGACCGATTGTCCACGATTGAAATTCCTGTACAAAACCAATGAGAGCTGTTGCTAAAAAGTTAAGAGTACAAACAAAGGAATGAGGATTTGGGACAATAGGGGGTCCACGATTGCCGGTGTTTACAAAGATGGGTGTGTGTGCTTGAGTATTTGTTAAAAAAAATTTAACATTCAAACCTGCAAATAGCTATTTGAATATTCGGTTGATATTTGGATATTTGGTTGATATTTGGAAATTTGGTATATCGGGGACAGCCCTATTCAAAAGAGAAGAAAGACAAATGATAGTAACTTGAATGCCGCATTCCACCAACATAATGGTTAACTTAGGAAAGTATTAAAAGCTCATACATGTACATTAGTTCTCCCTTTATTTTTGCTAAAAGAACCCAAATTTTGATGACGGCTCAAAATCCAATGACTTGATCTTACCCCTTCCAGCAAGCCAGTACGAATCTCGGGTCCTTTGGTGTCGAGGGCAATACCGATGTTGCGGTTGAACTTGAACCGTGTTGATGCTTCACGCACGTTTTCAATGGTCTTGGCGTGATACTGGAGAAAAATACAATAAAATATCAGAAGAAATGAGGGGCAGGGAATCCCATCAATACTTTCAACAATCAATGCGAAAAAATCACGGCAAAGATAGTTTCAATAAAGCCAATGAAACTGAGAAACTATTCAAAAGCACAAATAACACTGTAGCTAATTGAAATATTTATGTACCCATGTTCCTTTGCAATAAATTCCAATGAATAACAGAAATAAAGGATATTATGTTGCATTCTTTAATAGAACTTGCTAAGCTAATGGACTGATTGTTTAAATCATAATCCTTTGCCAAAATTTTGTAAACAATTTAAGATAATAATTTTGATCAGATATGCATAAATGTGAAGCTACCTTTTTAGATCTGTTCAGGTCTATATATAGCAAAACTATATTCCACAAGTCTTCTGAAGACTTTTATGGGCTATACACTAGATTTGCTACTAGCGAAGCCGTACCTCGTGAGTTCCATGAGAGAAGTTCATCCGCGCAATGTTCATGCCTGCCTGAATCATTTTTTCCAGGGTGTTTACTTCTCTGGAAACTGGCCCTGTATTAAAAAAAACACACACACAAAAACAAAAACAAGTCACTAGATGAACAATAAATGTATTTCAAGGTGAAGGGAAAATCCCGTTTTGAATTTTAATTCCCCCGAGGCAAATAATTCCAATGATACAATCATGTTGACGGACATGACTTTGTGGTCAAGAGCATCAAACGCAAGGCCAGTGGGTACTTCTGAAGGTTGTGGGTTCGAGTCCAGCCTGGGGTTGTGGTGCATGTGCCCTTGGGCAAGGCACTTTGTCACTCTTTGCTTTCTCCCCACCCAGGAGTAGATGGGTACCTGTGAGGGCAGCGATGTTTACTGTAACTGATTAAGCTGCTTTGCCCCTAAATGGCAGCATAGAGCTGTATGGGCTTCGTGCACAAGTACCCCTTCAACGGCCAGAAAAGTAGAGTTGGGGGAGACCTAGACTGGTTCCTGGTCCATCCACTGCGTATTTTGAATGATCCAAAGTTATTGGGGGTGGGGATTAGTCTTGGAGACCATCACAAGTTAGTTTTAAACGTATTCGCGCGTCGACGACATTCAGGAAGTCGTGCGTACTTTGCGTGCGAACCAGTACAGTACGCACACGCCGTGTCCCCCGTCCACAGGGCTTTCGGAAGTGGTAAAAACACGCCCTCTATTGTTGGCGCACGGAGCCCATACTTCTGGGAGCTATGTTTCATTGACCCAATGAGCAGGGTAATAATGATGTTGAGCCTCCAGCACTAATTCCATTTGATATGTGCACTTTATAAATATGCATCATCATTATCATTTGAGAACAATCATGGGTACCCTCACCGATTGTGGCAATGATTCCGGTGTTCCGCACGTTGCCCGGCCGGCTGTCAATATGCAGCTTGCTCTGATGGTCCAGGAAGGAGTTGGCCGTCACGACTTTGTACTGGGTGGCCTGGAAGTAATGTTCGCTCTCCATTCCTTCCATGGCCCCCTCACTGGCATGGGTGACACGCTTCATCTTTCTACCTGATTGCAAAAAAAACACATCCACACGGTATTCACATTTTTCCCCCTTAAAATCGACCTCCTCGTAAAACAAAACAAATATGAATAGGTATTGGGCATTTTCTTGCCATTGGTTTTTTTTGTTAAACGTCGGATATTATTTGAACTTTGTTTGGCAAATAAGGTTTTTACTCTTTAAAAAGTTCATGACTATAAACTCTTGTTAACCTTACCTTGCTACTTTTTAGCAGAAGTAATAAAAGAGGGCAATTATGAAAAGCCACTGTTGGATTAGGATTCAATTATAGCACAAACAACACCACTTATATGTATTGTCAGATATCCCCTCCCCACCACCTGCTCCCCCCCCCCACCACCACCAAAATTGGCAGTATATAATTCATTGCATGCACTTTAAGCTTAAATACATACCTGTCTGTATGAGGACACTGTTCTTCCTTCATGTAATTACTATGGTCCTTAGCTCCATGCACGGACATAAACCACTTTACAGTTAATTTGCCCCATTTAATGCATAATTAACCCATTTTGATAGTCACTTCCTCAAGGGCATTTATTTATTTATTTATTTATTATTTATTTATTTCTTGTTTATCCTGGGGAGACCTTTCAGTCACCCAATTGGTGTTAAATGAGACTTGATAGGTTTGCATGGTGGACATGAACAATGAATGGGAGGTTTGTGGTAACACCATGTGAATAATATCTATTTCGAGTGTGGTGCTGAGAAGAACCAGTTGTTTTAACTTGAGGTTTCGAACAGTGTACTCTGTTCATTAACAATTGGTGCTATCCGTCACTTCCTTTTAATGTCACGTGGCCTGATTGTCACTTCACTAACTAACGTTTTGCTCCATTGTCCCCAATTGTCTTTTGCCACTTCATCCCACTGACTGTGACTTTGTCCAACTGTCAGTTGGAACCATTGCTACTTTGCCTCATTGTCACTTCACCCATAACATCACTTCACTACGCTCTTGTCATTTTGCCTCGGTGACACTTCGTCCAGTTGTCACTTAGCCAATTAATCACTTTACCATGGCACACTTCCTAAGTTCCTATCATCATGGCCCAAATGTTACTTTGCCCTATTGTCACTCCAACAATTAGCACTCTATCCCATTGTCACTTAGCCTCATTGGCACCTTCTTATTAGAACTTAAATCCCATTATTATTGTGCCCCACAGAGTTTACATAATTGTTGTTTCATGTTTAGCGCCATTACAACTATTCTATTGGAACTTTATCCCGTTGTATTTGTGCCCAATTGGTTTTTTTTTTTGCACCACAGTCACTTTGCCCCATTTCAACTTCCTAGTATATGCTTAGTATTTTCATTAAAAAAAAGTAGTTTTGAACAGATGTTCCTAACAAAACTTGACGCATTGAGTTTTCCAGACTTTGTCGAGTGCGGTAACGCTGGTGATAACGCACCATACAAGTAGCCAGAACCCCAGTATGGTTGTTCCTTGCGGACGGCAGCATTCTGCTCCTTGGGAGGATTTTCACTGCTCATGGCCGACACAACTCCAAACTTAACAGTATGGCGATCTGGAAACGGTATTTGAAAATTACCTCTTTCAACTTCTATTCTCTTTTTTCATGGAGCGAGAACTAAATTTAACTAGAGGTCTATGTCTGTTTAAGAACAGAACATAGGGCTTTCCCTTTCTGCACTACAATTTTTTTTAATGAGTTTATGCTTTTTTTGGCGATGTGTAGTCATGTACATGTAAATGATAATTTTGTGTGCAAAGTGCATTTAATGTAAATTATTGCTACATGTAGTAGCCAAAAAATGGAAAGGTGTAAATGTTCATTAAAAATCAGTTGATGACGTCATCTTGACATCATTTTGAAGTTTGCATACTTGTTACCTTATCTACATTCATCTACCCTTATATGTTTTTAGCAAAAAAACGAATTTTTGATGACGTCACACATTTTAAACATTTTGTGCAAATATCTATGACCTAACAAACCCATCACAGAAAGAATTTTGAATTGAGATACAGCAATCAACTTTAAAAAGTCAAAAGGTATTATATCCTTACACGATATTTTGACAATGGCTTGTTTTATTTTTTCCAACAGGAAAAAAAATCAAAAATAAAAACGGATAAGCTATCGGTAAGAAACAATTATGACCTCAATGTATACATCCGGCGTGCATGTCAATGTACTTGCATGACTGAGATGACATTTAAATGGAATGGCGTTGAAATGGGACGAAGTACCATGGAGTGAAGTGACAATGAGACAAATGGACGAAGTCAGAGTCAGACCGAAGCCTCAATTTCTGACAACAACCTGCAAAACAAATAAGGCCAAATCTATGTAATCTTCTTACAATCAAACTTTACCAAAATTTCAGAGATGAGGATTTATTCCAGAGTATTTCATCTGTCAAACTTTGGGTCTTATTTCAAATTATTACATTATTGTGAATATAGGTATAAATCGAATTTTTTTCACTAGGGTGAGGTGACAACAATCAGAATTTCCTGATGTTAGTACACCTTTTTCCCATTTAACCACTTTTTCTCCATTTTTAACAAATTTGCCAGAAATATTTTTTTTCATTAATTAAAATAATATCAGGAGTTCAAAAATGGATGAAGTGAAGTGACAATGGGCCAAAGTGGTAATGCTATGGTAATGTAAAGACTAAACACTAAAGGAGCCATAACCCTTTCTACAAAGAGGCTACAATTTTGTTGGAAACAAATATAAAATGACAAAATATTGACAATATTCATGTACTTGATGTATAGTCCTATATGCAAAATATACTGCAAATGTATGACTATAAATAAAAAATAAATAAAAAAAATAAAAACAGAAAAGAAAAGAGGCGACCGTCTGACCGTGAAAAAGGGAGCGGGATGGAATAAATTCATGAAAATTTAGAAAATTCCATTGTGCATAACAGCAAACATTGGCAAAAGACACAGTAGATCAGATCAGATTTCTTCCTAGCAAGGAACCTTGCTCTTTTTCGCCTGCTGACTTGTGAACAGAAAATACACATTGGTCTGGCCACCGAGGAATTTAACCATTGACATGACACCTAATGACCTATTCCTTCCTCTGTTTGCACGTGATAAAAACCCTGGCGTAACTGTAAATGGATATCTGTTTATAACGGTCGCTTGTCTTTATTATGTTTGTCCAGTCAGTGATGTGTGGGTGGCCGGCCGTGGGCATAGATTTTGACTGAACATGCACATGACATGCTGAAGCATCGTGATCATTCATTGCATTGTTGGCATTTGCCGGAAGGAACAGTTAATAAACCCTTTCCCATTCATTAAATACACAAACATTTCATTTAAAATATATATTTTGAACACTGTTATTTAACATGTTTAATAATTTCATGAGAACAACGCAATACCTGGTTACTTCAAGGATTTTTCTAAAGAAATCCTGGAGATGTCGAGGTACTTCGTCAGCTTCCCAGGGGCTCGCTCGATGCAGCTCGCAAATAAAAACCCTTTGTACTGCATGGTAACTTTAAACTTCCAATAGCGGAATTGCGGAATTGTTGAATAGGTGCCAGACTATTCACTGGTAAACAAAGCTGAACTTTGATAACGCGTGACTGACAGGGAATCAGTCGTGTTGAGTATCAGGCGATACGGCGATGTCGGCTGTTTTGGGGCTATGACTAAGAATGACTTCGTACAGTGAACATCCTTAGCCACTAACAAAAACTCCAGCTCAGACGGATTATTCACATCACAACAAACACAGAGGGAATGTCCCTCACTCTGTCCTGTGTGATTGTGATTCATGTGATCAGTTCATTCTGCTCATTGATGTGTCGTATTTTTCCCATCATCCAAGATGAAAAGGCTTCAGCAGTTTGTGGAGAAAAAGAAAGTTGATCACAAGTTCAAGCAGGCTGGATCTGGCCACAGACTTGACGAGCAGCGACAAATGTATTAATTTGGATTCAACTTTAGCATGGCTAATTTTTGAATTGGATAAATTGTTTATCAGTTGCTTAATAACTTAATTTTAAGCTTGGGGCCTTTTGTTGGATGCAGTTTGTGGATTGGGTGATTATCGCTCAACTGTCTCCAATCCATGATTTACGCATTCATCAGTCGATTGTTTAAACATTGGCCATGTTGGTTGATCAGGCATATGGCAGAGCGTGTTTGGTTTTATTGCAATGCAGTACAAAATCAACTGACTGCGCAAACCCATTCCTGATATTGTTATATTGATAAATAGACCGATCACACATTTTCTGCAATGCACGATAAGCCAGTTATGCAAATTCCTGCTTAATCAACTGATTGCCCAAGTTGTCTTCCGTACATGATCAAGCAGAGTTTATGTGATTGATCAACAACCAGTATTACGCCCCCACCCCACCTACCCCTTCTCGGACACTTTATTCTAAGTACTGTTTGTGACCTCATTAAAGGTCATAAGTGTGTAGTCCTAGTAACTTGGACTCAATGAATCGCCTTTTTTAACACTCATGACATTTGGACATGGTCTGGCGATCTATGTTAAAAATGTGATTCGTAGAGTCCTAGTTACTCAGACTAATCAGTGTGTTAAGTTTTACACACATTGTGTTAATGTTATTTTTACGCTTTATTTTTCACAGGCCTGTTGCTACAAGTTCCCAGCAGCAGCAAGTTCGTGTGACCCCAGCACCAAGTGCAGCACGAGCTGGCGAGGCAGCCTTAGCAAGGCTTCAACCAGACCGGCCAGCATCAGCAGCCAAAATGAAACAACTCAAAGCAAAGGGTCAGTAAGTCAGTCAAAGGTGGATTACTCTCAACCTATAGCATCGGTCCCGACCATAGTATGGACTAGGGGCAGTCCCAACCATAGTTTGGACAATCTGGAGCATTGTGTAACTATAGTTTGGAAGAACCTCCTAGGGACGGATCAGCTTTTGGGTCAAGGGGGTGGGGGTTATCTGTCAAGGGGGGGGGGAGGAGGGTTAGCAGGCACGGTGCTATTTTTTCTACATGATTTTCCTAATGTTTGCAACCCAAGGGGGGGGGTGTTTAAGACTGCTCCCCCCCCCCCTCCCAGATATAAAATTCAGGAGTCTGTTCCATCTGAAACTCCTGAAAATAAGGATTTTGTCTGACTTTCAAAATTCCAATGCAATTTTCTCCTTTCTGACAATTTTTACAACCCAGAACTTCTACATAATGAACCTTAGGTAACGGAGGATATATTCTCCAAATTTAAGGTCAAAATCATGCTTTGAAATTTGTTTTTTTCACTCATGCAGCCGCAGCCGAGAGAGAAGCAGAACAAGCGGCTATGGACAGGATGAACAACCCGACAGTGTCCTCGCGGGTATTGTCTAAGAATGGCTTCATCGTTTCTGTCACTTTTGGAATGTTGCGACTGGAAATGGAAAAGTCTTGAATTGGCGCTCCCTCCCAGCTGGAACAGGCTGCTCCAGAGTTATTGGGCACAGACACATATAGACTATATGTTCCCTAACAATAAGTTTGAGAACTAATAGTGCACATATGGCGTTTCCAGGCCAGGTTGATTTAAAAAAAAGAAAAAAGATTACATCCAAAGTCATGATACCAGCAACATCAGTAATGTTGCAAACCTGGGAAATGGCAATCGTGGATCACGAGAGAGTAAAATTGAAATTGTCTCCATGATTTCTGTATTTACCACTGGATCATTTTTTTCGTCTTCCACTGCCCCTTAGGCATCAGGCAGGTCAACTTCTCCCGAGCAGCCAGCTTTCCATGATGACCAAGCCCCTGTTTCTGTGAGTGGCATCTTCTATCAGTGCCCGCTGGGCTGTTCTCCAGTCATTCCAAAAGCGTCGGTGGACGAACACCTGCAGATGTGCCTGCTGACCAGGGTAAGCAGCAAGCATCTGTCAGTTTTGCTGGAGGTGGGTCGTTAATATGGACTCCGTGAATTAAGGAAAGAGGGCGCTGTTTACAACAAAAGTGTGAGAAGGATACTTTGCTGGGTCACACAGGCCGGGCACCAGTTATATGTGCAGGGCACCAGTATGCTTAAGGCAAGATGGCGGACAGCAGTCCTTCAATATTCGCACTCTTTCTCATTTACACCACTGAGGGGGCTCTTGTGCACGGAGTTCATATTGGAAAGAATTGAATGAATCTAAACCGACTCGTTTCGGTTTTTTATTTCCTAAAATAAATTTGAAAAAAATATGTTGCATTATGGCGATTGTTATACTATCACTACGTTGTGTTTTTTTTTTCAGTTGCTTCCTGAAAATCCCCTAGAGGCTTCGGCCAAAATGGTCCACACCTATAATAAGGACAAGGAAAAACGCCAGGCTGGAATAGACATCATGTGCAAGTAAGCTGAAAATAGTTTAAAATGAAAAATAAAAAAAAACCCACCAATTTCCTTTTTTCTTTTTAATTTCTGAGTATAAAGGAAAATCCAACCATCTGGCCACAATTGGAGGCATAACTCACGTGGGACCTCACTCACATTATGTTGCACACTTGGCCAATAGAACTGTAGATGGTACTCTAATAAGCTAGTGAAGGACACTTGCGTGTGTCAATTGATTATGCATGCTCTCTAATGTCTTTCAATGTGAGTGGTCTTTGTCATTTTCAAAGCTGAAGGGAACTTGTGCACTATGGACACTGAGCACAAGAACCCCTCAACTCTGATAAAGTGACAATCTGAACTCTTGAACTCTTTGCACAACCTCCTCTGAAAACAGCAAACTGTAAATTACATTTGCGTTTCAGATATTTAGAGAACGTGTGCAATAATCTTGCCGAGGAGAAGTACCAGAGGATCCGCATGGGTAACAAGGCCTACGTGGAGAAGGTGGCGTGTCTCGAAGGCTCACACGAGTTCTTGCAAGCGGTGGGATTTTTACCCAAGATGCTGCCCCACCAAGGTATAAACTTGGGCTATTTTGTGACCATATGTGGATGCAAAATGGACAAACATTTTACACACCAAGTGCAACTCGGCTGTGGCCATGTTGAAGACTTAATTATGTACCCGTGGATCCTGCCTGTCAATCAAACAGTGCACATTGAACAATTAGATCAAGATTTTTGGTCATGTGACCATGGTAGCTTAGAAATGTACACAAACCAGAGATAGGGGGCCTTATTTTTATAGCCAATTCCAGAATGGTCAATAGAGGTTTCGTATGAACCAAGGTGATTGTTGTGCTTCTTGTTCATAGGCAGGACACTTTACATAAATACTTCCTTCTCAAAGGAGCCAAAGCCATTTTGGTAAAGATTGCCGATTCCTCATTTATTAACACAGAAACGGCTTTGAAAGACATATCACATGATTCACTTGATTCAGAATGAAAAAAAAGAGATTGAACGTTAAAAAGACTCTTTAGGCGAATGAATTAGATCTTCCCCAACAAGTTTGAAAGTTTTTGCTTACGACATTTTGCTTGTTTTGTTTTCTCAGAGACGGAAGAGGCTTTCTTAGTGTTGACCCCCGAAGCAGCAGCCAACATAGAGCAGCTGAGGTCGGCATGCGAGCTCTTACAGACAGCCCAACCCTTGAAGGCTTCCCTCCATCGGGACCTGAAGGTCTATCAGAAGTCCTCTCAGGCCAGCCAGTTCCAACTGCCCCAGGACTTCTACAGAATCAAACCGGAAGAGGCCAAGAGACAACAGCAACTCAGGTACCTGTCTCCCCATTAGTGTTATAGTTGGTCCATTATAAGTCCCTCTGAAGTCTGTTCAGAAGTAAAGTGTAAGTCATTTCACAAGTCCAGTCACAAGCAGCAGGGGATGAACCAACAACAATGGTGCGCTTTTGTCACAGTTTTTGTTTGAATAGCTTGTGACTTGACTTGGGACTGGATGATTCATAATGGACTTGGCTACAACGCTGTTCGTGGTCAAAACTGTTCACAAATATTGACTGCTAAAGATGTGAGACATGACTCGTTTTTACACACAAATTGAATTCATTGAAACTCATTTATGGTTTTTTTTTTTTCAGGTTTGAGATTTTATAATAATATTATTAGTGCCGTATTTTCAATGCTTTCAGAGAGCTTATAAGAAATATAAGAGCTTGTAAGAAATATATCCAAATCTTTTTTGTTTTGTAATTTTGTCTAAGTCATTTCTAAGGCCAAGTTGATCAAAGTTATGTTGTTTTTTAATTTTAAAATAGGACTGAGGAAGTAGAACGCAATGCCGTGCTGCGGACCAAAGCTATGAAGGAGGCTGAGGCACTCAGGAATCTACGGAGATATCGATACGCTCTGATCCGAGTCCGGTTCCCCAATGGAATTCTCCTCCAAGGTCAGCCAGCTCTTGAAGAAGATCAGTCTCTGTTGTTTCTTTACAAGACTTTCTCTTGAGGTGGCCAGTGCGGTATTAAAAAATATCATTATAATTCAGGCAACTCAGATCATTGGAACAAAATGGAATTTAATATGAGGTTAAAGATACATTCCCCGTGCTATTTTTGAGTTTCATCCCAAAAAAATAGATTTCTTTTCTAAACTGCTATTTTTCTATCAATACACAAGGTATTTACTTTTGAATGAGACATCGACCGAAAAAATTGGCCCATGTTTAGTTATTGAATTATTACTATAGTAATTTCAAATTATTGGCTACCAGACAATAATTTCCGTGGTAGGCTGGTTTCCAGCCCACAATCAGTAACGATAATGTACGGACGAGGAGCTAGTAATTTGGACACGGCCAGTCACTTGTCTCATGAGCTCTAAGAAACAGCTTCAGAAATCCACAAGATGGCAATTCTTTCAAACAAAAAATTTCTATTTGAATGCCAGGCACATTCCACGCATCAGATAAGCTGTCTGAGGTCTTTGAGTTCATCAGGTGCTCACTTATCAATGACTGGCAGCCCTTCATTCTGACTGATGCAACAGGACTGAAACTAACGGAGGAAGACTGCAAGTTGGCTGAGCTCAAGCTGGTAAGATACGCTCAGAGAGGCTCATGAGTTACAGCTCAACAGGCATTTTTAACCCAAGCACAGCAGGTTTTTTTTCTGGCTATCTTGAAGCTTGGAATGGGGGGGGGGGGGGTAAGAGTCCACCCCTTTCTGATCTTAGAAAAACAATGAGTGTTTTTATAAAATATACAAGTAGAACATTTTCTGTTATATAAGCAAAGCATTTTGTAATTATGGTCATTTACATGCCATGTTTCTGTCAGTGCAGAAGGGTGTTGTCCTGTACATAATCAATGAAAAACACAAGGGTTTTTTGGTACATCGCGTTATAAATGTGACTTTTTGCATGATTGCCACATCAGATTTTCCTGAAATTGATGTCAAGATGTCTGCGCGACATCAGTCTAAAATTGTAAATGCTCTTGTGGAAATAAAACTGTGTGGTGTCACATGGACCAACCTAGCCACTTTAGGGTTAAGATATACAATTTAATAAAAATTTTATTTTGATGTGTTTCAGGCACCAGCGGCTGTTGTCAACTTTTCATGGGACGCAGCGATCATGGAAGAAATTGTGGCAGCCCAGGGGTTCGTGCAAGAGGGTGATTACCTCAAACCAGAGCTCATCAATGCAATCCAAAGTCTCTGAGCCGTGGAGATACAAAAACTAGAGACAATATAGTAATTGAGTGGACCGTCTTGTTCACGCAACTTGTCCAGCTTGTTGTAGGGTGACCTGGCGTGATGTCATCAACGAGTTTGTTGGGCTCAATGGGGTCCGTGCACAAGTACCCCCTCAACGGTAAGAAAGGGACAGTTGGGGATGACAACCTTAAGAGACATTCGAAAGCATTACTGATGATGCCAGATGCTGACGCGAAGACGCTTTAACTGTTTATACATTCAGAATATACTTAGTAAATGCATACTTCTCACCATACACATGTAAACCGTGTCCTAATTACTTGGCAACAGCTTGACATGACACACCTGTTTATGGTAGCGGCTGCAGCCACTTCCCATAGACACGTGTGTAATTTCAAGCCGTAGCCAAGTAATTTGGACCCAGCCCTAGCCACGGAATTGTTATGCTTATGATTACCATTTTGTGCTTACAGTGTTAGTGAGGACATTTTGTGTTAACCCTGTAAGCAGAGAGTCCACAGTCACACGCATTTGCGTTCACACTCAGAAATTCCTTTTCAACCCTTGAAATATGCTAAACATTTTTCTTTTATATTTTAGCAAAACCATGAAATTTGGCCATGATGCTTTTGGATTCAGGAAGATTCCTAACAATTTTGTTTCAAAATTATTTGAAAATCGTAATTTTCAGGGTATTCCATAATTATTCAACGCTTACAGGTTTATTTACTTTGTGCAGATATAAATATTTTTCTGAGAGAAATTGAAGTCATTAAGGAATTCAAAAGATATTTGTAAAATTTCACAGTGTTGAAAAACTGTTTAAATTAAGCTTATTAATCGATACAGATTTACTTCAACAATTGTAAACATTGTAATTGATATTTGTAGACATAGTTAACATTGTAAATGGATCTATTCATGTCCACGAGAAAATACATTACGTATGAGAGTTATATATGAGACTTTAGAAAAAGAAGTCAAAATTTAAAGAGGGGATGTAGAGCATGTAATAATAGAAACATATTTACTATCTGCGTGGCAATTTGGGGTGTATTTTTCAAGTTTCCAGTTATTCAGGTTTCAAATAATGTATGTCTATAGTTGAAAATGTTTATTGTATGTTTATTCATGGCAAAGATTAAAATTACTTCCTGACATCAGACATTTTTTGGTTACAATATTTGGCCAGATGGATGATCTTGTTCAAGTTCGGAAGTGTATTCTAGTATTTGTTAAAGAATTTGACACTGTACATGTATGTGACAGCTCGTCAGTAATTGTCCATTCTTTTTTCATTTTTCAGTATAAAGTCAACAAAATTTTGACAACTTTTGACAGGTGCATTAGATTTTGTGCTACTTTGTTATTCAACCTGCATGGAAGAATGAATACTAAAATATTAAAAATCACACATTAAAACAACAAGAATCCACAGTGGGCATATGCTTTTGGTTGTCTTGAAGTTTTTCTCGACGATTTTTGCTGGTCTCAGAGTGCCAGCCTACCATCCTCTTTGTACCTATCTTACTGACCGACCGACCGACTGACTGACTGACTGTCTTTTGTGAATTAGACTTGCTTTATAAGTCTAACGGTTGACTACCTAAACCCTTTAACCAAAGTGGTCAGGGGCCAGCTTGATTCTTTTTTTCCCCGTTCATGTGTCACATTAAATGTAATATACAACATTTGCTTTTGCTGTAATTTTCAGCAATTAATGAATTTGCTATTTTATAGCACATTGTTACAAGTTTTGTGTTCATAGATGCTGGAAAAACCAATAAAAAATGCTGTTCTTGTAGTCTGGTTCCCTGACCCTACATGTACTTGAAACGAAACGTAGCAATTTATAGACATTGGGGAATTGTCAAAACAGGGAACCAGACCTAGCTGGCTTGCACCCATTCACGGAGGTGTAAGCGATTGCAAACAAAACGTGGACAAACAAAATTTGGTAAATCGGGGGCAGTATTTGAAAAAAAGTAATTTTTGTTCCAATGATGGTCGGCCAAGCATCATTGGAAACTGATACAAAAAATCCACTTTTCTTGAAAATGACAACACAATATGTATTTCACAGGATGCTTGAGACTGTTATTCACTTGCAGTAAAGTAAGGTATTCATCATAATTTAGTAGTTTGGTTTTTGTCTTTTCTTTTTTGATGTTTGCAAATGTTATATCTTTAAATATAGCAGAAACTGTAAAAGATATCCTTCGCTTGTGCAATCCTTTAATTCGGTGACAAAAATAGCAAAAAGGGTCCGCATTACTTCCTGCTAGAACCTTAGTCACATTATTCCTGTGAGGTTTTCCTTTTAAAAGATAAAATAAAGATTGTGCAAGCAACCCTGTCGGAGATGACTAACAAGATGTAAAAAGTCAACTGATCTTTTGATCCGCAGTTGTTTCAAAGTTTGAGAATTATTAAGTCTGGGCTGACTAATAAACTGAAATTTGGAGGGTTTGATAGAGTCATGTAGAACATTCAGCTTTTTGTCAATGGTGAGATTGTGCAAGTTTTCTGGACGATTGTTGACGAAAATCTTTCCTCAAAAGGGGTAAGTTTTATACTTGTTTGTGGGTGAATGTAATATTAAATTCCCATGAAATATGATTTTCAGTTTACTCAAAGTTTTGTGGGACAATAGTTAAAGTCGATTTGTTTACCTGTAACTCAAACTGTTTTAGTTATTCAATAAGTTTTTTTCTTCATGCAATTCATTTCATTGATTGAAATTGTTGAACACTTCAATAGATGCAACTTGTTTTCATTTTTATAGTCACTTTTTCTTGCCTGCAACTTCAATTATTTATTTTCTTAATTAAATATTTCTTTCAGTTTTATTTTGTCGGTTGAAATTCTAGGTTTCCCCCTTTTTAGGGTGGCTGTACACCCTACACTAAATTATTACAAGAGGGGCTCTAGATGGAGTGATTGGGATGGCTACCCCTCTCCTCCCCCCCCCCCCCCTCAACCCCACCCCACACCTGTCAAAGTTCCATCTGACCAATGTAAATTATTGACATATTAGTAAAGGAAAAAGTCCTTTCCTGAAATGACTACATTGCAAAGTTAGAACGTGTACCCTTGTTGAGATTTTGAGCAATTTTGTTGTTTCAACTAATTAGTGGCAAAAAAACTGCCCCAAAGCAACTGATCCCAATAACCTTCACTTGTGATGTTTTCCACTGAGCAATCAGTAGTCCCTCCTTGAACAAAAAATCCTCGATCTTTCTCTGTTTTTTTTCCCCTTCCAAAATCGACCCTTGAACTTAATATAAACCCACTATGGAATAAGGTGTCTGTCCTACGTCTGAATCCAACTGAATAATTAACCCCTCTGACGATCCTCATCGGAGAACTCAGTCTCCACTAGGCCCATAGTACAACATTCACAGGGGAACTTATCACCCATCGAGCACCTTGAAATATGCATTATATACACAGGATTAAAAATAGCTAACATCAATATATTAATGTTTGTTTTCACAACCAAGTGGAGTGAGCTGAGGTACCTGGGCTCAATAGAGATGCCTTTTACTCCAGACATACTTTTAGAAGGAAAATAAATCAGTATTTTTTAAGATTTGAGGACCTAGTTTTGGGAAGAACAGAACAGTTTAAGAGTTTTGCTACAATATAGAGAAACCCTCAAGAAAATTGTGAACATTTAAGAAGAGAAAGATAATATCTTAAGGTATAGATATGTGTTTCCATTCCTTTTATTTGCTCTAAATTTGGTTTATTTAAAAAAAAAATTATTAGGCTTAATGCTTTATTATCTTTCTTTTAGGGAGGGGGAGTTGGGTCCTAGGGACTGTAGCTTTCATGCGCATCTTAAAAAAAAGAAGCTCTCTTCTTGCATCATTGTGTCCTTCAAAGCCTTCATTATACATAAGACACTGATGACACGGCAGTATCATAGTCTCTGACAGTATCACATGGTGTGTGGCGTATAATGAACATGAGCCTTGTGCATTTTTTCCATGTGCACCCTGCAACCTCCGGCCGCTCCGGGTGAGTATTTTTAGCCCGACAGCCAAGACGGAAAAAAAGTGCACAGGCATTGTGAAATAAAAAACTGCTCCTCCACGAGAAACGGCGTCATGTTATTGGATATTGTGTTACCTTCAAGAGGCTGTGTGGAAAGATGACACAAGAAAGAGGATTATTGAGCGCGCTGCTGCCCAGCTCTGCCCAGTTGTTTATATAATGAGTGATCTTTTTACAGGGATTTGTCTGTTTGCTGAAGCTTCGACTGGACAATCATGGAGATTGACGGCGGCCCGTCTCTGAATATGAAAGATCCAGTGTCTGCAAATCTGAAGGTAGATAATTCTTTCTATTTGACATCTGCATTTTCAGACTGTTTTATGTAGAAAATGTTGTTTTGAAATTTGACACAAGTTGTATTTGTTTAGTTTATATATTCATATTCATTTTTTTTTTAGAAGTATCTTAAGTTTGTAAGCATTTCTGGATGATACTTGAGATTGCTAAGAATGCATGCAATTACTGCAATGTTGACGATTTCATTTGATTTGATGCTTGGCATGTATTTGTGTGTTCAGGCATCTTTGTTTGTTTTAATGAAGGGATTGAGATACGAGGGGAAAATAATAATCAGGTTTGGCCTTGCCAGAGGAAGAATGTAAATTATGGAAGAAAATGTAAATGATAAGGCTATATTTATTTCTTGTAAAACTTACTCCTTAGATATAGAATTGTAAAGACATATTTTTAAATTTTTTTTAATGCTTTCTCTTTCAAAACAATCGTATTATAGTGCAATAAACTATAACAATTATCTCCTCATTCCAAGTATGGGGGATAATATTTTGGTCAAACTGTACTAGATTTTTTTCATGAGTCTCTAAAAAAAACAAATTTTATTTAAAGGGTGAAGTTTCTTTTTACAAGTGACCAACACATGAAATTTAACCAACATATGAAATTTAATTTGCTGATTGAATTGGATTAACCCAAGTTTTTCACAGGATATTATTCAAATTTACTAACGACCTTATTTATTTAGAGGACAAATTAAATTCCAAAATGAGAGGGGTTTGAACATTCAACATTGTAAGAACAAATTTTTGAAATGAGCTTTGCCATATATTATTCAAATCTACTGGAGATTTGTTTTTTACGTCAATGCTGACAACAGTCTAAAACAATGTCCTTGCCACAAATCATTTGAATAACTATCACTCGTCTTAAAACTGGTTGATTTTTAATTGACTTGTGATGACTTGATTCCAACTGAGAAAATCATAACATAAATCTGAGCTCTGCAAATAATTGTTCTTGTATTTCAGGCAGGACGTTTGGGTGATGCCTTGAGTGGCTCTACCCCTTCTGAAAGAGTCGCCAAAGAGGACAGCAGTGCAATGTCCGTTCCTTGCATCTTCTTCCAATGTCCATTCGGATGCAGCGCCATATACCCCAAGTCAGCCATAGATGAACATATGCTGGGACATCTAAAGAGGGTCAGTGCCATTATCCAAACACTGATACATATAGGAAAATTGGGAAGACTATGGAACTTGTGTTGTCTTGACCATAGTTGTTGGGGAATGCTTTGAAGAAACAAGTACAGGTTGTGCTTGACATCAGAGAAAAAAGAAAGTCCTTACCAGGTAAATCATGTCAAAGGCAAAAAAACTTACAGAAAGACAACAAGCAACAAGAGTTTGGACTTATAAAATATAGAAAGGAACAGAAATATCAAATGTAGAATATCACAAGTAAAATTTCATATGTAATTCAGCTATAATATTCTGAACATAAACTCTAAGCATTTTCAGTATTTGGCTGTAAATTCAGGTATGAGGTTTTTCAGACTTTAGTCTGAAATCAGACTTTTTGAATCTGAGAGGACATTACCAGCATAGAAAAAAATGCATCTTGCAGACCTTCATCCAATTGTCAGATCTTTTAGTTATATTGAGAATATAATCCCAATAAATTGGTGTGTTATCTTTTGCTAAAATGCAAGTATGAGAACTTATCAGCAATAAGTAGAGTTCATTTTGTTTTTCTGTGTATTGCACTGTTTTTCCTCATGAGGTGTATATTTTTTTTCATTTTCAGATGCTGCAGTACAGGCCATTAGAAGCATCAGTTCTTATGATTCATTCCCTAAGCAAGAACAAGGGAAGACTGCACACTGGTTTACAGATTCTCTGCAAGTAGGTTGTGGAATTTCCCAGTCCGATCGATGGATGGCTGGCTGGCTGGCTGGCTTGAGTTAAAAGTTCAAAGTTGAAATCAGATTTTGATCTGATCTCAGTGATCTGCCTAAAATATTAAAAAAAAAAGAATTTAGGACTTTTTAGTGACATACATTTTCTAGATCTAAAACATTTTGACAATTTACAAAAAGACAAAATAAAACTTACAGGCCTAGATCATTGACTGTCTAGGAATTCCAATTCAATACTTTGAAGCACAACATCAGTTTGTTGTTCCCTGTCGTACTTGTGATATTTTTTCTCCATTTCCCTAATTTCCTATTGCCAATAACTCTGCATCCATTGAACCAAAGCTCATCTTTTTCATTCCAGTGTATGATTCTATGTTTGCTTAACCCAAAGGGATAGCCTTCTGCCGTCTGACCGACTGACTGACGAGACACAAAGAGAGAGACTTTCAGGTCCAGACTAGTCAAGCTAATTTTTTTATTAAAACCCAAGGTATCTGGATAACGTGTGCAATAACCCCACTGAGGAGAAATACAGGAATATCTCGGAGCACAACAAAGCCTTCCAGGAGAAAGTAGCTCCCATTGAGGGGGCTAGAGACTTCCTACAGGCAGTAGGCTTCCAGCCCAAGAAGCTATCATATAAAGGTAGAGGAGTGAAGGGCCAATTCATGACATCATGATAATGAAATCAAAGAAATCTTAAAGAAACATCCATGTGTCAGTGAAATAACTAAGGTCCAATTTCCGGGGGAGGGGTCATTTTCTGGAGGGGGCACTTGAAGGCTTTCCAACGTTTACAAAGCTCAATACTTGTCTTCAAATTCTCAGGGGGAACAAGAAGACACCGATCTGTCATCCCCACCTCCAACATGAAAGTGGCAACTGTGAGTAGATAACAAATCCCTGTCTTTCTTAACAGACACCAACATGCCCTTTCTGGTAATGAGCGAGGAGTGTGCGTCCGACATCGACCAGATCAAATCGGCTCGTGATGTACTTCTCAATACTCAGCCCACCGAGGCTGAGATACATCGAGACATCCGAGTCTACTACCCTTCCCACAAGGCTGAGGAGTTTCATGTTCCTAAGGACTTCTATGATGTCACATCTGGGTAAAGTGAGACCTTTGATACATCTTGGGAAACATGTATTTCAATATTGAGTTTTGCCATTCACCAATGCAACTTTACAAACATTCTATACTCAGTGCTCTCAGTTAAAAAAAACCCCAAAAAACAAAAACAAAAAAAACAAGCTTGCTCAGGTCGGGCTTCCTAGAAAAAAATGGGTTATTTTTAAAATACCTGTTGAGGACTGAAAATAGATCTATTCCTGTACAATTTTGTTTTTGGAGAGGTTGTTTTTATCATTCTAAATAGTATTAAAATGAACAAAGACAAACAACTACCCCCCAGTCATCTATGCCATCAATGTTAAAGCATCAATGCATTCAAACCAGAAGTCTGCCATGTTCTTAGCTTTTGATTTGGGCAAAATCCGACAAGGATTAGAAAAATTCTGAAAAGATTAATATGCAACTAGTCATTACAAATTTCAGTCCTCTCTGTTTCCTACTTCAGTTTGCAAGTCCATGACCCTCGAAAGTCAAGACGTTATAAATACACCCTCATTAGGATACGCTTTCCAGATGGCGTCCTTTTGCAAGGTAATTTTTTCCTTCAATATTTAATATATTTGATCAGAAATATTTGAAATTCTGCAATCTCATCCGGTACAGTGTGCACACAATTATTCTCTTAGCGGAGGTATGGCAGCTTTGCCACTGAGGAATTTTGTCTCCGACAAGAATTAAGTGCTGCAAGCATTTCGTTTGGTCTGTGTAGGATGGTAATGCCCTTTTAGACACATCCAATATGAACATTCACAGTGCATTTCACTCCGGAGTTTCACTCCGGATTTATCAAATTGAATTCAATCTTGGGGCTACAAAAAATTAACAAGATGTGAAATACAAAGTGAGGAAACTGTTACCATGGTAACGCTGACATTTTATTCATCCAAGATTTTCAGTGGATCTTTTTTTTTTTTTTGGCTCCCTGTTCAATATTCAGGAACATTTCAGGTGGAAGAAAAACTGTCTGCCGTGAAGGCATTCATCTCGTCCATGCTGGAGAAAGAATGGCAACCATTTGTGTTGCGTGACAAGAACGGCAAGGCTATGTCTGCAGTGAACAGCACATTGCATCAATTAAAGCTTGTGAGTTGTTAGTAATCGGTATGATCAAGCATATGAATTTTTAGGAATAAAAATATCTTGCAGCAGCAGTGGCACAGCGAATATCAACACGTGTGTCAAATTTTTCTCCCGATAAATTTTAAGTTAATTTTTTTCGAGGCCTGAGTGACATTATCACAATAAAGGACTTCACATTTGTGTCCTGCAATTTTGTTTTAATTAAAACATTAAGCTGCATTCCCATGCCGTTTTTGATTTTTTTCCCGAAAAAAATTATTAGATTCTTTTTTTAAATTGCTATTTTTCTAGCAATACAAAAGTTATTCACTTCTGAGCGAGATATCGACTAAAGAAAGTCAGCCCATGTTTAGTTACTGAATTATTACATTACAATTTTGAATTATTGGATGCCAGACAATAAATTCTGTTCTCGCTGGGTAGGCTGGTTCCCGTCCCACAATCAGTATCAATAATGTACGGACCGGGAGCCAGTCTGCTGCAAAGTGGATCTGTTCCTGCCCAAACAAAAATCTTCTTTTTTTGGAGGGCTGCAGACGTCCAAAAAGGGGGGGGGGGGGGGGGGAGAGGGATATTGGTTGGAATAAAACATACAAAGGAATTTATTGAACAGCATGTTAAATGCAACTTTAAAAAAATGATAACTACTTAAATGACAATTTTCACAGAATTTACGAACTTGTAGTCCATTTTTGTTCACTAATGGAGCTTTGTAGATTGTTAGTCATTTAGTTATTTGTTTTCATTTATTTTTTCTGTCAGGTTCCTGGAGCCATCTTGGATTTTGGTTTTAATGCCACCATTGAGGCTGAGATGGCCACGGGTCTCTACTTCTGCATTCACGGCCCAGTCCAACAAGAACACCACCTCAAGTCAGTGCTCATGAGGACGATTAAAGTTCTATAAGGAAACCTCAGCAACAAAGACAGTCGGTTTGTTACGCACCCCCAGCCCCCCATCCCCCACACCCACACCCACCAGCAATAACATTTACAAGTTTTAAAATTTCACAAGTAAACCGCACTTTCTCAGGCACACTTCAAACTGGATGGGTGTACATGTATATTTTTAGGACGTGTAGCCTATTTCTGAAAAACAAATCCTGCAGATATTTTGCGAGAAGAGTATGTTTTCATTTTGTAGACATTTAAACCTGTGCACACGACCCAATTTCATGAAACCATATGAAGATCTTGTCCAATCTAATAATAAGATTCTTGCTGGTGAAAAATATTAGCTTGTCAGTCAGACTACGTGCAGGTATTTTGAAGACACATTCCGGAGGAAAGAAAATATTCAAACTAGCAGTGGGGACTTTTACTACACCACATTAACATTTCACATGAATTGGTGTTAACACGTTGACTGCCAACTACGAATATATTCGTAGTGACAGGCGTACCGGATTTTGCCACTATGAGGTATATGTGTAGTAAAGTAAAGGCTTTTGAATTGTAAACAGAATGTACTGGCGTCACTGAATTTAACTCAACAAATTAGCTGCTGGCAGAGAACAAAAACTTGTCGAATATTTATGTTTAAATTATCAAATACCGGTAGTTGTTTTTAATATTTAATACCACATAAATATGCACGCATGTGTACATCGATCACTTGGCAAAGGGGGCGCCCTGTCAAAGGTTCATCGGCAGTCAACGTGTTAGGGTATTTATGAGACATAGGCCCAAAAAATTTATATGTAGTCAATACCCAGATGGAACAATATGGTGTTGAGATTTGTGTTCCTAAATGGTTAAAACGAGTTGAGAGGAAATCAGTGGTTTTTTTTTAAAACAGAAGCCTTTATTATCACTGTGCACAAAAATCAAGTAATCATCAACCGCAATGAAATTTACACCAAGTAACAACCGAATATAAATATATTTCAAGAACACTTCATGCCTTTAAAAAAAATTTACAAAAAAATTTAAAAAAAACATTGGACGGCATAACTTCTGTTTAATGTTTACATTTTCAATTGCTCATATAATACTGCTGCAATATTTAAGGCCGGATTAATGAATACTATGTTTGGAATATTTACACTTAATAACATTTATTTATATACATACATTTGTACACAACAAGTTAGGACGGATTGTTTTCTTACAAACTTCTGACAGTCAAATGAGTTGCCAAAAACTGCATCCAAGGATTCACTTGCGTATCCTCTCTACAATATTGCTTTCTGGTTGCTTTTTTTTTATGAAATCAAAAACGTGCAATTGTAGAAGTTTTGAATGCATAATGCCAGCAGGTTTTTAACCCTGAAAATGTTTTGCAGTTTTTAAATGCACGTACATTTGTAAGTACATCAGTATGTGCACGATGAATGTGAAAACTGGCTCACTTTAATCAAAATTCAGATATAGTGAACGTTTTGGGCAGGTCTGTTAGATTTCAGACGATGAGAGTCAACTGTAGTCAACTAGATTAGATTATACAATGCCTGAATAAATCCCCGTCTTCTGATTGGTGGGTTGTTGATCACATGTGACTGAATAATTCATCCCAACCCACGGCCCGCCGCACTTCAAACATAGAAGTTCACGGTAAATAGTTCCATTGCACAGTCACACTATTACCAATCAGATGAAGAGGATTTCAATAAATAAGTGTTTTCCATTTATGCAATGGAAAGAATAATTTCATTCAGTGACAGATGGAATGTTCCATTCCACTCGGCCAACAGGAACAGTAAGGTACGAAGAAGACCTTTTTGTTTAGTTTCCTTTTTGCAGCATACAAGGCCAACCTGCAATAACACACCTACTCACTATGCATGTAAACTATGGTACTCATAAAGATGACGTCTGTAAAATGGGTACGATGTCCACTTGTTGTTGAAGGGACCCAGTGCAAAGATTTTATGGAAAGGCTTTGAGATTATATAGAGAAAAATATACTTGCAGAAAAACTTGTCACTTCTCAACGTGTGTGTCTGATTTGTCCTCATTTGCCTCGTCTTCCTCTTCCTCACTTGAACTGAAATCAAAATTTAACAAAAGACAATATTAAACTCTGTCAAGGTACACATAGCTGAAAAGAAAAAAAAAACCACTATGAACATTTTAAATTTCCTGAAAGAACCATTTTGCTGTGAAATTAATCCTCAAGGGCAGTTTCATTGAAGTTTACCTGGGCTTTGCAGGAATAATCTGGTAAGGAATAGTTTACAGATTTTTTACTTTGAAATGAAAATCATATGCAACTTCAGAAAAAAGGCCACATGAGAAAAAAAGTCTTTCATGGACCACACTCACAGCATTTTGGATAAAGGTCAGAAAGTATCTTAATATAAAGCCTTGACACCATCAAAAACCAATGTTCCAAAGTTTTAAGCAAATGAGAGCACTACTGTCCTGAGAGTACAAACTGAAATGAACTCTGGGTTATTGATGTCAGTTTTAACACTGTTATAATTCAAAAATTACATTTTAACAATCTTCAATTTTAGATTGAATTTTTTTAGCTCAATTACTTAAATTAACGTGCTATTTGTACCCTTAAAATGATATCTTTACAGTGGTTTTATTTGCTCAAATACAGACACCAGAATTTTTCTTCCATATTTGGTTCAATCATCTTAATTTTTAATTCTCAAAGAAAGTCAGACATTGTTTTACTTACCTCTCTTCATCATCTTCATCCTCGTCACTATCTTCATCGTCACTGTCATCGTCATCATCCCCGTCATCGCTGTTATCATCGTCATCATCAGCATCGTCATCTTCATCTTCGCTTTCACTTCCCCACAACTGAGCTTCCCGCTCTGAAATTATTCGGCGTTTTACAAAAAATTACACAAACACCTCAGCATTCGGTTTTAAAGGCATAAAGGATCATTTGCATTTATCCCAAAACTACCAAATTATTATCCAAAAGTTTACTGTTACTAAACACCACGTGAATTTATTCCGTTTTAGCTTGCTGTCATTTACAGTGAGGACCTGACTACAGCTCAGATACAGAGAGCTCAATTTTGGGACATTGCTGTTTTTAACTGGCCACAAATGTGGTGAATGAATGTTGTGCCGAAATCAGTCGGAGAAATATAAACAACAATTCTTAAAATGAAAGGTTTAAATGTTCTAAAAACAGCAATATGAAGTACAAAAAAAAATAACCGCAGGTGCTATATCATTTTTGTTCGGTCTTTAATTAGTCTCTCCTTTTCTGAGCTTATGAAAGTAATTGTTTTCAATTTTCTTCTGGAATTCCAGAAGAGAAACAATCAGGAAAGTACCTCTTTTCAGCATTTCTTCAATCAGGGGCTGGAACTGCTTTGCTTCAGCATTTTCCGGTTCATAAAGCAGAACTGCCAATGAAAAAAAAAGGACAAATAAAATCAGAAATCATTTTCAACTTCATAAAATACAAAATTGTAATATTTTAGTAACGCTGATGTGACTTCTGTAAATTCAAGAATACTTGTCACCAGGCATACAACCAGAGCAGGTATATACAGGGAGCGAAGAGCCTATAACCAAAAAATGCTTGAGTTCGATTTATCAATTTCAATGTCATAACTAAAATGAAATTCTTGACATAAAAAATAGAGGAAATGGTTAAACAATCTTTTGGACTTACCCATTTTACACAGCTTCTCAGCATTTTCATAGTCTTCCTCCATGACTGCTTCCAGGAACTGTCAAGAACAAAATACATAATTCAGATAAATCTGATATATTTAGAAAACACCAATGTAAAGGGTTTTATCCTGACACAAGGCGCTTCCCTTTAGACTCCTACCTCTCCAAGAAGCTGGAAGGGGGCTTTGCCTTCTTCATCCTCTTCATTGTCTTCTTCTTCATCATCATCATCATCATCGTTGCTTTCATTCTCATCATCTGCCTCCTCCGTGACTTTGCTGGACGAGGTTGTCCCTGTTTCCTGGTCTGTTTGTGTAGTAGGTTCCTCCGTCTTATCCGTGGCAGTTTGTGCGGTCTCTGTTTAATAACATTTAATAATGCCTCAAGTTAATATGGTGATACCATTATTCTCTATATACTGACAAGAAGTTGTGAAGCTGCCTCAAATCACATTTTGGACCTCCAACATGGCTGCTGCCGCATTCAGCTAATACAGTCACGTGCGTTAGACACCACTCAGTGCATACAGCACAATGCAAAGATTTAAAAGTTTTTTGGTCTTCCAAGATGGCACCCAAATGACTTCAGCCTTTGCACACTAAATCAGGAATATCCCGACCCGGCATGCACCATGTGCGAAAAAAGAGCATTCTGAAAAGATGATAAGTTTCAAGTTTTATAACCCTTCTTTATTGGAGTGCTTTGCCTAACTCACCGGAAGTTGCAGACGACGTAGCTCTGTCATGAGTCAGATAGTAAGAGTCATTTTCCGCACTGGATGAAACACTGGCTGATGCCGCAATTTTATTATATAAAAAAAAAAGAACCAGACAAAAGCAAAACAGATCAGTACAATGATAAACTTTGTTGAGGAATATGCTTGGCAATTGTTTCCATCACCATAACTAAACAAAAACAAAACCAGTCAGCAACATGTCCCTTAACTCCCTCGCAAATGGTGGTGCAGCAAGGATTTGTAATTGTAAAGGGGGGCTGACTGGACTTCATTCAACGCTGGGGGAGGGCTGTTCATGTATATTTTGTTACTAAACACAGCTGCACTTCAGAGTCCTACTGTTGAGATTGCAGCTTTGTGTCCTTTTAAATTTGCATAATGGATTAAACAATGCCCACCTTTTGAGCTGTTGGAAGTGCTTCCATGGCTGATGTAATATGAACCAGTATTATTCATCTCATCGTCATGACCTTTGACATCTGACCCATGACCTCCAGCCTCTCCCAGTGTCAACCTCTCCAGACCCTTCTCAACATCTCCTGGCTGTTTCAAGTCATTGTTTTCTGCGTCTGTTTCCAGTCGGTCTGACCTCTCTCCGTGCTGTTTTCTGTGGGACGAGTCGTGAGTTTTGTGCGTGGAGGATGGTGAATTACTAATTGCCCCATTCTGAAGGGAAGGAAGGTTCTGAACTGCTTTGGCCAGCTCTTCATTTTTTGGCATTCCGTGTCTGCAAAAGTAAAGAAAAATCACCTTTCAAACTGTCAGATGAACATATGTATAGTAGTGTGTATTTGATTTAAACGCCCAACCAACCAAAACACTAGCCAGTAGTCAGCATGCAAGCATATTTGATCTGAACGCACAACCAGCCAAAACACTAGCCAGTAGTCAGCATGCAAGCATATTTGATCTGAACGCACAACCAGCCAAAACACTAGCCAGTAGTCAGCATGCAAGCATATTTGATCTGAACGCACAACCAGCCAGAACACTAGCCAGTAGTCAGCATGCTAGCATATTTGATCTGAATGCACAACCAGCCAAAACACTAGCCAGTAGTCAGCATGCAAGCATATTTGATCTGAACACACAACCAGCCAGAACACTAGCCAGTAGTCAGCATGCAAGCATATTTGATCTGAACACACAACCAGCCAAAACACAAGCCAGTAGTCAGCATGCAAGCATATTTGATCTGAACGCACAACCAGCCAAAACACAAGCCAGTAGTCGGCATGCAAGCATATTTGCTCTGAACGCACAACCAGCCAGAACTCTAGCCAGTAGTCAGCATGCAAGCCTACTCACTGCTCAAAGTTCCTCTTCACTGTCGTCAGATAAACCTGCTTCCTGGGCGAGTCTGGCGTTATCACCTCCGCCCTCCTGTCGATGCTGCTACTTCTCTTAAGCCCCACCCCTCCTCCCTTCCCATCACCGTTGCCTAGTTCATCCTCTGTGAAGCTGAGTCGACTGACGGATCCAGCGCTCTGAGTTTGACGCTGGCTGTCAGTGTTGGCTCCCGTATTGCTGAGTCTACTTGGGGTTCTACTACTATCATCTGCAAAAGAAAATTTGAAAACATCTGTTTTAAAGGGAGGGGTCCTTTACCAGATCTTCAATGAAAGCCACAACACACTGGACGATTTCTAATAACGACATCTAGGCCTAATTTAATGGCTCAACTAATCACAGAACTTGTTAGTTATCTGGGATTCCTTACTTATGGTCAACACAGCCTTCTTCAACACTTACCTTCTTCCGCTGGTAGTATTTCCAAGGAGCTGCCTCCTCTCTTAAGTGGCGACTGCAGACAAAAATGTAAAATCAAGCATTAACTAAAACTCCGTCACCAAAAGTCTTACTAGATAAAAATGAAAGAAATGTGTTAAATACAAGAGACTTGAAAACTTACTCGTCTGTTGACCGATCGTCTACCAGAGGGCGGTCTGAAAGTAAGAACCAAAAGTTTAGAATGAATGTTGACATACTGACTTGCAGTGAGGTTATTACATGAACAGAATGTGAATCTGCATCTCCAGATTGAGGCATCTTGTTTCAAACGCAATATTCCCTAGAGAGGAATGTTTTTGCCCCCTCCCCCTCCTAAGATAAAGGTTTTGAAGACATTCTAGACTCAATGCATGAACACAGAAGACACTTCTTGACTACTTTTGAGATCTCCACTCCGTGGGGACACATTGCATCTGCATACTGGTTCGTGAACACATGATGCAAACATACCTTTACTTTAATCTGAATATTCACTACCAATGCACAAACCCATGGTGTCTCTGCATGGACATCAGACATACACCAGCAATGGGATTCAAGAGTCTTCCTAACCCTCTTTTTGTCACAGCATGGAAGCGCAGCGGAGTCTACAGCAGACAATGACAGTTAACCTAGTTCTCAGACTCTGAATGAGAGATATGTAGATTCAAGTCTGTTACCTTGTTGGGCTGTCTCGTCCTTGTTCCAGGACCACCATAGAGTTGGGTGTTCCACTGCGGCTACCGGACTGTCTGCTGATCATTGTATTATTGTTGTTTTGGTTCTGCATTTCTACCTGCACACAAACATGTAAGAATGTACAAATTGTATGTTAGGCCATTTCTCCTCCAGTTAGCCCTTGTTAAAAATTACAATGTTGCTATTTTATGGAAGTCAACAACGCGTCAACCGAATGGTTACTTTCCTTTTAAAGAAAAAACCCTCTTGAGCCATGAATCAGAAAGAAAAATTACATCTACTTCAATGAAAGTAACATTTAATTTCAAACAATAAAAGTAAGAAGAAAAAATTGGGAAACTAAAAAAACTAAAAGGTGGTGGCTATTGTTACGGCAGCTGTTTCGGTAGCAGTTGCAGTCTACAGAAATGGCCGTCATCGAGCGAGCCCTATTGACTAAACATTGGACTTCAATGCCGAAGGTCCCGGGATGGAATCCGTGCTGTGATATATTTGAATTTTTTTTTTTTTTAAAGTTTTCTTTACTTTCTGTTTTTAATCAAATTGTTCTTTTTTATTGAAGTACGTTTCATTTGTCTTCATAATCCGTGGCTTTGTTTGAAGGATTTTCTTTTAAGTTTTAAACGGAATTAAAGTCTGAAAAGTATGGGCGGAATAGTCTGGTTTCAACACCCAAAGATCCCGACGGTGAATACAACTAAGTCAGGGAACCAGACGGTTTCGTAACGATAACACTAACAGTGGAAAATCGCGTTACGGCTGCCGTAACGATAGCCACTGCACTGCACTGCAGTGCGAAAAAAGTCACTTTTTGAATTCGGCACTCAATAAACACATTTTATTTTTAGCCTAATGTGCTGCTTTATCAAACATCATAAACTTCTAAATTTTTCTTCTATTTTACAGAAACCCAGTTAAAGAATACTTAAGTGATTTACAAAATTAATCCAATAAAACGGAGGAAAACTGACATTTAACGTTACCTCATTCGCGTAGCGAGCTAGCTATCGTCTACGTCGCCATTAGAGATGAGCCCGCCCTCTTTTGTCTAAAAATATTAAGCCGGTGTTATTTGCAGGTGGGGGTCCTACTAAAGCGCGTCAACAAGCGTCAACAAGCGTCAACAAGTTTTAGTAATCGTTAAGTGCGCGTCAACAAATTTTGTATAGGCCTTTGAACAATAAAAACAGCTTTATATGGTAGAAAAAGCAATAATGAACATCTTCTGCATATCAATTAAAGTTAAAATTATTTTAAAACTTGTTTTTTTGAACGCGAAATGTACGACGAATTTGTCGATAAAAATAGGCCGCCATCTTGTTTGGATGGCGCTGTAGTCTTCGCGCATGCGTAGTATGGCTCTTTACACTTCACGCATGCGTAGTACGGCTAGCTACACATAAACAAGATGGCGGCCAACTTTTATCGACAAATTCGTCGTACATTTCGCATTCAAAAAACCAAGTTTTAAAATAATTTTAACTTTAATTGATATGCAGAAGATGTTCATTATTGCTTTTTCTACCATATAAAGCTGTTTTTATTGTTCAAAGGCCTATACAAAATTTGTTGACGCGCACTTAACGATTACTAAAACTTGTTGACGCTTGTTGACGCTTGTTGACGCTTGTTGACGCGCTTTAGTAGGACCGCATGCGGTCCACGCGCACACAAAAGCAAAAACGAATTGCCAGGTTGGAAGGGAGCCTTACTAATTTGTCACTTTAAAGCGTTGTGAATTCAGTCGGGTACCCTAACGAAAATCGTCTGTTCCTGATCCTCTCGCTCGCTGATCGATCTGCCCTGCGATCGAACCATCCGCAGTTTCTACTTTCCCAAATAAATTCCGCTCAAATTCAGGCCTGAAATCAGTTTAAAAATGAGTTTCATTCAGTACGAGCAAAACTGTGACTTTCCCATTCAGAATCTGCCTTATGGAGTCTTCTCGACCACCGAAAATGTAAGCAGTAGCCTAACTAAACAGTCATGACAGTAAACTAGTAACTTGAATTAGAAATTAAAACAAAGAGTATAATTGTATTAATGACTAGACATCAATTTGTGCTGGGGGTGGGGGCGGGGTGGGATGGAGGGGGGGGGGGGGGGGTCAGTAAGTTTGGAAGAACAGTAGACTGGTGTGAGAAAACATGGGAAGGGGTAAATTTGATGACAGTCCTGATTTCCACAAGGGAAGACACTGTAGCCAGGCCTGAAGGGAAAATTAATTAAAATAATATAAATAAATAAATACAAAAATGCAGTGTGACTTGAACTTGAAGATCACAGGCTAGCCTTTTAAATTAATTAGGCATGTGACATGCTGCACTTTGTCGGAGCATCTATAGTTTCTACGGGTATAAACCAATCTGAGTTAGATGCTATTACTTATTAGCATTGCTAATTTTTAAAAAAAAAATTGGGGGGGGGGGGGGGTTTTTTTGGGGTGGGGGATGGTCTGCTGTTATTATGGAGAGAAAAGTGTGCTAAAATGTTGACTTCTTCATTAATCATTCACTATTCTTTTTATTCAATAGCCGCAGCATCGGATTGGGGTTGCCATCGGAGACCAAGTGTTAGACCTGTCTGTAGTCAAGGAACTCTTCCATGGACCCCACCTGACGGAATGCAGAGATGTGTTTGACCAGGTAGGACGTAAGATTCACATGCAATACAAGAAAAAAAGACGGACCCATGAAACAAGTCCATTTTTAGTACTGTACATATCTGGTACCAAGGCTTCCTTTCTATGCACTTTCTGCACAATCATGCCACCAGACTACTAAGTGATCCATATTTGGATTACTTAGCTTTTCCTTTTCTCCGGTGAAAAAGATTGAAGGAAAGTCCATTTTAAATGTTGTGAAATGCATTTCAAGATATTAACAAGAAATTGCTCTCTTTTCCCCTTCTTCATTTCAGCCAGTGCTGAATGGTCTGATGGCGCTTGGTCCTCCTGTCTGGAAGGAGGCAAGGCAGACACTGCAGAGGATCTTATCTGCTGATGAGGGTGTCCTCAGGGATAACGTGGAACTCAGGGCAAAGTAAATGTCGATTCTGATGGTTTCTTGTTGGATTTTTATCCTGTGAGAGGAGCTGATCTAGGATGATCTAAAGTAGGGTGAATGATGAGGGATTCCCGGTGTATTGCCCTGACTGTAAACTAGTCAGTGGTGTAGCGAGGTGGGTGGGGGTGGGGGGGGGGGGAGGGGGGGGGGTGCTACGCATAGTGATCAACATACTGAATGTATTCTCTGCACACGGCCCGCTCGCACGTGGTGTTACAGTGCTGAGGTGTTGAAATCCAGGATTCCTTATGGAGGGGGACGATTGGGGTGGCTGAGGCCCTTGCTGATGTCATTTGAATATTATTTGAGGTTATATTTAAATTTCTGGTTTTAAGATTGAAAGGCCTTGTAGTATCTGTTTGGACTTAAATTTATTGCTTGATTTCAGAGCTTTTGTGCCCCAGAGTTCGGCCATCATGCATTTACCGGTCAAGATCGGAGACTACACTGATTTCTACTCGTCCATCCACCATGCTACCAATGTGGGCACCATGTTCAGGGGCAAGGAGAATGCCCTCATGCCGAACTGGTGAGTACTAGCGTGGACTCTAGAGGGCGCCTTGAATAAAGCGGTTTGCTCGTACCCACTGCCCCGTCCAAGGGTTCTGGTGACTGTTGACTTCTTTGAGCTCTGATTGGATAGTTTTTGTATGCTTATATAGTGCTTTCATTTCTCATATCCTCTTTCTTTGTAGGAAGCATCTTCCAGTTGGTTACCATGGTCGCGCATCATCTGTCGTCATCTCAGGCACACCAATTAGGCGTCCCTGTGGTCAAACCAGAGCAGACGAGAGTGAGTCCGAAAACACCATCTGTATGGCCAAACATCACTGACGTTATTATTATTTGACCATAATCATAGCATCAGGGTGTAGTTCATCAATCTCAAGACCTAGTTTATATTTGTAAAAGTTGAAGAGTGGATCCTTTGGGGTTACTGTCCTGTGTCCCTGGGCAAGGCACTTTGTCACAAATTCCTTGTAATAGTAAATTGAATTACACAACATTAACCTTTTTTCTGAATGTTCTTCCTCTCAGGCCAGCCACCAGTATTTGGCCCCTGCAAGCTGATGGACTTTGAATTGGAAATGGTAAGACACACGGCAGATTTTGTTCACTTAAACTTGTTAAAGGGTATTATTTCCAAACTATTTTGATTGAAGTTGACCTGAAAAAAAACCCAAGAAATATCTTCACTTTGCTGCAAAGCCATTTTAAGTTGTGACAGAGTGCCTATATGAGCACTGCCAGAAAGCTGGTGAGATCTTATTTAATAGTCTTCTTAATCTTCCTGCTGTTTAAGCTCAAATTACACTAGATTTTCAGCACACAAAACTGTTTGCATTAAAAATTCTGACACAGCCACAGAGAAACTGTAATATATACTCCCCTAGTTTTCAGTTGAACAATGACATGAAGGCTTCCTTTCACAAGGCTGTTTGAGGAAATGTGTGAAGGCACTTTGTTGATTGTTTTTGTTTGTTTATTGGTGATTTGGCAGGCATTTTTTACTGGGCCAGGCAACAACCTGAGTGAAGCCATCCCCATTAGCAAGGCTCAGGATCACATCTTCGGCATGGTCCTCATGAACGATTGGAGTGGTCAGTAGCAACATTCTCGTTAATCAAAAGTTTGGGTATATTTGTCACTTAAACTTTATTAAATAAAATAAAGTGCAGTTACCTTAAGAAGTGCAACGGCACAGTTGGTCTTGGAAGCTAAGCGATCTTTCAAGAACTACATATTCAGTCCATTTTGGGCCAAAATACCCAACCCTTCCACCGCCTATGCCAGGTGTGCCTTTAAAAATGCCCAACATTATTGTAAGTTTATGAATTTCCTGTTGTCTTTCTTTGTCAACTGCATTTTTTTACTTGATTCTGTGTGTGTTTATATGTGTAGCCCGCGACATCCAGAAATGGGAGTATGTACCCCTGGGCCCCTTTCTGGGTAAGAACATGGGTACCAGCATTTCTCCCTGGGTGGTTACCATGGAAGCACTGGCCGCCTTCACCATCCCAAACCACCCTCAGGTCAGTAAAAAACATTGTGTCCTGCAATGATTAATATCATTTAAACCAATTTCAATATTTGGTTTTGCCGTTATAATTTAATTTTATACGCAATTGTAGAAATTTACTTTTGTTGGAGACAAACCCACAACCTCTTTCACACAAACGACAAAATCTGTTTGTCTTGTTATTAATTACGCCATCAGGGAATTTGAATATTGAATATTTTGAGTTTTTTGTAACACTATCTAGGATCCCAAGCCTCTGCCATACCTTCAGCATGAGGACAACTTCAACTTTGACATTAATCTAGCAGCTGCCATCTCCGCGGAGGGAACAAACGGACCAGCTATGGTTTCCCGCACCAACTTTAAGGTATCCATTACTTATTCATCCGTATAAACGTTTCCTTTTAATTTAAGTTTTTATGTCGTACCCTCACTCATGATTGCCCTCACCTGCAGAGTAATAGTAATATAAATGATTGACTGTTTTATATTGACCGTCTTTGCCATAGTATATGTATTGGACTGTGAAGCAGCAGCAGGCTCACCATACACTGATAGTCATATATTGACCGTCTTTGCCATAGTATATGTATTGGACTATGAAGCAGCAGCAGGCTCACCATACACTGATAGTCATATATTGACTGTTTTATATTGACCATCTTTGCCGTAGTATATGTATTGGACTATGAAGCAGCAGCTGGCCCACCATACTGTGACGGGATGTAACATGAATCCTGGAGATCTACTGGCCTCAGGCACCATCAGTGGACAGGTGAGTACAATAATTCAACTATTGACTGCTGCTTCGAGTGGTATAGTAAATAGAAGCCTTGGGAGATTACACATTGAGAATTCCATTTTCTAGATTTACTGTACCACAAGGTAACACCGATGCTTGTTTTATGACATCCCGCCCATGGATTATGCACAGTTTAAAGTTGCGTTCCATGTGTTCTTAAAAAAAATTCCATTTTTTTTTTCTCTAAATAAATATTCAACTTGTATGTTTTAATTCCACCAAAAAACTACTTTTGCTCTTTTTGTTTTATTTTTGGCACAAACTGATCTGTGTTACGAACAAACTGGCTCCCGTTCCATACTCCTGATGACGAACAGAGTACAAAGATGGCGCCATTTTGAAATTGGGCGGCAAAATTGTCATTAGCTCTTCTACAGTACTTTGATTTTCATTCCGCTAACTCCGTGTGTGATACCAACTTTTCCCCCTTTTTTCCTTCAGACGGATGATTCCCTGGGCTCTATGCTGGAACTCTGCTGGAAGGGAACAAGGGAAGTGGATCTCGGCAGTGGAATCAAACGGAAGTTCCTGAAGGATGGTGACGAAGTCGTCATCACAGGTAATATAATTGGACCCATCCTGTCCTGTCAATCAAACCGCATACTAATCATTAGATGGATTTTGCGTTGGGTGATGTGAATTCAATATTGGATTTTTTTTAAACACTGTATACACAGAGTGGCCTGAGTGATTGTGAGAACAACGGTATGCATTGACCAATGGTTCTGAACTTCAAGACTTAATGTTAATGGGCACTATGTGCAACAGAAAGAGTTTTTTGCCGATTCAAGGAACATCAGTAGATCTGAAGCAGGTTATTTATTAAATTAAAAAAAAAACTAATCTGTCAAAATTTCAGCTCAGTAGATATACTTTTAGAAAAAACTATGAAAATGCATCCTCATTATTCTCGACACAAAGCATAGGTTCCCGTTGAAAGCGCGATGGTTTGTTCTAACCATTGCGAGGAAATGTTGGTAATTCCTCTTTTCTTGAAAAATGACAGCATACTAGGTGCAATTTTTTCGCAGAATACATGACTGATGAAAAGTAGGATATTTCATGATTTTTTGACAGTTTCATTTTTGAATGTTTGCAAATGGTGTCAATTACCTTTTACATTGAACTTGACGTATCTGGCTTACCTAAGCATCTTTTTAACCTCACAGACACTAAGCCAGTTTGCTTGAAATAGGCTGCACAGAGAAACCTATTTGCAGCAGAAAATGAACCATTGTGAGGAGTTTTGCCTAATTTTTTGTTTGTTTGTTCTCTGCAGGTTACTGTCAGGGAGATGGGTATCGTGTGGGCTTCGGATCCTGCACAGGCAAAGTGCTACCTGCGGTCAATCCCTTCCAGTGAAAGGAAAAACACACCCTTCCATCGTCTCTCTCATCATGAATAAATGCTTGTACCTTTTTTTAATTCTCAAAAAAGAAGGAAGTAGCACTTAAAATCGGTTGCAACAAGGAGTTTGTTTCTTAGACAGTTTATTTGGCAATGAAAATGTCTTCCTGCTTTGTTATCAAACAAAATCATGTTCCTCTGTGAAAACAATAGTCACTTTATAAACCGTCAACAGCCGTTTTTTTACAGATATTTTATGTGTATCCTCTTTACAGTATCTTTAAAGTTGATCTGTTTGATCAAATTTACTAAATGCAATTTATTGTAAAAGTAAGGATAACACATTCAAATATGTAAAAAAAAAAAAGAAGAAGTTTATACCCAAATAGTTTTCGTACTATGTTTGTAGTATGTCCAGTTTTAAAGCTTACTTTCAGACACCAATCTTTGGAAAACATGGTGTAGTATTCGAGACCCACTCTAATTGAGTGGTCGGGCACAACCCGACCACTCTTTGGATCTGTTACGATTAATCTTTCTTTCTTTCTTTCTTTCTTTCTTTTTTTTTCCGGACAATACTTCTCCGCGGGTTTTCTCTTAAACGGTATATGGTATGAACTTGTAACTTTCAATATATATCGACCCTCATCCGAAGTGGTGCATATTACTCTGACGTCATGATTACGTCATAGGGTGTCAAATTACAAGTGATTTTATCTGAAAAAGTGACCAATTACTTTCACCTATAACTCTTGAACTAAACAATCAATGATGTTTGTTTTCTGTACTCAGATAGACCATTAATCGCTTAACAATTTTTGTAGTGTACGTGAACTCGCTTGACCTTTACTTCCGGGTCTACTGGAAGGTCAAAGTTAGGTGAATTCAAAATGAAGACGTTAGCCTGACATCAAAACAAAGCAGCATTTCTTCCGAACGGTTCACGGTATGATCACAAAACCTTGTGTGAACTTGTACCGTGTTACGAAGATGTTGTACATTTTGTTACGTCATCATGACGTAATCAGGTATCAAATTACAAGCAATTTAAGGGCAAACTTTGACAAAATAGTTTGCGTTATATCTTTTGAACTAAATAGAGTATCGTGTTTGTTTTTTCGTGAGGTTGTAGACTATGCCGTGAGAAACGTTTCATGTTCCTGGACGCAAAACCGCTTGACCTTTACTTCCGGTGTTACCGGAAGTGCAATAAAAACTGAATATTACTCAAAAGCGGAAGCATTTCACTACAGACATATATATTATGAAAGTGTATAGTGAGGAATGCAAGACGCAAAAAAACAGTGTGATGACGTCATCATCCGAAAGGGCGCCCCCTATCGGCACATAAAATATAGTTTCCCGTCTGTAATTGTAAAACTATCCGTCCAAATTTTACCAAATCGCCCCTTGTCATTCTCTGATTAACCACAGATAAGGTGGCAAGGTTTCAAATTCATGACGTCATCAGACCGGAAGTTACTTTAAGGAGAATTCGAAAATGATTAAAGTTTAAATTTATTTTTATCATTTGATCCCTGTCATATCTTCGAAGTCCAAATAATGATATCCATTACAATGTTCACCTTTGGATCTCTAATGATGTGACGTCATCAAACCGGAAGTTAGGTGTTATAAATACTTCGTCAAACCGGAAGTAAGGTGATATTAATACAAACAATTATATTTCCCATATTTTCATACGTTATTTAATTTTAAAATGACAAATTATCCTCTCCGAACTTTATCAGTATTCACTAACCATTTTTGACTGATGACGTCATCAAACTAGAAATAACTTTTTGTGCACATAGAATGTTTACTGAAGTTTATCACACCGTTAAAGATACCTTTTTGAAACATTGATTGTACTTGAAGGGATTTAATTTCGTGATCCTTTTTTTCTACATATATTCCTAACTTAACTGGGCAGTGTATAATGAAAAGGCTGTCCGCCCGACCACTCTGCGTTTGTAACTCAACAAACGCGAAACTCTAGTTTAACTTTCTGTACCTGAAATTTAATTATTTTAGTCCTCTATTATAGTTCTTTAAAATATTGTGTGTGACACAGCTATTTTCCAATTTTCATTTTGATGGGGGTTTTCAGTAACTGTGCAAACATTACACAGAATTTAAAAGTGTCTAATGTAAAAGATTTTGCCCTAAAGGAAGCATTAAGAAACAGATATATTTATTTCACCGAGGTTTGACCTTACTAACCAGTAGTATTATGATGCATATTATGAACATTGCTTTCCGAGAGCTTTTATTTTTCCCCTTATTACAATTTATGTATTAAAACCTTTAAGAAAGGTCTAGCAGAAATAACAGTCTAACAGAAATAATGATCTTTGTTCTATGAAGGGAGGAGTCTAGTTGCCAAGAGAAAAGGGGTGATTGAGATTTTATGTTAGCTCTTTAAAAAGTGACTTTTGGAAACAAATTATGGTTCCTTCCAAAGTGTGACCTTTTTCCCGTCTCTGTTACCTTTGTACTTTGAAATTTGCCATTCAAGTATCATTGAGAAGGACTTTAAATGATTTTCTATTGTTGGGTAGGTAGTTTGCTATTCATAATCACTCTTTGATGACGACTGCATTAAGGAGTGCATCAGAATTATAAAATCATAGATGTCAGATGTAACAGGGACAGGAAAAAAGTGTACCCCAAATTAGTCTTTTTGTCTGACAAATTACCTGGGAAACATTTGTCTTTGATGAGGAAATGCAGAAACGCATGAGTGTAATTAGAGAATTTGGAAAAAAAGTTTCTTGTGTGTTATAGGATCCGCATTTTAAAGTTTGAAACAAACTATATATCATTGAGTGTACTCGGGATTCAGAAAAGGATGCATGCATTAAGATCTATGACTTCTTTGTTAGTTTTAGCTGTCCTTTTTCTTTCTTTTACTTTTTCTTTCTTTGGTAGATATTTCAAATTTCCCACCTTGTTTATTTTTCTTTCAAAAGTATTCTTAACAAATATTTACTGAAGCAAGTGGCCATTTCGTTATTCAAAAACTTTTACTCAGCTTTATGTATAGAAAACTGCATGTTCTGTGTCAGCTTGGAAATAAATGTCATGTTTTGTTGTGTGTTACAGCATGCTGTGTGCTAATTTTAAAAGACCTTAAACCTTAAATCATGTCTACTTTATATTTTCTGATCGCTCTGGCAAAGTTCGGATCATTTATTGTTTGTTTCGAAAATGGAAACTTCATTAACTTTGCCTTTACTTGTATTTTCTTAACTTCGCTTTTGTTGGAAACATGCAAGGACAGGAAATGGGTAATAAAAGATCTGTTTTTAGTCTCTGAACAGTTTTATTTCGCATTGTATTAATTTTGTTAACTGTCCGTTTGATTCCCCCGTTCGATCCCCCCCCCCCCCCCGATCCCCACTGGTGGTTGGTCTCCATAAAATAAGAAATATAGCTTTATAATGCTTATAATTTTTTTTGTACACGCACAAACCTGAGCATGTGATCGCTTCAAAACACGGGACAATGCTTTATGCTAATTTAATTATTGTTCAAAATTAACCATAGTAACCATTGTCTTCCGATGTACAATGGACATTAATTGTGATTGGATAAAAGTTTGTCGTAGTTGAGAGGTTTCAACAGAGGGCGCTATGCGTTGCTAGTTGGCCTTTATTTTGCATCACGCGGTTGGCAACTTATTAGCTTGGTGCAACATACGAAAGTAAACGCAAGTAAACAAGCTGCGAGGTGAAATTTCCTTGGGAAAGTTTGACATAATATCATCCAAGTCGTCTTCTAAAAAGCGTACACAATATGTCTTCAAGCGACTGGGAATACAACTTGGTAAATATCAATTGATAGCAGAGAATTTGGCGCTCTTATTTTATAGGCGCCGAAGGGAATGTCACAGTCATTCGTTCTTTAGAGCAGAGCCTCCGGAGCATGACGAGGCGCTTGCATGATGAAGCATTCACATATGCAATGAAGACGTAGTCCAACCTGGGCCATCACAATGCATATATTTTCTATAATCAATGTGTGGTCGTGTCTATTTTATTTCATACAATATTTTTCGCTTGTTAGATTTATTGAAACATTGTTAGGTATGCATCTTGCATAATAATTCTTCATTAGTTTAACCCAAACAATAATAATGTCAACGCAAGTAGTATGGAACGCCGTATTATCGCGGTACTTATCACGTTTTTCGTTCGGAATAGAGATTGCCCACTAACCTTCCAGAATTGTCCTGTCTTATGTGTAGTATAACTCTTCCTTTTTAAATTAATATAAAAAAATCCGACGGTGGTGTGGTTTATTCCGTGTACGATGCCTGTGAAAATAGACATGCGCGGCGTTTGCGAACGGAGGTGGACTCCCTATTATCGCGGTATGCGGGAAGTGGTTTTTATAATAATCCCAACTTTTTTGTTCATAGTTTATCTTTGACCAAAACACCCCCTGAATAAAGTCTGATATTTTCCCTGTAACGTTCAAGTTGATTAAAGACAAAATGTCTGCAGGATGATTTCTTAAGACCCTGCCCTTCCCCCGAAAGGAGAACACAAATCCCTGAGGCAAGTCTACTGATCGGCGATTGAGGGCGCCATTCACTTTACACGGTGTGCCGTTTTATTTTCGCTAACGCGCGGTGCTTATTTTGATCCCGTAAAAGTTGTTACGATTTCGCGCTGCAAATATCGTCGTTCGACTTCATTTTACATTTGCAGCTGAAGAATGGGAACCAGACAATGGAACTTTCATGGACAGAGCGCAATTAAAGATTTATATTAAAATATAAACGGTACCTTTTAGCAGACACGGTGAGGGAAAATTTTGCAAGTTTTGGAAAACGTTAATATTTATTAAAATCGTTAAAAGTCCCGAAAGACACAACATTTTTTAATCGTCCTTTTTATACATTTCGGTAGAAAATCCTTGATGACTGGTAAACTGGATAAAAATCGCCACTTGAAGGAGTTTTGACACTGTAAAAAGAGAAATTTCCCATGCCGCGATAATAGGGATGCCGCGATAATAGGGAGTCCGACTATACTAGCCCAGTTAGACCCTGGCCTGGGCGGCGGGGCCTATGGGTTTTTTTAATCGACCAAATGACAAGGGGGGGGGGGGGGGGCTACAGCATATTGAGATACAACATCACAAAGTCAAATTGTACCAGATTATAACATAAGTGAATGGGTGATGAAAAAAAAAATTAAAATGTCAAAATAAAAATCTCTGAAATGGTTGGCCTATGAAAAGCTTGAATAAGTCACAAAAAGGTGATTGATGAACCTATTAGGCTACTCAGTTTAAGACTTCAAGAAGTCTCAGTCTTGTGATAAACTTTACAGTTCTAGACAAAGTTGGGCTTAATTCACCAGTGCATTATGATCTTCATTCTTGACACTTCCTCTTGACCGTCACCCTCCATAGTACATGAGCCGGGCTGCTGAGAGCAAACCTCCTCAGGGAGGCAACATGTCCGATATCGAGGATGATGATTACGATGCCGAGGAGCCGGAGAAGATGTACCACTTGGATCTGGCCAGCCGCATCAAGGAGAAGTTCCATCGTCGACTCGTCAAGACAGGCATCCCACGCAGGCCGGGATACTACCAGGTAAAGATGGTGGCTTGAGCAGAGTCTAATTAATTAGTAGAGTTTCATTAGGCCTAGATACTTCATCACTTACAGCAAATTTAGAGTCCCAGATCAGTCTGTGGTGTAGGGGGTCAACTTAATTCAAATATCCATCCATTCCGCATGATATTTTTGGGTGCTGTCCTGATTGCAGAGAAGTCGCCACATGGCAACCAATAAGGTTTGAGTACCAGTAAGACATTGCCTGTACTCATGTATGATTTGACATCAGTTCTCCAGTTAATAGAGCTCCATTTTCCGACATTTCTGTCACCTTTTTTTCCATTTCTCCTGTGTTTGATTTTTTGTTAGCTATTCTTTATAAACTTCAGTTTCATTTGAGATAATCCTTCACCCAATTCAACCATTACAATTTCTTTGTTTATTTTTGTGGTTGCTACAGATTCAGACGTGTCGTTCCATGGCCAAGCCCAGCGGTCATTACTACACCGGCAAGCATTGGGAGATGGCTCCACAGGGAGCAGACAGGGGCGGTGTTGGGGCCTTGCAAAGACCCCTGGAACGTACCACTAGAAGACTTACTATCTGCGCTGTCAACCAGTATGTTGTTTATAAAATAATTATGTTCATATTAGTGTCCATGTGTTACATAGTACTTGGTACTTGGTTGGTTCTTCTCCTAAGGACTTCCACAAGGGAGTATAACTAGGAGGCCAGAAACACCGGGGCAAACCCCTTCTCTTAGCGATAAGTGTTACTGGGTACTTTCACGTGCGTTAGGCCTTATACAACACACGGGACCTCCGGCTTAACGTCCCATCCGAAGGACGAAGCAATAATGGTTAAGTGCCTTGCTTAAGGGCACAAGTGTCCGGGCCCGGGCTCGAACCCACGCCACTGTTGCCTCTGAAACACCAGAGCATGAGTCCGGTGCTCTTAACCGCTAGGCCATGACACTCCACTCTAACAAAGAAGTGAGAAGTTTTGTAGTTAACCATTTTCAGGGGCATTTATTTCAGTGTTAATGTCCCCCTCCCCCAATTATTTATCACAGTATGTGTTTTAACTTACACTACTTTAATTACTGTTTTTTTATTCTGCAGATAAGCCATTAATCTGTTTTTTCTAATTATCTAATCTAGCTTCAACCAAATTTGATCTTTTTTTCCCTTGCTCATTTAGCTCAAGTTGAATTGGTTTTTGAGGGCTGTTTACAATAATGACGTTATTTCATTTATTAAGGGCCTGTGATGATGAAAAGGGCCGTCGCACCAAGAACGAAGCTCGCGAGATGCAAGTTGCTGGAAGACTTTTCTCCCCGTTGAACAAGGAGTTCAAACACATCATTGCCTTCAATGAGGTACATCTACCTTCGTCTCATTCATTCTGATAGACCCTAAAATAGAAGAAGGCTATTGCACCAAGAGACGATTTCTTTTCTCCTTGACCCCTTCTTCGGTGTGGCTTTTCTTTAATCCTAGGAAGAGCAAGAGAAAGAGGAGACATGCAAGAGACAAGGATTAATGGAAGGGAAAGACTGTGTCATGGCCGACCTGCTCTACCAACAAAACGGCAAGAAACTCAACAGAGGTATTGAGGAGGAGAGACAACGCCGTATGACCATCATGTCTGAGCTGACAGATGAGGAGAAGGTACTGCAATTCCCTGACTAGTAATTTTGGACAGGTTTTGGACTAAGTACGATTGTATACATGATAAGTCAATCACAAATCTGATCACAATCACAAGAATAATCACAGTTCTTGTGAAAAGGTTGTAGTTTGACTTGAGACTGGATGATTTATGATTGGCTTGAGTATTGAAACTCATTTCTTGGCCTTATTTCTACGTAACACAAGGATAATTGTTTCTTTCATGCAGTCCCCTATTGGGATATTTCATCTAATGTTTTACAAGATGTTTTGTGTGAGGTTTTGTTGAGAATCCTTAAACATTTGATGTTCATAACTGAACTAGGTTGAGCTCAACTGTGTACATGTATGAATACAATATGTAAAATATCCGTCAAGCCCACCCTTCAAAATACTTGTTGATCTTGTCATTGGTTTACTAAATCTCTTTCTCACTTTTATTGTGATACTCTGGTAAAATACACCACTATTATTAAGATTGATTCATACAAATTTGTACAAACACTATCATTTTGTAAATATTTTGTGTGTAGAAATCTTATGAGCAGTAGACTAAACTCTAGTTAAACAAAAGTCTTTGATCCTCTTTTTTGTTGTTGAATTCTTTTGAAATGTGAACTTGTGCCCAGCATGTGTTAATCAACTCTTCTGCTGCAAAAAGATCAGCCCATAAAGTGACAAATGAGCAACATTTTGACACAATTTTACAAACTGCCTTATTTTTTTAGTCCTCTGGGGATGCCAATTTCCGTGAGATGCTGCGATCTTTGTCTAGAGTGAGCAAACTGTGGCAGGAGATTCAGGATGAGCTCAGCAATGCTGTCCATGATCTGGAGGTAAAGACGATCAGTTTCTACATTTTCAACTCACTTACCCTCATTTCAAGAAAAAAATTCTTTGGGGGAAGTGATCCTGTATTCTTACAAAAAAATCCCAGCAGCATATATAAGCTTAGAACTTCCAATATCGGGTTTTGCCTGATCACCATTGTATTTAAAAAACAACGTATGTTTAGTGTTGTCTGAGGACTTGTGAGACAAAATTCACAAGCTTACACGTAGCGTGCAGATATCTTGATGGGTGAAAGCCGATATTGAATGACATCTCCCTGCTGCAAAATTGCATCTAATAAATAACAAGAACTTGGACTGGAACCTTTGCATCGGAGATGTGATTATTGGATTTTGCAAGTACACAGATGTAATTATGTTCATGTGCTGTGTACTCAGTGTTGTCCAAGAGTGTTGGAGGAAAAAATCATCTTTTCTCAATGGAACTTGGATCCAGTACCTATTGCTAATTTTTAAAGCTTGCGCCGTGAAAAAAATAAACCTGAGACTTTCCTGAGTTTGCTGGCTGGTTCAAATCTGAAATGGGGGCCTTTTATACAGTCAATGACTTGAATGGTGATACTATTGCGTCAGTGAATCAAAAAGGTTTCAATGAAGTTTTGGTCCTGGGTTGATTCCCCTCGGAGTGCACCTTAATGCAGTGCCTATCACATTATATCCGTTGAGAGCAAACCCATTATTAAAACAAAAACTCAAGGGAGTAACCATTTTATTTTGTGGGTCCTTTCTTGCTCAGGAGGTTCACGAAGAAGAGGATCATGCCATAGGGGACATCTTCAACGAACTCAAAGATGACTTCGTCCTCAGCTTCAAACGGGCTACGCTTCTCATGAAATTCCACATGGCTGTAAGTCAGTCAAGACATCCATCTCAAGAAATATTACGGATTAATTAAGCCCTTCCTCCATACTTTGTCTTGCCTCCCTACAAGCTTTTCTTTTGCCGGATCTTTCCTGAAAAACAGAGTAGTTGTAATCAAGTCAATCACAAAAGTCATTAAATCTTTAATTCACATTTTATTCAAATGACTGAGACAAAGGCATCCTTTGTTATTGTTAATCCTCTGTTAATTGACTGGAATTGAAAACTGACTTGTTATTTACCTTCATTAACTTACGATCTACTTGTGCTCCCTTACAAGTGGCGTGGTTTACAACTCTCTGTATTTGTATGAATTATCATCAGGAAGAGAATGAGCGACAGCGGCGTCTTAACGAGGCTCGGCTCCTGAGCAGCGGCAAGAAGCAACTGGACCAAGTCCAACGTCGTTCCTCTTACATGAAGGATCTGACACAGCAGGAACTAGTCAGGGTCTTCAACGGTGTGGTGGTAAGGCCTGAACCCAAGTTCATAGAGCTCTGTAAAGAAAAAATATCAGCAACTTTACGTGCTTAGCAAAAAATTGAAAAAAAATAATTGAGATTAGGTCGACAGAAATCACACATTACATCACATCTTGGCTGTTAATCTGTTTATGCTCAGCCAATATTTTGATCGGTCATAAGCAAACGTAGTACAGGATATTTGTATAAAAGGTGCTTATGTCGTCTGATTTATTTGTCCGAAAGATGGCTGAGAACGAGCAACAAGAGAAACTGGAGTATGAAACGGATCTACGGAAGGGAATGTTCATGGAACAGATGCTGCGGCGGTAAGTTCTTGCCTGATGCAATTTCCCCCTGTTTCTGGATTTAAAGTCTAGAATCTCAGAGGATGTCCAGGTTTTGCTGGAACCAAGAGTTGGCAACATTTGATACTTTGGGGGTCTTTTAAAAGTTTTTAATGGGCAAAGAAGGATCCAGAGCATCTGTATGTGATTTCCATATGATTACACCTCTCCCCATCTTGAAAGTTAACAAAGTACATGCAGTTTGGTCCCTAATTGTTTTTCTGAACATTGTGAATTAAAACAATCTTCCTAGCCAAAAAAAAAATACCTACGGAGATATTTGTTTCTTTGTGGCCAGCCATTCCATTCAGGAAGCAGACCATGCTTGTGCCTTGGAGCGAGTCCGCCGCATCCAGGAGGCTGAGGATGACCTGAGACCCGGCACTCGCAAGGATCAACTCAAGGAACACATCAAAGACATCATGGTGGACGTACAGGAACAGATGCTGCTGCAGATATTCCGTGGCCACAAGGTGAGGCTTAAACCTGTCTTAGCCTGGCATTCCCAAGACATGTTAAACCAAATTATTCCGAATATCAATATTGAAAATTATTTGTATATAAAAGTTTGATGGTTGAAACAGTTGAGTGAAGATTGACTGTTCCAGTTGTTCAGAAGGGGTCTAAAGTCTAGTCAAGGGAATGGCTAAATATTATTTATTTACTTTTTGGTTTTTTTGTAGGTGCGTATCGCTGATCCACGTGACATTCGTTACTATGCTGACGAGAGCCCTCAGGATCGCAAGCTGCGCAACGTGCGCACCCAGTCAAGACGCAAGTCTTGCGTTGTCTCGTAAGTTGACCTCCTTTTATTAATTTATTAACGATTCCTAACTTTGTTGGTATCTGTTGAAATGAAAAGTCAATCTCCTCTCAGAAATTCAGATTCCAGAATTTGAAAGTATAATATCCCCAATATGTTGAATTATTGAAACAGTATGTGAGAGGCTTTTTAATTGAGATTTTATTTGTAATTATGTCTCTTGGTTTGCTCTCCTTGCAGTGGGTATTAACACAACTTCATTAGTCAACAGCAGGACGGGATGGGACAAGAATTCACCAGCATCAACTTTCAACGTTAAATTACAGAACATAAAAATATTATTAAGGTTTGGTTGTGTAAAAAAAATCCTCAACAACAGGCAACTCACTTTGTGTAATACAAATTGAAAGAAACAATGGGTCAGCTTTTAACCATGGAATGAAATTTTGAGGGAAACATTTGTTTTTGTACTTGATATACACAATACAATTTTCCCAATTAATATACCTGTAAAAAATAAAGAAAAATACTAACACCATTTGGAATAATCTTCAGATGTAAAAAGTTTGTATACATTTCATGTGCAATTTTTTTCATGAAAGAAGTCTTTTCTTGCCTATATTGTAAGGATAAAAAAGTCATGTAAAAGTTAAAATATTTATTTGTATTTGTGCAGGAAACTAACAAATATATTTCCAATATGTAATAACAGCGAATCTCTTGGAATAAAACTTTGCCAAAACTATGAAATTGTAAATGAGACATTTTGTTAAATTTCAGATTAATTTACTTGGATTGTCTTTCCATTTTGAGGTTGACATTTTATGAATGAATAAATCATAGCAAAAGAATTGTTGCTGACAAAACAACCAGCGCTTGATGTTAATTACTTTTAAACACAATATGAATAAAGGACGTTGTTTGTATTTATGTCTCTTGTTTTTAAGCCGATGAAATGTTTTTAATGCCAAGCCAACATAACAGTGTCCTTTGGGTCTCATCAGTTTAAAAACAATTCTTGCCAAAAAGTTCCAATGAAATTTTCAAGGGAACAAAAAAAAAGTGGGTTTTTTTTCATTTTATTTTTTTTATTTTGAAGGTCAGATAAAAAAAGACAGAGATCAAACACTTTAAATGAGAGACATGATACTTTTGGGTACATTTGAAAAGAAACACGTTCTTTTATTGTCTGATTTCACAGTCACAGAATTCAGAGCACTCTGCTCCATGATATTCATAAGTTTAAAGTACAAATTACAGCATTTACCTGTATTATAAATACATTGATTACCACTTTATGAAACCACCGCAGGTTTCCAACTGTTTCATGAATACAAAAATGCTTCAGATGAAAATTTTAAGAATAAAAAGTTTGATAACATCCAGGAAATCTGGAGAAAAAAAAAATACTATTAACATATCAATAATTGAGATTTTTGTATGAGCACCTTTCCCTTTTTCTGTAAATCCAAAATACCTTCTTTTTTCCCTCTAGAGAAATCCCTCTTTTCCAAAGATTTTCAAAGATTCAATCACAAATACATTTAGTTGTTTGGGATAAACAAACAATGGGATTAATACAAACAATGATAGATCATGACCCACATGTCTGAATACCTCTCTGGGTCATTAGACTAATTGTGCAATAGTGCTCTACAACGATACCGCACTGCAGTAACACGCGTGTCCAATTTTTCATCTTCACATTTTGACAGAAGTACGGAAATCATATCACAAGCGTGGTGCAAGAAAACTCTGCACATCTGAATACAGTAACGGGACAATGTGGAAATGGTGGCACAAAAATATTTGGCGATTAAAATTGGTGACTATATACACTACTCAGACCTGTTATATTTGTTATTTCAAAAATTTCTTGATTGCTGTGGCAAGATTACATTCAACAGATAATCCCAATTCATGGGGAAACGTGCAGGGAAATTTACAAAATGTCAACAATAATTACAGCAACTTAAACCTTACTGGACAAAATTGTGAATAGTTGTGGTGAGTGTCATATAACAACCAACCAACAACTAACTTGTTGAAGTTTCAGCTCAGTGAATACAATAAATTTTGAGAAAATGAAGAAAACATATGCACAATTTTGTGAGTCTCGCAACTGGATTCCATTGCTCATGCATGTAAAACTGTGCACATGGGCATATTTTTCTTAACCAATCTTCAATGGTTGTTTTTTTTTCCAAACGATACCATTTCAGGCAGAATAATTTCAATGGGTATTTGGTATCAGTCCTATCTTTACTTTGAGTGAGGGTTTTCTCGTTAAATCTGTAGGTACACAACATTTCCACGTCATTGCAAATGTTTGTAGGTGCCTTGAAGTGCCCTCCTTACAATTTTTGTTGTTGTAAATGTAACAAGCTTCAACTGCCTGCACTTGCAACTCGTGTCACTTTTCTCAAGATATAGAAATAAGAATATTAAAAATGCTACAAATTTGTAGCCTGCTTGTTGCCGATTGGTCAAAAAAGTGGCAGCGATTTCAAGATCTAAACAATTGAAAAAGATTTTAACACCCTCTCTGCTTTGCCATGTATTAAAAAAAACATACTGGCCAATGCATGATAAAATAAATGCGCGTATTATGTTACTAAACCAAGAATACATCATATTACACAGACATATGTTGAAACCCATTTATTGTCATTGCATGGTCTCTATTTTTTTTTTTTTACTTATCTACAAACAGATATACCTCGTAAATGTTGACAACAGTGAACAAATATACATGGTACTATTGCAGCTAAACGGTTTCCTCTAAAATGGAATTCATAAATTACAATTAACAATACTAGTTACACGTAATATACACTATATGAGCCTGGGATTCAACAAAAATAATTATTTGGAAATTACTCAAATATATTTCTTCTCGCATGTTCTGTCCAATGTTTCTGGATACTTATGTCATGGGTGATTCCAAGAAGACCGATGGGAGCCACACCCCAAAATGGGTGAGGCTTTCTCAAAAGTGTCTGTATTTATAAATTGAGAAATCAGGGAATTAAAATATTTCCTTGCCTTCCCCGCTATCACCTAACCTTTGTTTCAAATCCTCGCTTGGAATATAAAAACTTCATTTGGCAATTCATAAAAATACATACATGGTTCCCATGATTAATAATAATGGTATATTTTTTAGCAGAAAATACAGCATTTGCACGATATCCAATGGACCTGCTTGGTTTGATATTTTAGTTTACAACTGTGAACCACTTGCAATGTGAAATGAAGAATGAACGCAGAATGTATAACGTGTAATAACATGAGTATCCTGGACCTGAAAGGTTTCTGTTCACAGAGCTGCTACGATTGTCTGCTTAGCACACAAAGTTTGGATAAGCAACAACCATGGTCACCAGCCTCGATCTGGTGTGAAGCCATGTTCACACTGGATATAATTTTGTAAAAGAATTACCGCGAGTGATTGTTAACATTCCATAGTGGTTATTCTACCGTGTATCCGCACTTTGATGAACTTCGGCATGTGGAAAGTGTGAAACTAACAGCGTCAATTCTTCTGCAACCCAGTTGGCCCTGTAAAACATACCGCTGCAGAATGTACAACTGACAACCGTAACAACAGTCTTTGTTACTTTTACTCCCAAAAGTCCAGTGTGAACACGGCTTAAATGAGTAGCTATGACAGGCTCCCGTTCTTTCCATGGGAAAAAAAATGTTCTTCTGGGCGGCTCTCTGGAAGTGGTTTCACATGTGACAATTAATGACATGGGTTTGAAAAACTGACCTCCAACCTTCAGCACAACTACTTAATATCGACAATACAATACCAGTCCAACTAATACCATTATGTACACGTCTGTACAATGATGCTTCCTTAAATACATTCTTACTTTCCAATGTCCCAGCTACACGTTCCTTACATTCATGAATAAATAAATATCTCTTTTTTGGTTTTTGTACATCGAGAGCGGAAGAATTCAAATAAATATACAGGTACAATACTTGGTCTGGTGGAAATAGAAAAAGAAAAAAAATCAACTGTCGTTGGCCAAAAAAATAATATATAAAAATAAGAATAAACACACCAAATAATTGTTTAAGCTCATCTTTTTTTGGTTATGTGTTAGTGATGCGGCTTAAAGTTTCTGACCAAATGATGATTTTTTTTTTTTCAGTATGTGCATTGCTCAAGCAGTGACAGATGGAAGATACAGAAATGAGGATATTATTTTTTAAAAGCACGGTGGGAAACGATACAATAAAACAAAGTTTGTAAATACTCCTTAAATGAACTAGCCATGATTAAACCGCGAAAACCCTCTGGTCACAAGATACTGATCTTAAGACGTTTGCTATAAATTCTTTGTCTCACAAACTTACCGTGTATAGATGTCTACGATCAACAGACAATGAATAATGTCTATCCATACTATGGCAACACCATCTGCTCTCCAAAGTATATGATACACTCAAAAAATTGAAATCTGCAAGTATACGTGTGCAAACTCCTTAAGCACAAACGGATCTGTCATCAGATTAACAAAAACTAGAGTAAGGAAATGTGAATATTCATGAGTCATGAATATTCAACATTTTTATAGATAGCAACTCTTTAGAGATCTCCAACAATCTTTCAACCGATAAGAAAAGATACAAAGTAGAAAAAAAAAGTTGATACACAAAAGACGTCAATTGGCACCGGACGAAACCTGCTTTTGAAGCAGGCAGGGTAAAAAGGCACTGTGTGTATCACAGCATTAACAAAAATTACAAAACGTTTGCCAAAGATGTCAAAAACTGTAAGCACAATTTCATTGAAAGAGGGAATCATATCTCTGTTGAAAAGACGTTCTCTTTCCTTTAACTTGCATGCAACAATAAGTTTCGAGCACTGAAAGAGTTGACACATTCTATAAATCATTGCACAATGAAAAATTGGATGGGAAAAAGCAGCTGATACAACTGGATACAGAAATATTTGGAGTATAAAATCCTCCAAGACTGTCTGAAAGTTTGATTTACATGACGATTGTTGTCAACACCCATGCAAATGTAAAGTGTTGAGCATTCTCTCACATCAACTAGTTTGTTGAACCCTACATTTCAAATTCTATCTTTTTTATTTTCTAGAAGTTCAGCATGCATGAAAGAGTTTTTACTGTACACGTAAAAACACATCACTGTTGGATGTAATAAATAATGAGTATTACTTAGGAAACAAATTGATCTCTGTTGATTTTTTTTTTACACTGTACATTACGAGACACAGTTTTTCAATTATGCCTCGAACTTGTTAGGTGGTTTGTTGATGTTGATTTCTTAAGTACCAACCACAGAAACCTATAAAGCCAACTTGAAAAGTGAGGAATCTCAAAACTTGCAACTTTCAGATTCTCCATTTGAAGAAGAATGGTGGGAACAAGCCATGTTCCCAGCGCAGTCCTGGTTGGAACTGGCATGGAACTTCTTGTGTTCCAAGCTGTCACAATTGGGAACGGTATGCATTCCCACTTAAGTGAGGAAGCATAATAACTTTAGATGCTCCCCTCATGTGATTGCTTTACATTTACCTTACAACCATGGCACAAACTTCCTAAAATAATGATCCAACAAGAAGTTGAAAATACATTGTGGATCCCTAAGATTGCTACTAATTTTACAGATGGCGTCAGACTGTTGTTACCCTGGATGACAATGTTGGGCTGATCAAGTCACTGTCCTCACTGTTGCACACATATTCTTCCTGTGGAACCTGCTGCTGCTGCTGTTGCTTGTACTGCTGAAATCGCTGCCGGTGCTCCCTGGATTCATGGAAGCTGTAGGAATGGTGCGACTGGAACCGACGTCTAGCGGCATCCGGGCTGTGGGGTTCACTCTGGCTGCGCTTGCTGGGACTGTAGTTGAATGGGGAAACCAGAACCGGAATAGCTGTTGTTGGTGAGCTGTCGCTGCGGTTGATCCCAAAGGGCTTCTTTGGAAGACGAAGGCGCTGTGGACGAGGTGGGGACTGGTCCCCAGCAGAGTACACAGGGTAGGCGTCCGAGACGCTCTTACTACGACAGTTTTTTGAATCCCCTATGACTGGGGCCGAACGCGTGCTCTCAGTGTCGCACTCCTTCTCGTTGCAGTCCATTCGGATGAAGGAGTTGAGCCGGTTCTCCAGACGAAACTGTTTGAATTCTGGCGAGGGGCTGTCATCTGTGCGGTTCCCTTTATCAATCTGGTAAGCACCCTTGCATGGGCTGTCAGGGCTAGGCAGGCTGCTGGTCACGTCAGAGCTGCTCTCAAACAGGTATTCATCTGGCAGTTCTTCCTTAAAGATATCTGTCTCGCTGTCCCACTCGATAAACTCATCTGGCATGCTCTCATTGTTGATATTATCATCGCTGTTCCAAACCCCCAACTGGTCCAACTGCTGGTCCAAATTGAGTGTCTCCAGATCATCCTCCGGACTTGTGATATCCGACTCGGGGCTCAGGGTTTGTGTTGGATTCTTGCTCGTACTTTTGCCCTGGGCTTTGTGCTTCTTATCAGCCTTGGTTTTCGCCTTAGTTTCATCAGCCTCTGGTTTCTTCCCCTTCATTTTGAGCTTCAAAAAAGAGAACTTTTTCTTATCTGCCTTCTTCTCTACATCCTTTTCTTTTACCTGTTTGCTGGCAGTCACAGATTTAGCACCCTGCCCGGAGGGTTTTTGATTCTGAGCACTTTTAGAGGAAACAGAACTGGAAGACATTGTGGCACTGTTGGAGGATTTCACACTTCGTGCAGAGCTGGTTTGACTGTTTTGACTTTGCAAGCTAACAGTAGAGGCATTATGTCGGACAGAAGTGTTGCTGCTCCGAGCTGATACCTCATCCCTCTTAACCCAAATGCTGTCATCGCTAGAGTCTGACACCGGGGAGGTCACATTTCCACCATAGTTTTTAACTGGTATGTCCAGCTCCTTGCATAAATCCCGTGCTTTCTCAGAAGTGGTCTTCGGGGAATTTTTACTTTGTTCTTCAGTTTGCTTCACTTGTGGTTTAGCTCTCTGAGTGGCAGGACTGTTCGACTTTTTCTTATTCAAACCAGGACTCTGTGATCGACTTTTACTGATGGCTGGGCTTTCCGGTCTACTGTTCCCTGGACTGCTTGATCTGCTACCTTTCTTGCGACTACCCCAGTTCTTTGGAGCTGTTACACTGCTGTTCCATGATGGCTTGGCATCCGATTCCATCTCAAACTTTCGAGTGGGTGCAGGCGAGTTCTTTGCAGCATTTGGAGTCTTCTCTGATGGCAAAGTTTTGGTTACAGGCTTGACAGAGCTGAGTGGCAATTTTTTAGTTGTGGGTGGCGTTTTCACAGTACAGCCAGAGGGTTGTGGTTTTGTAGAGCCCGATGGTTTCTGAGCTGTCTCTTGGGTACTCTGCTGGGTGTCTGTTTCAACAGACACCCTTCTCCAACCACCTGATAAAATTACAGGTTCAGGATCTGCCTTCTCTTCCTCCATGGTATCTTCATTGTCATCCTCCTTGTCATAATGTGGGGTGAAGACATCATTTTCAACAGCACCTTCATTCTCGTCAGTTTCTTCAATGACTTTTTCTGGTTCTGACTCAACCCCCATTGTGTTCTCTGGAGTGTGCTCAGGTAAAGAAGCACTCTCCTTGGTAAATGTTGACTGTTTAACCAATGTGGGTCTGGAAGACCCAACTTCCAATCGATACACATTGCTACTCTTGGGAGGATTAGTTTTTGCTCTGCTGCCTGCGGTCTTATCACTGGTTGCTTGGGTACCATTGGCCTTTTTCAAAGGGGTCTTTGTTGGTGTTCTATTCCTGGGAGAGACGCTTCGTGCCTGGATGCCAGACACACTATTCCTTGGAGATACACTCCTGGCTGATGTCTCAGAGATACTAGACCTTGGTGATGTGTTTTTGGAGCCAAGACCAGGGACACTGCTGCGGGGTGATGCATTTCTTGCTCCAGTGCCCGATACACTGTTCCTCGGGGACGTACTTCTCTGTGGAGCTCCGGAGACACTGTTCCTTGGAGACAGACTCCTGTTTGGAAGACCTGATTTGGGCGAAGGAGAGGTGCTGATTCCTGACCCTCGGCCCGGGGTTGCATTTTTCGTTGCTCCGCTCAGTGGTTTTCTTGTGCCAGCTGTAGTATGAGGGCTTGGAGAGCTAGTTCTTGAGGACATGGGACTCCTAGCAGGGCTCAGGGAGTTACTTTTGGTAGCCTGAGCTGTGCCTCGAGGGCTTGGACCACTAATGGAGCCCCTTGGAGACCGACTCGCAGGAGAGCATGGCGAAGTGTTCCTGGAAGAGGTTGGGGAGTTCCTCTGAGAGAGATTTGATCTTGTTGCAGGGGTTGACCGACCGGCATCTTTGCTCAGCTGACTTGTTTTCGTAGAGGATCCTTGGGCAGCCACTTTAGAGGTGCTCTGTTTATTTGCAAGACTCTTGGTTGCTGCTCCAGTCACCTGGGTTGGTTTAAGCTGTGGTGTAACACTTCTAGCTGTGGCTGTGGAACCTGAAGTCAGGTTCTTCTTCTTTGTGAATGTGTCAGTATTGATAGGCGGTGGCTTGCCAGATGCATTGCCTTTTGGGCTGGCTTCACGTTTGGTTACAGTGGTGGTCTTCACTGATGTACTGCTTCTGATAGGTGTACTGGTACCGCTTCTATTTGGTGTGGCACCTTTCATTCCTGACGCAATGTTCTTGGATGTTGCTGTACTATTGACTAAAGATCCTATCTGTGCACCAACTTTTGCAGCCTGAGTCTTGTTTGGCTGGACACTTTTGGGGACTGGCACAGAGCGAGAGGTATTTGAAATTGGGCTTTTATAGGTCTTTCGTCCACCTCTGACCCCCTTCTCTGTAGTTTCAGGTTGCATTTTGGAGCCTTGTTCCCCTGGCTTAGTGATTCTTGGACCTTGGCGTGGTTTCACTTCATCCTGCAATTTCTCAGTCATTTCAGAGAACTCATTGATAGCATCTTCTGATGGAGACAGAGGAGAGAATTGGCATGCATCATCATGGTCGTTTGCAGGATTGTCTGAGCCAGATTCTTGCTTCCCCCTATCCTCAGTTTCTCCAGTTTCATTCATCCTGTTGGCTTTGCCATGCCTTCGATTTGACTTCTTGACATGACTGCGTGGCATAGCTGAGCTGATGCATTCGTCCAGGAGAGCCTGCTCACCAGCACTTGTCTCACCATCCAAGGACTCTACGCTCAGTGAACTCAGGGAGCTGTTTCGTGAGAAGCAGATGGGGGTATCTTCGACGGCAAAGACATTGGTGTGGGATGGCTCTGTCTGTGGTGATTCGGTATTGTGTTGGTTTTCTTCTTGGTCGTGGTCACTCAGTGAGCTGAGGCTGGAGTTTCTTGAAAAACAAACTGGAGTGTCTTCCACTGCAAATTTAACAGGGGTCTCTATGGAATTTGGTCGCTCAGTGTGGTGGTCCTGATTGTCACCTTGGATTGGTTTTGATCCCGACCAGCCAAATCTCATATGCTCCTGTTTGCTGTACCCCTCTGTTGTGTCCTGTGCCTTGCCTTCTTTGCCTTGGCTATTTGCTGTTGGCTTTGACTTTTGAGATTCCCTCAGACTTTTCTTGTCAATGTGGAGATCGGCATCCTCTTCACAGCTTAAAGAGCTTAGAGAGTCATTCCTAGAAAATGACATGGGGGTTCCTTCAACATTAAAAACTTGAGGGGAATCATATGGGGAACTGGTGTTGCTGACCAGCTGGCTGGATTGCTGCTCCTTTGACGTACTCCGTTCTGAATTTGGCGTCTTTCCTCTGATAGCAACTGGTTTCTCAGATCTTTTCCGCTGTTGTGGAATTTTAGAAGGCTGTGGGAGTTTTGAGAAAGACCTTGAAGGTACTGACTGTTTATTTTGGACAGAGGATAACCCATCAGCTTTCTTCTTTTGCACTTTACCTTTCAAGTCGCTCTTCTCTTTGGACAAGTCAACATCATCATCACAACTGAGGGAACTCAGGGAATCATTCCTGGAGAAGGACATGGGCGTGCCTTCCACCGCATACTGCCGGGGTGATTCTATATGAGAAGCACCACTGCTGGTCTGCCTATGTTTCATTTGTGAGGGTTCATTCTCGTCAACCTGTTCTGTCACGTTGCCATTTAACACATCTTCTTGGTTATGTGAGTCCATGGAGAGACCACTGAGAGATGTTGCTGTTGAAAACTGCTGAGGTGTTCCTTCTGTGCAAAATGTCCTGACAGAGTCAGAGGTTCCCCCGAATCCATTCTGCCATTGATGGACTCTCTCTTGGCAAGTAGTAGCATTCTGATATTCTGAACCCATCTCAGGGATGGGTGAGGGACTTTTGTGTCGCACCCCGGATGATGGAAGCCTCTTGCGGGGTAGTCCGCTGGGTTTTGGGCTTCGTAGCTTTGACAGACTCTTCCCTGAACGGTGCTTGCTTAGCTGCAATGATCTGGATTTGTTCAATCGCGGCTTGGGCATTGCGGAGTTGATACACTCTTCCAGCATGGAGTCCTCAGCATCATTAAGTATCGAGCTTGATTCTGATTTCATCTCCTCTCCTTGGGCTCCATGAGCCTTATAAAATGGCTTTGATGAGGCAGCATCTTGGCTATCAGGGGAAGTCTCGCTACTTGACAGAGGGTTGTTGACCTTAAGCTTGCCTTCTCCTGTTGCTTGGATGTCTATATCCTCAATGCTAAGATCACTCAGTGAGGTTGCTGTTGAGAAATTGATTGGAGTATCCTCCGTGGCATAAGGGTTGGGAGCCTCCTGACTGCAAACGTTCTGACTGAAGCTTACGTGTTTGCCATTCTGTTGAGGACTCTTTATGGATCGGACATTCACCACATTGCGACTTCTAATCTTGTTGGGTTTGCTGGACAAGGTACTCTTCTTAGGTGGCATGGCAGAGTTAATACATTCATCGAGCATGCTTTGTTCTCTCTCCGATATCTCTTCAGATTCGACCTCAGTTTCTTTCCTGATTTCATTCCTCTTCTTGGAATCTCTGGAGTCAAGAGTATCATCTTCATCCTGGATTTTACTAGTCACATTAGCTTTCTCCTCATCATCAATTGTTAATCCACTCAAGCTGGTTGCACAGGAAAATTCTGCAGGTGTGCCTTCTGTAGCATAGGTCACAAGATTCTCCTCGCACTCTGGTAACACCCCTACAGTCTCAGGATCACAGGATGAAGTCTGGGCGGGAATCTGCTTACGGCCACGTCGGGGACTTGGTGGCATTGTCTGGCTGGGGCTGTCAGGCAGGTCACTAGGGCTTACCACTTCACTGGCCCTGCGGCTGTCACTATAGCAGGAGCTCCGGTCGTCGCATATCGACTGCACCTCAAAGCTGCTGAGACTGGACACCGAGCTGCATCGACTGAAAATGAGAGGGGTGTCCTGGATCTGATTCAGGCTTGCTGGCGTTTGCAGACCAGATTCAATTGGCTCATGGGTGGTCACCTCACCCTCTTGATTCTGGAGTGGGTCCTCTCTGCTCTGATCTCCATCCTGCTCATTATGCTCACTATCCTTTGGACACTCTTCAAATTCTTCCTTGGAATGGTTCCCCTCTTCCTCTTCACAGTCCAAGTGATGGTCGGCCTCGTTGCTGTCCAGGGAACTGAGTGACGAGCAGCGAGAAAAGACCACAGGTGTGTCCTCCACACAGTACATTTGCTGTTTGTCATCATGGGCCCTGGATATTGCTGTGTGAGTTGAACTGAGCGACGTCGAGGTGTCAACACTGTCACTTCTCAGTAGGTCCAACTGCCCTTCTGAACTGTTATCTCTGGAAGTGTTGCTGTTGGGTAGGCTGCCCATTGGACCTTCTGGCTTCTCAACATTGTTCATGAAGATATTCCCAGTTGTTCCAGTCGTGAGTGACGTTTGGACAAAATTGATCCCCTCGGTGGTAGATTCTGGCAAGTCTGTGTTGTAGCGTTGCGTAAAATCAGTTGGCTGATCACTGGCATAATGTTCATGATCATCCTCGTTAAACCTGGATCTCAGATGTCCTGAATGTGGCAAGTTGTGTCGGCTGTAGTCTACAGGTTTCTCATCTTCCATGTCACCGCCCAAGTCAAGACCACAGGGGTCCTTCATTGGCATCAACTTCCGCTGTACGGCAGGAGGGTCGGAATAGTTATTTGGATAGCTCCCTTGCATCCTTTCTGCTTGGGGTGGCGGGACGAAGGCATGACCTACTGCCATACCCTCCCTCTGCATGTGAGGGGTATTGCACTCCTGGCAAAGCACCACTGGCTGTGGTTGGTTATCATGACCCTGCTGGGGGCAGCTCTCACCACCACCACCCTGCTTGTAATGCCCACAATCCGGCGCTGGCTTGGGCTGATAGTTCTCTTCCCTCGGTCCAGTCCTAGGAGCGGGTGTGAGGCTCTCATCCGAGTATTTCAGACTGAAGTTGATAGTGGAGTCCATGTTGGCGCCCATGTCCTCATGATTAACACGCTGGAAGATAGCCTTGTGTTGCCGCTGGTGCTGATCCAGAGCATTGTTAACGGTCCCGTCCATGGAGTGAGAGTGATCCATCGGCTGTTTGGAGTATGGCAGCTTAGTGTGAGCTCCCATGGGGTATATATCACTGTTTATACTATTAATACTGTCATTGGAAGCTCTGCGTGCGTTCATGTCAAATCCCCCAAAACCAAAGGCATTGTAAGAGTTGTTGGGATGACTGTTCGATTCGCACCTGTCACCTGGTGGGACATCAACACTAGAGGGGGCTTCTCTCTCAGTGCACTCCTGCGACTGCTGATCTAGGTATTGGTGTGGTTCTTGAGAAGCTGAAGACATATCAATCCCAGCATGCATGGCAACCTCCTGCATCACCTGTTATCAAAAATTAAGACAGAAATTAAAAATAATCCAATTTTCAGTTTTCCAGTTTTTGTTTTGCTTCACTATGTTCATCTTTTGAGTAAGGCAATATGAACACTAAACAAGACACAAGAGGCAAGTTAAAATCTAATATTGCAAAGTAACCGAATGGTACATAAAATTAAACTAAAAAGTCAGACCATCAAGCCGAATCTGAAGTTTGAAGAAATCTTGACTCAATTAATCTTAATACCGAAAAAGTTGGATGGTACAATCATAGGAGTTAGGAAAAGTGTTTATTTGTCAATCTCAACACAAGTTAGCTTGATAAAAGTTTTGGAATGAGTCTTCACCTGAGCAATCCTGCTGCTTCCCATCTGCCGTTTATGATTGCTGTCTAAGGATCCAGGTCTAGAGGAATGCTGGGAGCCATCATCTGCCCGATTGTGCTCAACGTCTAGACCAGAGGATAACTTCCTAGGGTCCTGGTCCCTTGGGTGGGGGTGAGGAGCATGGGCCGGCCCACCTTCCCTAGAGTTCACCTGCCGTGAGGTCGGAGACTGTGAGCGTTCTCGATGCTGACTCAAGATCAGTTCATGGGTGGGCGACTGTTGGGGGTTCCAGATCGCAATGCGCTGCGGCACGGGCGAGTAGTCAGCTGAACTCTGGGGTGACCGGTGCTGACTACGCACAGGTATCCGCCGCTGCATGGCATGGCAGTCCTTCTCCATACTGGAATACGTTTCCCTGAGATTTTTATCGATTTCTGCCTCCAGTGCACGCTGCTTGCGGACGTGCAGTGTTGGTTGGCCCTCCTTGTGATTCTCACTGGCATTCAGGAGGTCTGGCCGGGCCGACATGAGGTTCCGAAGGGCTGCTGAGCTGCCCATGGCGATCATTTTGTGCTTGGAGTGCACCAGGTTCTTAAGCATGCTGACAGCCCCAAGCTCCCAGAGCAGGTCCTGGTCGTATTTGTTCCGGGCTGAGAGGTTCCAGAGTGTCCCGCAGGCATTACTGACAATGGTCAGACTGGAGGATTTAAGGTGACGCAGTAACACCTGCATGCAGTTGTGGTCTCTCAGCACCTGACGGTAGACCTCGTTAGTGGCCACATGGCTAGAGATATTGCGAAGGATCCCACCACCATTCTCCACCACGGCCCACGTCCTAGAGGGGCTCTTATAAGTCAACGTTGCCACCAGAAACTCCAAGGCACCTTCCACTGCGCAGATGTCAGCCTTGTTCTCTGTGAAGTGGGCCGAGAGGTTCCAGAGGGCACTAAGCGTGCTCTTCAGTGTGGATTCCTTTTCGACTTCCAGCGCGCACTTCATGAGGCCCACCACTGCACCGACCTCTCTTAAGACCTTCTTGCTAGCCAAGTCGGCCCGCCAGGACAGGTTACGGATGACACTGGCGGCCACCTGCCTCAGGTCCTCATTATCTGAGGCCAGCTGGAGTACCAACGATCGCATGCAGCCCTTCATGGAGCACAAGAGGGCTTTGTTCGCTGCGTCACCAAACGTTAAGTTTGTGAGAGCCATGCCGGCATAGCGGCGAACAGTTACGGCATATTGGTCACTCGTGTTGCCATTCGATTCATAGTCCACTTGCAGCAAATCGGCTATGGCATGCAACCCACCTGAAACAGAACAAAAGAAAAGGTCTCCAGTTTTGAACTTAAACTTAACATCCCATCAATAATTCAATAACAAGATATTATCATTACATTCTTTTGTTGAACGAAGAAAAAAGAATTAGGCCTACAGGTATCAAAACCTGCCAAACTTTAGTTGATAAGGCACGATACAAATGAACCAATGCAGTTCTTCGGATGTTTCAAGTTTGAATCCCACTTCTTTGTTAAACAGAAAATTAATTTTAGCACACCAAGTGATGTTCCCCTTGTAGTTTATCAACATGAGATTTTGCCCAAATAATTGTAAGATTTTTTTTTTCATTTTAGATATAATTACCATCACCAGTGTCAAATTTTGAGAAATCAAGACCATTAAAAAACATTCAAGATATTGGCTGAACCTATTCAGAACAAACAGAAATTGTTACCCCTGACAAGTTATGATTTTGAGGTGTCAAATGATTATTAATCCTCACCTAGTTGACATATTGCACTTCTGTGTTCCTCATCAAAGGACAGTTTCATGAGAGCAGCCATTGATGGACCTGGATTGGTGTCAACTGTAATAAAAGAACAATTTTCATTTAAATCTCGCTGTCAAAAATGATGAACTCAGTTTCCTAAATTGATAAAACGTCTGGATGCACTTGATGTTCAATTGTATCCACCATCCTGACCAAAGATGCTGAGGTTTGCAACCCCCCCCCCCCCCAAAGAATTGATGTCTCACCAGCGCTAGGTTTAGAAGCTTCTTCCCCATCCGTCTCCCGTAGCGAGTCGCAGTAGGCCCGGATCTGCTCCAACAGCCTCAGCACCCGGGCTTCTTGCTTCCGGCACCTCTCCTCCGGATGGGAGTGGACTATGTTGTGGAGGGAGGCGGCAGCACGGGCGCGAGCCTCTTTACTGCCGCGTTCTCCGAGAAGGGAGTCCTTGTCTGGACCGTGAAGGAGCTGAATCAAGAGAGGGAGACAACCTGGTTTTGGGGAATGGAGAAGTGAAATGAGTGAGTCGTTATTTTTTTTTTAAAGAAAGTTGATAAACATTCTGAGGAAACCCCACAGAATCAGTTAAGGACCAATTGGTTTTCTACAGGGTTGTAGAATTTGAAGGATTCCAGATTGTTCTTGCAAATAAGGGAGATGAAGTTTAAATCAAAGGACAATAAGACGCGTGACTACCTGACTGTCTCATAGCAATGCAGCTGTCTTGTGAACTAGACATGGCAAGCAGCGTCCGGGACATATCATCCTTGTCGTGTGTTCCAAGCATTGAAAGCAGAGAGTATACCATCTCAACCTGCACGCGAAAAAAACCCACCAAAATAACAAAAACATTACAAAAAAATAACAGTGGTATTTGGACTATGTAGCTGATGAATGCCTCCCCTCCCTCAAACCCCCCCCCCAAATAAAAACATCATATATTCTGCACTACACTTCAGTTATCAACATTTTGTATCATTGATCTAATGTGCAACCTTTGATATTTCCTTCGAGAATTTATGAGTATCATGTCTGCCACGTGTTATACCATCCAACGACAAGTCAAAAGATCATGGGTAAAACATTTCTGACATATTTGGAGTTGACATGTGGAAATTGTACAACATTTTTGGAATTGTTTTGTCTTCACTGTTAAAACTAACTGTATTAGAAATTCCTGGAGCTACTAAGCACACACATTTGCACAGAGAAGAATGTTTTTGTTGAACAATTTTTTATTTTGTTGATCCTTTTTTTGTGCAAAGCAACTGGGCCCTAGCATGTACTGACCTTGGCACCAAGTTGACCCGGTTGTAACCTCCGACCCAGCCCCGACGAGCACGCCGAACTGCTGAAGCTCATCACGCTGGACGTCTCTTGCTCTGAGGAGGAAGATGTCGCGTTGGTGGTGCTGCTCTTCATAACGTGTCGCTGGTGGATGGCCATAGCGCCCCCTACGTATGGCCACGTGCCGTGGAGCATGGTGGGCGGTATGACTGGCCCAGTGTTGTTATGGCCCTCACTGCCAACCATCTGCTGGACCGTTCCGTCCGCCGACAGGTGCGCGTATGGGCTGTCGCTCTCGGCCGAATTGACGGCACCTGAGAGGACTGCAGGATTCATGCCATTGGGCAGGTGGTTCATGAGATGCTTTGGGTCCTTGGGTTTGGTCTCGGGGGTGTGGTGAGTGCTAGGCTTGGGAGAGTTGGAGCGGCGGGTGTCGTTAGCGTTGGTTTCGTTTAAAGATGAGTTGTGGTGGTCTTTGCTTCCATTGTGTCCAGCGTTTTCCTATTAAAAACCAGAGAAGAATAATAGTTATACTGTTACTCTGTATAAATCCAATAATTTAATGATTACAATAAGCTTTAGTCTTGGGAATAAAATTATCAATTGTAGAAAACAGGTGGTAAGAAATTGATACCACTAATTTTCAATTGTTTTTGGTGCCCTAAACCATAAACATAATAAAGCGTCCATTATGTGCAGTAGATGGACCAAACACTGCTATATTCAAGATAAAATTTGGATTTTGCAAAATGACCAATTTCGGTTGTTTTTTTTTCCCTTGTAAACCGATCTAACCGTACACATACATTTGTAAATTTAATATTCTTTCCATCACCATTTTCCACAAAGTCAATGCTGCATAATACATGAAGGAATTACATGTATCTTTGTCACTTGTTACTCATTATGAATGCAGGAATGAATTTTAAGCAATCCTGTGCCGCGAGCAGAAATGTGTTGCAACACTAATCAATGGGATTATTAACAGTCCAACTTCCAATTTGTTTGCATTGTTCACTGCCTGGCAGGGTACCAGTATGGATAGTGACAGTCCGGTTATTGAACTCAGGTCGTTTGCGTGTCAGCTGCCTCTATTCTCAACAGTTCGTCAACCGAAACAAAAATGTAATAAAACCAGCAGACCCGCAATTACATGCGGAAACCATTGCATCTCCTTAGAGATATTTCACTGAGTAACCACACAGTGATACCGGGAAATTAAATTAAATTTGCCTTCTGCCTTCCCCAGTGCCTAGACGATAAACAGTTTTGGCCTTAATACATCCCATGTGATAAAAAAAACAAAACATTTAGAAAAAAATTGGGACAGAATCGGGGTATAGAATTCCTGCAGGATACACAATTGGCTTATCTTTGCGATTTATATCCCTCCATTGGGATGCATTATTCCCAAATTAAAACCTTCCGATTGGGCCTTAATATGTACATAAGAGAGTTAACCAGATGATAATCCCATTGAAAAGGGAGTGCCACTACGTTTGCATATTTTATTCAATCACTAAACCTGTAAGCAACGAATGACCCAAAAAACAACAGCTGAACACTCAAAATTTCTGAATCTCTACAGACAAGCGGCCTACAGGTGTAATTCAAAGAAGTATAGGTAGCATCACCCTTCATATTACTGTACATACATGTACTGTACATGATCCAAAAGGGAAAAATTACAGACAGTTCTGACACTGGAGTCCAAGCTACGAGACCTCCGAGCTCCAGGCTAGAAAAAGGAAGAACATGAATGCAGGCAGGTGCAAGCCCTGCATTCTGTCACCAACTATGTGTGTTTATTGATGAATATTTAAGATATATCTTCGGAGAGGTGCTTGAATTGCTAATCTGCACTCTTGCCCAGAGAAGGTTGAAGTGGTATTCATTGGGGGTTATTATTTTTAGCACTAAATAGTTGATGGTGGATCATGTCAACACAAGAAGAATTGGCACTGAATATCATTAGTAATTAATGTACGGTAATTTTCACTTTCAAAATTGTGTGCAAGATGGCTCCCACTTTGATAACAAACAAAAAAATGTGTACATCAAATTAGGTTTTGCCCTTCAAAAAAAGTTGTATGGGTAGTTACATAAACAGATTGGTTGACTACTAATTTTTGATGTCTTAAAAGAGAAAAAAAAAAATATGTGAAGTAAATATTTTAGAAAATGGGAGGGCATCAATGTTTATACAACATAATATTCTCTGATTTTCTTCGAATTATGAAACTCTCTTTTTTGAGAATAAATTGAGACTACGAATAAATCAACACATTTTTACATTTAAGATTAAAATGCATGACATGCTGAACAACAATGTACATGTAACATGTCATGGTCACATTACCAACACTGCGTGGTCAATCAAGACAATTCCCAATTAATGACAGCTCACAGATGAGTCACGGCTGCAGCACTAATTGCAACGCGGACGTGAGAGGCACATTAAAGCCAGATCGCAAATCAGGCGCGGGTAGTAAGCCTTCGCTTTCTTTTTATCCAACGGATAAGATGCCATCCAAGTTGGGATGGGATTAAGTAATGCCGCATTTAAAATCTGGCGTTAAGTCTGAAAATTCCTTTAATGCCAATTGATTAGGCTTTCTCAAGTGTGAAGAATTTTTTAGTAAATGAAAGAGAGCCTTTATCCATAGGGCACCCATTGCAATTGCTTGCAAATGGCTTTTGAATTTGGAAATACTAAAAGTTCCGGACATTTGCTGTTTTTATCTTTTGCATGGGAACCAGTGTGCGCAGGCGGTGCCCTGCAAACTGGAGTTCTAAGTAGGCCAATACACACAGTCCATAATTAGCACAACTAAAAAAACTAAATCTGCAAGAATTCATGATATCTACAATGTAGACTTTAGGCGACTCCGAATCACAATCAGACTATACTCCAAACTTGAAATCGGACTTGGGCTCCATTTAAAAAAAAAATACATAAATTAATTGGCAGAGGGTTTGGGGCCGTTGAAGGCCCAGAGCAAAGTAGGGTCTATGGCAATTGTTTGTAGTTGCCTAAAGGCAGCCTTTTAAATACCTTTTTCTTTTGTTCTCTACAGACCTTTATGGTAAGATCTCACTCCAGATTTCAATAAGGAATTCTTATAAAATCCTGAAACAGGGAGAATTTCTGACAAATCTCATCCAATTTGGAGTCGATACTGAGTGGAATCCTGACTCCAAATGTTGGAGTCGTCAATGCTTACAGTAACCCGTCTGCACTTGTGCCTACCTGTGCTGCATCTCGTTCCAGACGTTCTCGCCGCTGCTGTAACCGCTGCATCTCTCGTTCAATCAGGCAGAGTCGCTGCATGCGGGCCTCGTGTCGGTCCCCGATGTCGTCTGCTGCACCCAGCCGCTGCTGCATGACCTCCCGCAGCTGCCGGGCCTCGTATTCCAGCTGCCGACGTGCCATGTCCGTCTGGAGGGAGTACTGAAGGAAAAAGGACAAGGGGAACAAAAAGAACGGCATGGTGAGAAAAGAAACAGTGCTCTAGTCTCCCTTGATGTGGAAACTGTCACGTTGAGAGAAGATTTCTCAAGAGTGGGACATATCGTGCAGTTGTACAGTTGTTCTCTGTCACTAGCACACCCTCAACAGTGACAAAGAGAGACGGACAGACACTTGAACACCATCACTGCTGTCACGCACAGGAATAAGAAATTTACAATCAGCGTGTACTAGGTGTATTTAGGGCCGTGACACATAAGGCAATTTACAGGCAACTTAGTTCTGGGCGATCACCAAGAGGACGACAAAAGCAAACTTTAATTCTGTTAATGTTCTATGACATTTCCATAACCTGTTGGAAAATGTACTTTGTTCTCCTTGAGGGTTCCTTTTAGCTTGAAGTCTATCTGGTTGCCTCCAAGTTGCCCCTGAAAATTGCCTCATGTGACTTGGCCCTAACGTATTGTCAAAGGAGTGATTCTGACTGAAAGAATATTTCTGATCCCTGACTCAACATTCAACCTTCAGCATTCTCTGAAATCAATTTTTTTTTAATATAAATGAAATATCAATCAAAAAGAAAAAACATGGATCTGAATAGAATTGCAAACCCAACCCCAATACTTTCCCCAAAAAGCTAAGCCATTTAACAATTCGTGCCATTCAACGGGTATCCCTTTTCATTCAAAAATCTATATCACAAGAGAAGATCTAAATCCAGCAGCACTTCTATTGAAAGGATATTCTATGCGAAACCAGAAGAAAAAAAAATGATTTTTTTTTTTTTTTTTTGGTAACAGTAAAAAAAAGTAATAGCTTTTGAAAACTAAACCCTCTGGCCAAGGATTGAATGGCAAGCTACAAAACACTGGGTGAAACGTTATCCTGTGATGTAAAATACATATGCCAGCCTGGTTTCATTTCTATGATGGATTCAGATTATGACAAGGGCTGACTCTCTGGATAAGGTTCACATTGGCGCCTGCTGGCTAATATTATGCTAAGTGGTAGGCAGCCATGTTTAATAGTCGGGCAAACACATATGGAAAATTTAGGTAGTACGGTACCGGTACTTTAATGACTAACGGAAATTAAAAGTGTGTCCAAGCCTTCGTAGTAACAACTACTTCATCAGATGCAACTACTTCATCTGATGAAGGAGTTGTCTGATGAAGTAGTTGTCGCTACGATTGGTAATGCACATTTTAAATTTTTGTGAGTCATCAAAGTGCCACCCAACTTTCCATGTGGCTAATATACATGTCCGACAAGAAAATGTCAGCCAGCCACAATATCTCATACATGTACATGTAGGCTGTAAGCCAGTATCAGATCTATGATTGTGAAGTTCGAAAAACCTTCATGGTTTGTTTGGCATGGATCATGAAAAATGGCAAAAATAAAAAAGGCATCTTGTTTCAAGTGCTGTGCATTTTCGAATAATTAAGTATTCGATTATTGAAACTTGGATTTGATGGAATATTCTAACACTAACACTGAGGCAAAAACTTTTTATGAATATCATGCATGCATCGATATATTTTTTCTAGATAGCTGACTAGCTGATATTTGACAAATTAGGCCTAATATTCCTCAATGGAGCTCAAGATTAATCAGGTGCATTCTTAAAGACAAGGTGCGTACGCACTTTTTGGTAATCCTATTGATTGAAGGAGCAAAGAGTGTGTGCGTACTACCTGAGCGTAACACTCATGAGCCTAATGCCACCTAAGAAAATGGCCGTCACCGAATTAGTCTATAATCATACATGTAAAGTGGGTGTCCACAACAAAATGTTGCATTTGACAAACAATAATACCACTTAACAATAAAAATTACATCACGAATGTTTTTTCGTCATCTTCACACAACGGCTCACATTTTTCTAAAATATTTTATTTGGTAAAATGCTGTTCGGATATTCGGTGGATGATCTAATATTCGGATATCCGGATATTCAGCTCAGCCCTACATGTTTTTAAGGCAAGACCCCTTTATGATTTCCGGCCATTATTATTCTACATTTGTATATCAATCCATTAATGCTGACAGATGCTAATCCTTTATGTTTAATGACCAGCGATGTCTGGTGCCATGCAGTCAGACATCTAGGCAATTAAAGCACTGTAGACGACCATGTAATCACGGAGTGTTTCCAACCGGCCTGACTGAGCCAATTAACATGCTGTACTCGGGATGCGTAATCCAATCATTGTTACCATTCCATCATTGGAAGCAATGTTTTTAAAGTGTTTTTGTTTGCTCTAATGACCGTAAATAGATTTGGTTTACTGGTTCATTTTAGCTGACTGTCTCAAAATGCGGCCATGACCCAATTCTAACATTAATTAACCCTAACTCCCTAGGCCTTTTTGCTAGGATGTAGCCTCAATCCTGCAAAATCCTCCAATTGGCCTCATGGAAAAATAGCATATAGCCTCAATCCTGCAAATTCCTCCGTTATTTCTTGAATATGGTCCATGGAGGGATGACCACTGCCTGAATCCTGCAAAATCCTCCGGCTATGACTGTCAATAGGCTGAGGCAGAGGCAGTGACATCCTGGAGCAGTGCGGAGGATGTCAAGTATAATCAAGGACTAAATTTATGCACGGCTGAGCATAAACAACACAAGGTCCGGCCCAAGACCTTGACACAGTGCGTACTCCAAAATCCGCAACGCACTTTTGCCATGTAACCTCAATCCTGCAAATTCCTCCAATTTGCAAAAAGGATTTTGGAGGATTCAGGGCGGTTAGGGTTAACAAAGTTTATACAAACTTAAAGGAAGAAATACGTACATATGTACATGTATCGGTACATCTGTAAACTTTAAGCATACACTGTACCTGTACATGTTCTGCATTCATTCGTGTATGTTACAGCATTGGGATTATGGAGAGTTCCTTAGTTATGGTGAATGGAAAAAAACCTACCCTTGTAGCAGCTAGCACACGCAAATCTTAACAAAGATCAACAAAATCCATCAGAAACAGTTTCACCACAAAGTTTTGTTGTATTTTTCAGGGTTGGGTTTACAATGTAAATGGTCTCCGTGTGAAATGAACAAGAGTTCCATTAGCAGAAACTTGTGTATGTTTGTGCAGCACTATCAAGAAATTGGGCCGAGATTGATGACGGTGCAAAAGTCCACCTTGGAAAATCCCATGATACGAACATTCTCCATAATGTTCCATAGTGTATTAATCACTAAACACTTAAATAAATTGCCCAAGATTACATGTATGTCACAGAGAACAAACAGTTTGCCCTCTGATATCATGGCCATATTCAGACATGTACCTAGAAATAGCAGGAAATCACTCACAGAGAAAGGAATATGCCATGCAGGAATTCATGATAGTGCAACCAACCAGATTTGAAAAATAAAAATGACGGTATTTATGAAATATTCATGAAAAAAAAGCTAGTATGTGGCACACAGAAGTGAAAAAAAAAAAATCAAATTACAGAGAAGTCTGGTAGGTAGGGACTGAAAACCCAATCCATATATTGGCCCAGGCAGGAATAAAACCCGGGTCACAGCGGTGGAAGGCGAGGAAAGTACCGCTACGGCATCCTGACTCCCGTTATTCACTTTTGAATGAGACATCAAGCAAAGGAACCCACCCAGATTTTTGTTATTGTACAAATTAATTTGCACATTTTGATATATTTGCGGCCCAACAATAATTGAAAATGTCAGAAATAGAAAAAATGTAAATTTCCATTTTAACAAATACAAATTGAAAATTTGTTAAAAGAAAAAAATTAATACACTGAAGAGCAAGGGAAGATCAGCTGTAAATTGCGATACAATCTGTCATATAAACTGTCCTCTTTAGCTAAATGTCAAACTTGACCTGGCAATAAAATGTTAAGTCGGTAAAAGTGCATGTCCATGTGCATGCCATAAACGATAATAAGATAACTGGATTAACATGCTGTGAGTCCATGACCTGTGACGACCTTTTTATAATATGGTACCGTACAACTGTGTCAAAATAGGATTTGCCCCCGAAGAATAAACCATATGTATGCAAAGGCCTTTAACTTGTACATTCCACAAAGAGATTTGGATTTTTACGGACAGGGTTTTGTTTTTCTTAAATTTTCACGATGCTGTTCACCCTGAATCATTTAGCAATTTTAGTTTGCAAGGCTTCAGACGATTCAATATTGAGTTTTGGCCTTCATCACCAATGTACAAGTCATTTTGAAAACAATGAATACCCATCATACTAACAAGCAGGAGGTTTTAGGTTCGATTCCCACCCGAGTAAGCTTGTGTAATTGAATATACACCTCCCCGATGTCAAATACCATCATACCAAAATAAAAATTTGGAAGATGATTTCCGTCCCACCTGTCCCGTTCCTCTGACTTACGTTCTCTGTGATGGGCAGCTGGTCAATGTGTTGCTTGAGGGTCTGAAGTTGAGAAAAGTACCATGTCTTCAGTTTCTCCTCGCTGTCTTGCTCCGTCAACAACAGAATCCTGCAGGCAAACGGGAAGAAAAGACACACAGGCTACAGTTTAAAAAAAAGTACAGCTCAACCCTTAGCTCTCTATATTTAACTATGATTTAATCAATTTGACAGAGACAGCCTGTTCAAATCAGATATGAATTCATACAAGTTGCTCAACAACAGAGAACTCTCAGCCGTTTTATGTTTCAAAGTAATTCTGCTCAGTAATACTTTATTAAACTACCGGTACACGGTACCTTTTGTCACCATTCAGCAAAGCTGCTATTTACAAATGGAGTTCATCTGTAAGCTTATACCAATTGAGGAGGCAAAAAATACATTCATGACGAGCAGTAAATCTTCCAATCTGCTAATCAACCTGCGTTCTGTGCCATTTAGAATATCAGGGTGAAAACAAAGAAACGCTACAACACAACAGTACAACAACAACTTTTGAAAATGTTCAGTTGTTTTTTTTTAAACAAACTGCAACTAAAAATACCATCATGGATAACCTGTAAGAAAACTACTCCTTAATCACTGATTGAAGGAAGCTTTTCATCAGCAAAACTCCACACAGATCTGCTTGAGAATGTAAATACACTAACAATTTTGTTCCTGGGCCAGACGTTAAGTTAAATATGAGTAAAGACTCCACTGTGGATTGTCTCAACTGGTTCCTCCATCCACCCCCCCCCCTTTCTCTCTCCTTTTATGAGATGGAAGCCCCAGGCCAAACAGTAACAGAGCCTCTCCAGAGAAAGCTTGGCAGGACCAGGAACAGGAAGGGCCTGTGTTTGAAGGGAGGAACCTAGTAATGATGGATTATGGAGGCCTGTTTGTGACAAGAACATAATCCCTCAGAGCTTTTACTCACTTGGATAATGAGCTCCAGATTATACACACAATAGCGCTTCAATAATAGTAGAGTACTGATCTGATACAGGTTCATCAGAATAGAAACTCTCCGTCTCTCTCTACTCCCCAGAAATATCCATCAACTCAACTACGCATCAGTAAATTGAACTTTGTGAGTCAGCCTTTGATGTAAAAACTGTAATTTTAGTATTAAAGTGATACCTACATGTACATGTACATGCACGTGAACATGTAAATATTAGGCATTAGTACATTTCGGAACCAAACTGGTGATTTGAAGCAAACTTTTATGGCCTTTTCTTGCCAAATTGTGTGATGGGAGCTCCTTTTTGTGTGATGAATGCAGGTCAGACACATTTTTTAAACCAAACTTAATTGTGGCTGATACAGAATTTTGCATTTTTGGAAAATGTGTTTGGAATTTGGATGTGTTTGACAGAATCACTGGCTCTAAATTAAAAAAAGAAAGAAAGAGAATAAAGCCGCAAGAAACAATTATATGCTAATCAGGTTGGCTTAGAAGAACTTCACCTTTTATCTTTACCCTCTGGTGACCCCAGTCCAATTTCCACGAAGTTACCATATAGATGTTGTTGTCAGTCCCCCCCCCCCCTTCGAGGTTTTTTTCAAAAGTCAGTTTCTGAGGCTTTCTTTCTCCTCAAGAGAATAAATAAGTTCTGATGTGTAGTAAGGTATCTTCATTCATGTTTTTTTGCCAGATGTTAAAAAAAATCACAATCCTGAACAAATAAATGAGAGGAGTTCACTCAAGCATTGCAGCCTCATCTGGGTTACATTACATTCCCATGATGAGCTGGGACATTCGTGACAAAGGACACTGGTGATGTCCACGTATGCTTGCAGAGATGAATAGCTCGGCAGCCAAATGAGTTCACATCCTCATCTATTCCAGCTAACATCCAAGAAATTACTGCTCAAAAGTTACTTGAGAGTGATGTCCTTTACCAAGCACAGATCCCGAGTGGATGCCACATCTACATGTGCCCGATCAATTCTGTTTAATATGCACTCCCGATCAATTCTCGTAGTACATGTAAGCATATCCTGCAATCTTCTTTGAGTGATAGGGAGCAGAAGTCTAATAGTTGTCCCCAATTCCCAGTACAACTTCATTTCCTACCTTCGAGTGAAGGAAATCACCTCACAGGGCCTGCTTGCGACTAAATTCCTTGAGTGGAAAATGCTCTATCCATGCAGAATACAGCTACAGCAAGCCCAAGGAAATCAATTCTCGACACGGAAAAAAATAGAAGTGGGTCTCGGGAAAAGTAGTAGCTCACTAAGGGGAGAGACCCGATGGCATAATGTGAGTCACAGATATTATTGCAAAAACCGCAACATCTCAAGAAGTACTGGTACCAACATCAACCACGCCATGCACGTACCGCCCCGTATTAATGAAACAATTGCAATAACTAGTGGTTAACTGTCACAGTCACCGATAGAATGCTGGGGGGGGGGGGGATGGGGGGGGGGGAATAACAACATCTGGAAATCATATCAATTAGAATATCGGTATTGATCTCCTACAGACCATACCCAAGAAACTCTTGGCCGACTAAGAGGTTAATGTGAAAATCATGATGCTGGGCCCTTGCGGAGGCATCGCCAATTAAACTGCGATCAAAACCGCATTATTCAAATTTCTTGTCAGCTGGGCATTTTCTTCAGGGAATATGATTTTTTTTCATATCTTCTTGAAGAGTTTTCCAGGACGTTCTTGAAATTGAGTGGGGCTGTGATCCCATAAATGATTATTGCGATCACAGAACTCCCCAAATGCTTTTTCAGGACATGCACGTGTTCTTCAAATGACAAGCCACTTCGTATGGTCTCAATTTGAACCCAGTAATCAATCTAAAAAAAAATGTTGTACTTGAGTTTCTTGTCCGTCGTGATGAAATAGAAAACAGAGTTGACAGCCGGAGAGATTGGATAAAACTCGGAGATGAGGGAAAGAGTGGGGAAAAGATAAGAGGAGTTGGAAAGGGGAAGTTGTAAAGAAACAGGGAGACTGTAATTTAATCTTGGGGAGGAAAAAACAGATGACAGGGCCGATTATCGCGCTTTGGAAAATATTGCTAAAAATATAGTGGGTAACGTATGGGCATTATTATCAATGCATGAATAGTTGAAGCCCATTATGATTTAGATCTACCGGTACACTATGTAGTCAGGGTTCTAGACAGGGGGAGGCAAAATAGGAAGATAAACACAAATGAAATTTGGAGGACCACATTTTTATAACAAAAAAACACAAAAATTTCACAAATTCCTGGAAAAAAGGTTAACTGCATTTACAAGCTCAATTTTTCTAAAAAAAAATTGAGAAAAAAATCTGATTTTTTTTTTCAAATATCTTTCCAAAAAGAATTTCCTTTAGAAACTTGGCTACATTTTTTTGAATTAACCATCCATTCTCCAAAGAACCTTACCAGTTTAATCCTTAACAGTTGAAGATAATTACAAGGCCAAGGAAGGAAACAAAAGTAAAAATGGAAAGAGTTCTGATCTTATTAAATTCTGGCCGAAAAAAATCCATAGCATCCAACAGTCTAGCAATGCGTCTTTCCTCAGGGTTTGTCCACATCCCTAGGATACTAAAAATCAATTTCACAAATATTTGCGCTAAGCTTTCAATTGTACAGCCTCATAACTCTATAATATACCAGCTGCACACCCTCACAGCACTGGTCAACCATCTTTCCATCTTGCCATTTTGCAGTTGCTGCGGACCGAAGCCCCGAAGCTAAAAGTGACTCACGTGCCCAGTCCTCACTCTCCTCATCTCACAATTTCCCCATTCTGCTACAGAAACCTCCCAGACACCTTCCCAGATGAAAATTACTGAACCAGATACAATTTCATTAAGAATTCTCTGGAATGCTATCTGATACTGCCACACGTCACACCTCCTTTTGGCAGCCTAATTTTTTGTTTGTGTCTCCGTTCTAATTCTATGGTACTGCACACATACATGTACCGGTATGCTTTTTTGTTTTAATGAGCATGACATGCATTTTTCAACCCTTTTCCGACAAAATCCAGGAAGACATGTATGGAACGGTCATTAATTTTTTAAAAAGGGGCGGAAAAAGGATGTTCTCTGCAGGGAATAAAAGGACTTAACTCTACAGTAGTTCATTTTTTCTCCTGTGATAATTAATATAAAATAAAATCATGACAGTATGTGAATGTAATCGTCAAAATCTGGTAGGGGCCTACATACATGTGATTTGTCCACAACCAGTGAATGATAATTGCTGACGACCTAATTTTGTAAAAAAAAAAAATCCTTAAATTTCCAAAATTTATTTATAAATAAATAATGTACATATTGGTAAATATATGTGTCTTCCTTCCCAAGTTGTGAAGATTAAAGGACAGCACATGCACGCAAGAAATGAAAAATTTCGAAATAAACCTGGCACTGTACTTCAAGAATAGGTCTGGATCAACATGACATTCACTACACCCAACGATTTTCTTTGAGCATCAGTTGTTCAACAGCAGAGGCCTCATTATCCAATTTCTCCAGTTCCTCGGTCACAAATTTGACTTGTTTGGTCGCCCCAGCCCAGGTGGTATAGTTGAGTCAGCAGTGGTAACATTACATTAATGATCAGGGTTCCAGACAGAGGCGGGACAAAACAACAAAATGTTCCGAGAAAACACATGGCTTGTCACAGGTCAACGCAAGTTGGGAGTAAACAGAATGCAATGTAATTTCAAGACTCCGGGTGCATCATATAAACTCTTCAACTCTTATTCAATTCTTCAATAAGAATTCCGCTATTTTACTCCAAACTGTGTAAACATGTCCATTTTTTAGACAGAACTACAAAATCAACGCATGTTTTACAAAAAATACAAAATTGACAAAGGAATTATTGTATATGTTTCAAATGCTTTCAAAAATGGTCTCTGACCTCAAATCTGATTGCGAGAAAACGGCAGAAGTTCACAACTACTTTTGGAAGTACCCGGTACCTACCGGTACTAACTGCTGCCGCTACTTTCCATATTCGGAGGTGATTTTGTCCACCACACCCACAAACTCACACTTAAAACATTCCACATGTACCGGTATTCATACACCATGTTTCCGTAAACATAGACTCAATGTCA